CGCGGCGGAGGCGCACCAATTTGACTCTGGCGCCACCCGTCCCATGCAGTTCGTCTCTCTGCGAGCCTCAACCGGCGAGTGTGTGTCCGTTGATCCCACAGCTGGCGATTTCCGCCAGAACCTGATCCCCCTCGCTCTCGTACCCTGCTCTGGAGCGCCTGAGCAGAAATTCGATTTCATCACGGCTGGTGCCCACAATGATGGTTCCAGGCCAGGATCTGCTCTCGTGGTGAGTGTTGTGACGAACGGCTGTGTGAGCACGGATAGCCGAAGGGCGGCTGATGACAACGTGACCGTATTTTCTTGCGGTGGACGTGCCGGCGGCGAGGGCGAGACGGACGTCGGGCAGCTTGTTGATCTCAAGGGCGCTAAGGAGGGCGAGTCGTTCGTCTGGCAGCCCGCCAACGGTAACGGACAGTGCATTGTTCCTGGGCAGGGCAGGCTCGTACTTGGTGCTTGCGGTGGAGCGGATTCGACCTTTGATATTGTCCATGTTGGGCCTGATGCTAAATAGATTGGTCATGAAGTAGTAAAACTTTGTATTATTCTCATTCCGATGCAGTCATGTCTGCCAAGCCTGTTCTCTTCTTGCATCGAGTACCGAGTTGAAGCCCACGGTCGGGTGCAACGAGTTGACGAAGATGTGAGGTCAATCATGACCGAATTTTCTTGGACATGCGTGACATGCTCGACCTCTTGGCACCGCCCACAGTAGGGCCTCAGCTTGCAGGGCTGGTGTTCATGTATTGGGGTAAAATGCAGTGGTTGGTGTCAGAGCAGAAGATAAAAGTGTCGTATGAACTCAAGTGCATTAGCAGTGCCATGGACATTGTGTCAGGCTTTCGGCAATAGCGCTACAGCCCATGGTTTCCCTTCAATCCGCGCATGCAATTGATGCACATTACGATAAAGGGACACGCGCTGGTATCGACAGGCGTTGCTGTCTTGGATTCTCGTGGGGCGAAGCTTGTCTGAAAGCTTGTACGTGACGAACACTATCAAGCTCACTTTGACTACTGCATTGCAGTTGACGCGCCACTAAATCATTCTGGGCAAGGCTTGTATGGGTACGTATCTTATCTGCGATCACCACGTGCAGCTGCCTGCGGTCTTCGATCTTCCTGCTCCCCTCACTACGGTAGACCTCTGGAGTTTATCTCCTTCACGTCATCATCTTGAACAATTTCCTCTTTCATCAATCGCAGCATCGCTTTCTTCCATACCACGTGGTAGTTATACCCTCTGGAAGGGCCGGGCCGCAACTTGTGACCCTAGCCCAAAGCACGACGACACACGGCCTGACCACTCGCAACCAGTTTCGACCCTGGCCAACGATCTGCGGTTCTGCCATCATCCTGGATGCCAGTAACCCTGCAGAGCACCGCCTCGCGCTCTGTCGGCCATCGTCCGTGAGACAACACTTCTCCAAAACACTCATGTCGCCCACCTCCAACCGTCTCTGCCACGACCTCTTGCGGTCATCACCATAACCAGCCATGGCCGAAGACTCGACGCAGTTTCCTGTCCTCCAGAAGGTCGAGACGGCCCCCGACGAGCTGGTCTCGCCGCACACACAGCCCCTGAAACTCAAGACCACCATCAGCCCCACCCCAGGCCTGGCACATCGCACGAACACGGCCTCTTCCGACCCCGAAACTCCCTTCTCCCCCGTCCGCCGACGTGCCGATTCTCGCGCCAACACATTCCGAGCGGTCGACGATTACGATGATATTGCCTTCGACTTCGAGTCGCACCGCCCAGGCTGGCAGCCCGGCTCTGAGCCCGGCTACGACCCTTCGAAGCCGGACGGAGGACACGCCTCGGTCCCCGCCCTGCACGCCGAGTGCGAGATCACCGTGGCCGACTTTGACGAGGGCCGTGTGGAGAGCCGATCCTTTGGCAACGAGGACTTTATCGAGTACCTGCAGCGGCCGCAGCCCGCCTGGAGCAAGTGTCGCTGGATCAACATCAACGGCCTCAGCTGGGACGTCATCCAGGCCTGCGGTCAGCACAAGGGCCTGCACAAGCTGGCCATTGAGGATATCATGAACACCCGCAACCGTACCAAGACCGACTGGTACCCGAACCACGCCTTTATCCTGCTGACGCTGCAGAAGCTCGTCCGGCTCGTGGATCCTGACAGCGACAGCGACAGCGATTCCGACTCAGACAGGAGCAGCGTTCTCACGAAAAAGTCAGCAAGGGGCTTCATGCGGGCGAAGAGGTGGATGAGCGGCAGCGGCCCGGATGCCGGAGCCATGAAGGACTCTGCAGCCAGGACGGACCCGGAGAGGGCTGCCGTGCCGGCGAAGACGGCGCACATGTCTCGCCGTGACCGTGTCAAGGCCAAGCTCGGGTTCAGCGTCGAAGACCCCGACCTGACGCCAGACGACAGCATTCTCGTCCGTACGCTGCAGCGTTACCATGCCTCGCCGAATGAGGCTCGTACCGACTACATGGAGAAGCACTCGTCGCTGAACTCGCGCGACCTTGCCGTTAGTGCCGAGCAGGTCTCGATCTTTCTCACCTCAGACAACACTGTCATCTCGTTCTTCGAGGTGTCGGCTCGCGACATCGAACGGCCGATTGCGCTGCGTCTGTCTACCCCCGGCACGATTCTGCGGCAGTCGTGTGACGCGTCGCTCCTCGTCCAGGCCATCATTGATGCCATTATCGATCTGGCTCTTCCTCTGACGGCTGTCTACCAAGATGTCATTGGGGATCTCGAGCTCGACGTTCTGACGTCGCCTAGCATCAAGCAGAGCAGACAGTTGTACATCTGCATTTCCGAGATCAACAAAATGCTCACGTTTCTGAATCCGATCGACAATGTGGTCAACGTCTTGCGCGATCACGCGACCGACCTACGTCCCGACATTGCGGCGCGCGAGCTCCATAACCCGGCCTCGGGCGTCATCGTCACGCCTCTGACGCACACGTACCTCGGCGACGTCCTCGATCACTGCGTCATCATCACGGAAGCCATGGAGCAGATCAAGCGCAGCGCCGACAACCTCATTGACCTCATCTTCAACACCATCTCGGCGAACCAGAACGAGAGCATGAAGCAGCTGACTGTCATCACAATCATCTTTCTGCCGTTGACCTTCATCACGGGCTACTTCGGCCAGAACTTTGAGCCGTTCCCACAGCTCGCCTATGGCATTCCTTACTTTTGGAAGATTGCAGCGCCCGTCGTCTGCATCACCGTGACGGTCATGATGCAGGGCTGGATCCGGCAGTGGATCACCAAGATCTTGGCGAGGAGACAGATCGTCGCGGCTAGGAAACGGGGCCAGAGGAAGAGGAGAAAGCAGGCATAGGAGACGCCTGCGAGCGTCATCGGCGGACGGAAGGCGAGCAGTCTGTTTACTCAGGCCGAGGGGCGGAAGTGCTCCGGGTGGTGTGGGGGTTGAAGCAGCATGCACGTCTGCGGCGGTCGTTTGGCGTTTGGGCTTGATACAAGTGCTTTGAGGCTCGTTTGAGTACGATACCCCCTTTCTGTAGCAACTTTGACTGCTTTAATTTGTCTCTGCTTGCTTCTTGCTTGTGGTAGGTGTTGGAATAGGGGCAGGCCTGCGGGCGAGTCCGTTAAGCAGGATCCGTCCGATGTTCGGCGGGGCTCTGCCGCACGTGATGATGACCATTTCAACTTTCTTTTCACTTCTCAGTGACTCGACATGCTCATACCTCACCGTCTCAAAACTCACGCATCACTTTGCCCTCAACGAAGCAGAAAACGCCACACCTAGCATACACTTATTTTTCAATACGTGGCCAAAGTTCCAAATTAAAAATTGTCACACCGCCGAGCACCATGTCCACACAACAACCCATCCCGGCCTCGGACCCCACAACGGAAGCTCACATTACCGACTACCACGCAACCCGCTGCCTCGCCTCCCCGCTCTACGCCTTCCTCCTGTCCCCGGCGGAGCACGGCCTCCGCCTGACCCACGCCTCGCGCGGCCGCGTCATCTTCCGCCTCCCCGTCGCGGCCTGCCACCTCAACGCCGCCGGCGGCCTGCACGGCTCCGTCTCGGCCACCATCGTCGACTGGGCCGGCGGCCTCGCCGTCGCGGCGTGGGACCTGCGCGGCGGCACAGGCGTAAGCGTCGACATCCACGTCAGCTACGTCAGCAGCGTGCGGCTCGGCGAGGAGGTCGAGATTGAGGGCTCCGTGGACAAGGTCGGCGGCAGCCTGGCGTTCACGACCGTCGGCGTGTGGAAGGTGGAGGAGGGCCGGAGGGGAGCCGTTGTGATTACGGGCAGGCATACGAAGTTTGTCCGGGGGAAAGCGCCTGCGAAATAGGCGGTTTTGGGAATCTCGTCGCCGGTGGCCGCAACGACGCGGCGGCTCGGTGGAAACTGGTGTGCAATCGACGCATGATGGACAAGGTTTCTGTCGGGAACTTTCGTCCCCTATGAAGAGTATCTCTTCCTCGGGTTTCGCCTTCGGTTCCACTTCCTCTCCTCTCAAAGGGACTGGCGGTTCTGTTGTTCACATGGATTCTCGGAATATCATTGTTATGAGGACATTATTCGGCAACGCGAGCATTGGCCAGTTCTTTTCTACGACGTTTTCCTCTCATTCGTTTTTCTTGTAGTTTTATTGGAATCCCGTCTGTGTTGACTGGTCTTCCACGTTCCCAATGAATGAGAACGTACCTCTATTCATAGCAAGGAGTAAACAACCAATCCTTCGGTGGTAGCTCCAATCGATAGATGCCACAGATCCAATCAAAGTTACGATAAGGTAGAGCGTCAGAGTCAAAAAGTAGATCAGTGACTTCAATGGTCAAAATCATGCAAGAGCCGTGCAATCGCAAGGGCATAAACATTACTCATTCAAGTCCAAACTATCATCTCTTGGGCTCTGACAACTTCAGTCCTGCTTTGAATGAATCTGCAACTTGTCCAATAATGGCAGCATTGCCAAGCTCAGCAGTAAACATTCATGCGAGCTTGGAGACTTAGCAGTCCATGTCGACGGCCAATCCTTACAGACCGCCTGCCACGCATTTCCCACCATTGAAAGCCGCCGAGGCGGCTGCCCTCCAAACGGCAGAAACATCGTTAACCATCTCTTGCGTGTAGAACAGCCGACAGTCAGCAGCGCGGTAGACATACTGGCTCGGCAGACCGTCGTCGATGTGCTCGGGGAGAATGGCGTCCTTGCCATTGACGACGCCGTCCGTGCTGCGATTGAAGGCGAGTGGGGTGTATCTTTCCAGAGCAGCGCGATCCGAATCGGATACTTTGAACTTGAGTGCGAGCTGGGCATAGAAGTGAATGTCAAAGAACACGATAGCCTGTGGGGCTGAGACGCCGCCGATAGCCTGCATGTCACCCTTGATGGGCCGGCCGCCGATGGCGATTGACTTGACGCCGCCCTGGGTACGCAGGACCTCGGCTAATGTAGAGCACGTAGACATGCAGGTGCCGTCGTGGAGCATGACGATGTTCTCCGGCGCAAAGGGCGGCTCCATGTTGGCCCGGGTTCCATAGCCGCTGAACTCGATCCCGAGGCCAAAAGTTGCGTTGCTGGCCTCCAGAGGGTCCGAAAGATTCCACCGCATAAGAGACGTATAGGGCGTGTCGGCGAAGATTTGGGCCGTAAACTTATCTTCGAAAGATTGGAAATTCAAGTTGGATGTGTTGAGGTCATGCCTCCAGTTGAACCACGTTTCAGCAGCCACAACAATGTCGTCGCTGGGTGTGGTCGCCAGATCCACTCCTGCGACGGCCTCCGAATAGGAGCGTGCAATGGCGTCGAAGCCTGGATTTTTTCGCCAGCGGCCGTTGTCCTGTGGCTTCTGCTGCGGGAAGAGCTGGCCAAATACCTCGTACCCCAGGATGGCGAAGCCGCCGGCGTTGGCCTGCAAGTCGATGATGAGCTTCTTTTTGCCGGCTGCCTTTGCGCTTTTGAAAAAGTCGTCCATAACAGATTGGAACTCTGCTGATGTGTCGGGATCAAAGTTGAGCACTGACAGCACGGCAACATCATCAAGACCATTCCCTTCAAGATAGTACCCAGAGATCACCCCATCGGCGGAGGCCCGTACAGGCTTAGGGTAATCGTCGCCTACTGGCTGGTCGGCACTGGCGGCTTGTGAACTGTCGCTCACAAGCTGGGTCTCGACGGACGAGTCGTCGGTTGCCCGTGGGGAGCAGAACGTTTTGTAAAAGCTGGGACCATCAACTACTCCCGTCATGTTACCCTTGACCAACGCCTGGTTTTCAAAGGTCACTTTGGTTCCGTTGTCGAACGTGAGGGAAGTCTGCGGGCCTTGGTAAACGTATCGGAGCCGGCCACTGCCTGCAAAGTAACCTGAGCTGAGACCGGCTGCAGAGTAAGCAGCCGAATAAAACATGCTGTTGTAAGCAGCGTCTGGGTCGCGGGCCCATGTCACTTGGTAGATGGTGTCCTCGAGGTACTTGACTGGGTCCTGGTCGTTTATCTTTGTGACTGTAGGAGCAGTCGACGGTGATGCGATTACATCCTCTGCGATCAGGTCAATTACAATGTCTTTCTGGTAACGGTTCAAGTCTGAGCAATAGCCTATGCAACGTCACTTACCGTAAAACTTGATTACCGGCAACGAGGTGCCATCCTCGCTAATGGATACCAGAGAGCGCTGTCGTTGCCACTGAAAAGCTCGACTTAGGGCATCTGGGTATACGACCATGTGAGAGTCATGAGCAGGGCCAAAGACGCTCCTGTAGAAGTCGTCCTGGAAAGAATATTCGCTGTCATACTGTCCTGTGGCAACCTTCTGTCGTACTTTTTCCATTGCCGCATAGTAGTCATGAGGAGGAAAGAAGTAATCCGGTGGCGGGTTTGCCTTGTACGTCGGATCGGTCTGCCAGTCAAGATAAGGTGCGATAGAGTCAAGGTAATCTAGCGCAGCCTGCTGACCAAGAGGAACAGACTGGAGACAGCTATGAGCTATCTTGGCTGGGACCACGGGCAAGGCTTGAAGGTCATGGTCAACGGAGCGTTTTGAGTAGGGCGGAAGGGTCTGCCACTCACATGCAGGATCGGCAGCAATCTGCTCAGCCCAAGAAGCGCTCACTGCGGCACATGGTTCCATTGTCCGACTTGCCCTCAGCCTTTGGCCAGGGGTTGTGGGTGTCGCTGAGGCCCCTAGAACCCATGCCACAATCAGAGTCAGGGGCCCAGTGGAGAGGCGAATGTCGCGGAGTCTCATTGTCAAGATGACCAAGATAACACAACTTGGTGAACACAGGAGAAGTAATGGTTTTTAAGTGTTGATAGTGGCGATCAATCAGCAGCAGCTACCCAACTCTTTAAAACAGACTCACTTCATTCAATGGACCTCATCATTTCATGAATCGCTCCCGGACTTCGGGACACCCGGTGATGGGATGATTGAGCTTGTGACCCAGGCGTACGAACACGGAAACGAAGGCAAGGGACCACCACTAGTGATATGCGAGCCGAGACTTTAATATGCTCGCATTCGCACCGCTTGAGGTTGCCAATTTGACAGATTGAGAGTCGATCCGGCTACTTCGGCGCGGCTTGTAATCGGCAGGCAGGGATTCAAATTGGCGGAAAGTCCAACTCCTACCTGTGCTGTCTCACCCGTGCTTTCCGGGTGCCTACTCCGGGGTAGCACAACATCCAAGGACAGAAAGAGAGGTTGCAGCTAAAGGCCAAACTTAAGAGTAGAGATTGAGGGTTGGTCTTGATCTGTTCGTTTAGAGACCAAGTAGCTTAATCGTAGATACGAGTCAGCCCCTTGCCATAGTGAAGTCTTTAGGTTTGTCCACCAGGACCTTGGTGGCCAAGCCACTCGAGAGATAATCCTTAGCTCCACCACCAATGGCACACATTCACTAATTGCAGCTTCCGGCTATCGCGAACAAGCTAGCTAGTGACCAAGGGCACAAGAAGGCCGGCCGGTGTAACCCTTTGCGAAGGTACGTTACAATTAATCTACTCTATGACGCCAAAAGATCAGTTTTGAGGTTCGAATTGGCCTGATAGAAATCGACTGATGGAAAAAGTGTTTAAATGGAATGATTGTTGCCACTGGTGGTGCACGTATCTTTACAGCAGCCATCACTATTTCCTCGGAGGCCGGAGCTGATGAGGATCGGCACCGCCGGAATCGGCACTGGCTCCGAGCGCCACACGGGGGGGCAAGGCCGACAACGCCTGCGTTGATGCTACCGGCTACCGATGGTATGAATCGTTGACTACCTAGTACAAACTCACGAGAGCATAATTTGGCAACCGGATGCCTATGGAACATGCCAAGAGACGCATACCGCTGGCTGTAACGCCCCGCGCTGAACGTGTTTCTTCGGCAGTTACATCAATCACTGCGCAGACTTTTCGAGGTTGAGTCTTAAGCCATCCTCAGTTACGACTCGTCACAAACCTCCGTTGCTCCGCCTGCACAAGCCCACAACGTTCCCCACAAGAGTCATTTCCTACGCCAGGTGTCACACTAAGTAAGAGTGGGATGGCAAAATTAAATCAAAAACATACAACATCAGGGATTCGCTGGTGGTCACCCACCCAACTACTAGTCCGACCCTTACTGGCTTATCTATGGGAGAGCGGACGGGATCCCGAGTTCTCCAGTAGGTATGGTCGTATGTGTTTGTCGGAGGTTGTTTGCAGACTCATAACCCTCCTACAAGAGACCCCCAACCATGAGGATGGAGACGAAGAACAATCTGGCGTGGCCTTGACACCTTGAAGAAATTCGTCCAGCAAACTACACAACTACAGTTCCGGAGTATGAGATATTCTCCAGGGGCTCCATAGAATCATTTTCAGGGTTCCGAAAGCAGTGAGCGATATCAGTATCATTGTTTCTGTCGTTAAAGCGCCGCCTGATCGCCTTCCTCACTATCATTGCTGTTGAAGCTCACCCATGAAGATGCCTAGTACAATTATATTCAGAAAACGATCAGCAGCCGAAGTGCATTGCTACATTGTTGGAAATGTGGAGTTGCCCGAGTAATTGGCATAAAGCCTTCATCATAAGTCTGCATTCTTCCCTCGCTTCCGCGATCACGCCTCCCAGATTCAATCTTTGGCGACCAACTTGGACTCATCGTCTGCGTAATCAATATGTCAGCTTCAGACTTAGCACACATATGCTTTACTACTTACTCCCGGAAAGGTCAGCGAATATTTGACCGCCTTCAACGATCAGACCAGCACCTGAGAAATCATCAGCCACGAACGCATCAATAAGCGCATCATAGGCAATTCTTGTAGAGGTGCCACACACCTGAGAAGATCAATTGGAAAGAGCCCTCGTTTTCCTTGGCAGTCACTCGCTGAACTTTGGGGCCGTCGCCGTCGGTCTTCTTGAACCACAGGACAGGCTTGGGAAGAAAGCTTCTGTCTTCGGAGGCATAGCGTCCTAGGATGAAGTCGCCCGAAGAGAGGCGACCGTCTTTCAGGGTGAAGGTCGCAGCCTCGGAGCCAGTCTTGGCCTGTACCGGCTCCTCGGCATCTCCGGCAGCCTGGGCGATGGACGCGCCGCCCAGTTCGATCGAAAAAGGGAAGTCAAGAGTGTCCATGGCGGCGTTGAAGAAGGCCGACCACACGATCCAGAGACCGATGAAAGCGCCAGAAATGAGCAGGAACTGCTTAAGCGCTGGAGACATTTGTCTCATGTTTCAAAGACGGAGAGAGCGTCGCGAGAATCCGCAGATTTGCCAACGAGAGCAGGTTTACTGTGCTTCTAATTGGAACAAATGACGCTGCGAAGGCTGCGTTCAGCGGCCAGTCAGCTACTCTCCGCGGCGCTCCGTCAGATCCGCCTGCCTAGATGAGAAATCGACCGAGCGATCTGCTCACAGCAGGGTAATCCTCCGCAGCTGAAGATACCATCTTATGAACGTGGGGTAATTAATCGCAACTGCCCGATTTAGCTTTAGCGTATGCGGGAGAGCCCGATATCTCGGCACTTGCCCCCGTTGATGATTCGCCGTCAACGTTGGTCCCAATCAGTAACGATCAGTCGCGTCACGCAAGCGACAACACTCATGGTGCTATGCAGACTAATCTATCGCCCCTACCAGACGGTTGGCTGTAGCTAGCCTGTCCGTTCGTAGAAGGTGGTATTGAAAGAACAAGCTTTAGTCTTCGACGCCTCAGAGATGATCTACATTAGTTCCCCCCACAGATGATCGTCGGCAGCAGAGCCTTGTCTGTACATAGAAACTAGCGCCGTGAGGACCTTTATGGAACCCCCGCTGATGTGATCGATCGGTATGTGGGTGGCCCGGTGTCATCTATCGTCCCGTTCTTGTTGAATGTCACCATCAACGCCATGGTAAGCGGATAGAAATCAGAGGTTTATGTCAGAATAGAATATTGCAGTACTTCTCTGCGGGCAGTATAAGATCGTATTTCTCACAGGTGAAAGACCTACTGGAGCGGTCATGTTAACTTGGACTCGAAAGAGAACTCGCTCTCTAGTAGGCGAGCAAGACGTGTGTCGCCCACGCTCGTCGGAGCTAGACACACAGCTCTCCGCAAGCGCCCGTGGAACTTTCACATGTTCTGGAAGTGTAGACCTCATACGGAAGGTCTCATTCCTGCAGAAGACTTGTGGATAGAGTCCATAGGACTGCCATGATAGTCCCCATCTGGAAGGACATGCCGCAGCGGTTCGTGTTATGCCATGATTTTCCAAGCACTAAAATGGAAGGTTATAGAATAGGGGCATCGCGAGTTAACGTGAAGTTTGTAACTATAAAGATGGCGAGGCCATCGTCGTCCATATCATCATTTTCTTTCATCTCATCTCATCCTACTTCAGTTCCCTCAGTCCAGTATCCAACTATCTCTCGGTAGCTCCTCATCCGGCTCGCTTCTTCATCATGGTTTTTAAGACTCTCGTCGCCGCTCTTGGCTTCACCGCCGTCGCCTTCGGCTCGCCCGTCCCTGCCCCCCAGGAGGAGCTTCAGATCGTTGGCGGCGTTGCTGCCAGCGCTGGAGACTTCCCCTTCATCGTCTCCCTGCAGAGGAGCGGTTCCCACTTCTGCGGCGGATCTCTTCTGAACGCCAACACCGTTCTGACCGCCGCTCACTGCAGCACCGGCGTCAGCGCTTCCTCCGTGACTGTCCGCGCCGGCAGCCTGGTATGTGAACCCTGATCCAGCCATCATACATGCCCAGTATGCTGATACTCGAACAGAACCGCAGCTCCGGTGGCACTCTTGTCCGTGTTTCCTCGATCGTCGTTAACCCCGGCTACGTTGCCTCGAGGTACGACAACGACTTCGCCATCTGGAAGCTCGCTACCCCCATCCCCACGAGCTCCACCATCAGCTACGCCACCCTGGCCGCCGCCAACTCGGACCCCGCCGCCAACACTCTCACCACCACCGCTGGCTGGTAAGTCATGTGATCCCCCTGGTGCTCACGGAATGGTTTCTCAGGAGAGCTGACACGCAATGCAAGGGGAACCACCTCGTCCGGCGGCAGCACCCTCCCCACCGCCCTGAGGAAGGTTGATGTCCCCATCATCTCCCGCGCCACCTGCCGCTCCTACTACGGCACCTCTGCCGTCACCACCAACATGATCTGCGCCGGCTTCGCTGCCGGTGGCAAGGACTCCTGCCAGGGTGACTCCGGCGGCCCCATCATCGAGGCCAGCTCCAGGACTCTCGTCGGTGTTGTCTCTTGGGGTGAGGGCTGCGCTGCTCCCAACGCTCCCGGTGTTTACGCCCGCGTTGGCGCCGCCCGCACCTTCATCAACCAGTACCTTTAAAGGGTTGATCAGAACCAGCCACCGCTGAGATGCGGCACGATTGAGGAACCGGCCAGGAGATCGATTCGGAGGGGCAGCGGATCGACGAGAGACGGGATGGAGATCCACAAACGGTGGGGAGATAGATGGTGGAAGTATCATGTAGAGATGCCTGATAGGGGAGAACCGGTCAGAAGATGATGGGAGACGACTCACGGGGAGTAGGAGATAGGACGTGAGAGAAAGGACACTTTCATAGCAGCGGGAATAGCGGGGCTTGCTTCTCTCGGGAACCGCTTGGCAATGAATCAAACCAGTGCCCATAAAACCGTCGACATGCCACTTGGACCAAGCGTGATTGAGCCCTCTTTCATGTCCCCGTGGCACTTAGAATACGCTTGACAGTACCTCGGCCTATTGTCAGATCGAAGCATAGGTGTCAAAGTGAAAGACAACCAGTTGCCTTTGTTCCCATGTTCGAGCACACCCGACAAGAGAACCGGACATTGAGCTCATCCACGAATAAAGTAGGAAAGATGGCAGGCAGTGGATCGAGTCCCTCCCCTGCCAAGTCCGCGGAGCCGTAACTCGTTGAAAGCCGACACGGCTGATGCCAACAAACTTTGTCAGCTGACTGACACAGCTGACTGGACCGCCCCTCGACAATCAACAGCATGTTTCAGCGACCAAGTCAGACTACGGAGGTCCCTTCTGTGTAACCTACTTTCTTCCAGTCAATCAAGATGTTACTCCTTCATCATTAGACAAGCAATGAAGCTACATTCAGGCCAACTTGCCAAGCCATACCACTACGATCACTGCACCGCAGAATCTCTAGCCCATGGAGCGGCAACACAGAACTATCAGGGACTACCAAGACAACTTCTTTTTCGATTCGTCGATTTGCATTTCGTCACCGTCTTGACGCCTCGTATATGAAAGCGGAGCCGAAGGCACGAGACGCAAACATGACAATCTCTATCATTTATCGTCAGACCAACCCCTTGAATGGTATCCTGACCCAAAGGACTGGTAGGTCTACGGCTAACAAGAGAGTTCGAACAGGATACATATATTTTTCTTTCGTTGCCTGTGTAACTTTCGAGCCCGACGTGCCTTTCCCACAACTTTAATCCGACCGCCTACGTATTCGATTGCGTACCCTACACATAAAGGGCCTTCCGGTGGTTCAAACATGTGGAATCGATTCTTTCGCATGTCAGTCAACGCATGATGTGACCAGTGTCAGGTCAAGTCAGCATGAATAACAACGCGGCGCCTTAGACGACTGTGGGCTTTCGAGGATCCATCTTTATAAAAAGACATAAGAAGACTTGGAGCTGCCCATACGAGATAATTGTTGCGTGTAGCTGACGCTACAACTGACAGTACAGCCAACGACAATATCTGTTGCGCATGTCGGATCTTATTTCACAAGCCCTCAGGTTGTCCCTACGTTGTGAAAGCAGCTTCAGTAAAGAAAACGTCAGGTCGTCCCCCGGATACCCGGGTCTTCAGTCCTGCCTCTACCTGTTTTCTCCTGCACGAAGACGACGCGAATACCGCCCCTCGTTCCAGCCGCCGATAAAGTCCTAGCATGATGCTCGAGCCGGCACCGTCAGCAGAGAACGGGAACATCAGCTGCCTCGAAACCGTGCCGCGGCTTCGAGGCAGCGGTGCTTCGTCGGTCAAGGAAGGCGGAAGGCACCGATGGACTTGACAGCACCATGCTTCGTTCGGTCTTTGCACTACGAACCGCGTGGAACAATGCCAAAAAGGACAATCCAGGCTCGCAGCACTAGTCCTGGCGCCATGTAGTGACCCACCTAGCTCGGCCCCTGACCCTAGTTGGATTCCCGGACTTGCGCGACTCGGACGCAGTTTCCGGGCGAAGCGCCCGGATTCAACTACCGGACTTTTCGAGTCCGCCCGGATACGTGGTATATATCTGCCGATGCGCCCTCTCATGATGTTTTCACTTGTTCCAGACCCGACCGCGCGTCCCATTCACGAGGGTCACCCCCGAAGTCATGTAAGCGGCAAAGAATCTTAGCGGGCTCTCTGACAAAACTCACTGTGCCGAGGTTGCCGTAGACTGCTGCCAGCGACACGTGTGATCTTTAGGGCAGATCATGTGTCTCCGAGGATGCTATGTATTTGGCGTGCATGGGTCCTGACATAGCGAAAAGTCATAAACTCGAGTACGTGGGTATGCTTCAGGTGACTGGAAGTCACTGGTCAATGAGTTTGGAGCAAGCATGAAGGCGGTGAACGCAAAAGTGTCAAATGGCTGGGGCGCCTTCGTATTAGGTTGGGGTCGGATTTGTTCGGATCTTACCGACGGTGTCCCAGGCTTGGGTATTGGCAGCCAAGCTGGTGGAAAGCTGGACCTCTTTGGAGCAGCACACTATGCTGCTGTATTACTCCCTCCCCGACCTCGTCTCATCTATTATTTAGATTACGCTGCGCTGAACCTGGCATTCCGCTTCAGTGCCAATCTGAAAACCCAAAAACGTCCGGACTCTTGGTAGTGTCAAATATGAGTTGCCGGAGCATCTTGATTCCCAAGTATTTTTTCGGGTGAACCTGGTGTCAAAGGGTTGCCATAAACGAGGCCACTCACCATTGAGCTGTGCAGACCTTCAAACACGGAGGGCCGATGCTCCACAATGCTCCGAACCTTCTGCATAACGGGAAAAAGGTGGTCTCATTGACCATTTTGTTTTGCTTCCACCGAAATAATTCCTTGAGGCACTTTCCAAGAACGCAGATGTGGATATCGCTCGTAAAACCCGTCTCCAAGCTTCCAGTTTGCCAGATTCGTGATTTCTGCCTCAAGGCGCTGTGGGATGCTGAGCAACATTGGATCTGATGTTACAATATCCACAACCAGAAACTCGCCGATAGCCGAAGATATGTCGTGAATATCGTTGGGAGCGGTGTGTGATATTCGTATGAAGTCTTCTCTGGCAGCGGGCCTGTTATCCACATTAGATATACACACATCCTGGGAGTGTGAAGAGCAGTCCTTTCAGGCACTGACCAAGCTATGAGGTCCGCAGCGTGGGGGTGTAAGACATTGAGCTGGAGTGGTGTTGGCCGCAATCAGGTTGGGAGGCTCAAAAATGCTTCTTCAGTTTGTAGAGCTTGCCACTGTCCGAGATATCAGCAAAGACTGGCCAGGAAAACGACACCTCGCTGTGCAAAGGCCTGCCAAATGAATCCTTGGTAGTGGTGTAAGCAGCCTACCCTGAACAAAAGATAAAGCACCCAGTAGCCTGCAAGATACTCGGAAGTTCGCCTTGCTCTTCGAAGAGGCTCCAAAAACATCTTCAGGTCGAGGGAAAGTGTATTCTGAGGGTCATCGAATAAGAAGTCGGATAGTTTTGGCGGCCCGACATGTTGCATATTGACTCGACTCCGCTCAATCATGGGTTGTACTTTTATGTCCTGTGGCATATTAGGCGACGTGACCAGGGGTAGAATTTGATGATGCCTCGGACCACCGCTGGGGTTTGGAAAACAAAGGCTCAGGGGCGAGACGCACTGGCCAACATAATTCTCTAGTAGTTCGAGGATGCTCAAATTTTCAGGATTGGGCATCGTAGTCTGATTTTCGTATGGTGTCGTTCCCCCCTCGAACGAGTTATTGGTAGGATACGGTCGAGCGACAAAGGTTCTTTGGTTGAGCTGGTCGCTCGAGGCGTCGTTATGAGAACGAGACCAGGATTCCCAAGTCGGTTCGAAGGGTCTTGTTTGTGATGGAACATGTTGTTGATGAGCGCGTTGCCATGAATCGTTGGACATTGTTGCCAAGGAAAACTCCATGCCATCATCGGCGGAGCTGAGAAGAGAGGGACGATGAGAGCCCAAAGTGACAGTTGAGGTTGAATGATCCACCGTGCTGTGTGAATGATCACGAGCGCGGCTGCTTTCATGGTCCCGATGCTGGTCCTCTGGCATGATGAACATGCTATGCTGCGCTGCAGTAGACATGGCTTGGCCTGTCGCATCCTGTACCCGAGACATGTCGCTGTTGTCCCGGTCTGGGTCCGCGTCTGGGATGGCATCGGCATACGGCGACTGACTCCCGTCGTGGCTCCCGGTGTAGTGGCTCGCCTGACCTGGTTGCAGCGGTTCGTCCGTGGTAGTTTGGCCTCCCTCTCGCGCCATGAGCCTATCAAGCTGCGTGTCAATCTGTGAATCGGGTCTCGCAGAAAGTAAGTTGACAGTAGACGTTCGCCGAAGCTGCCGTTGGCGCAAGAGCAGCTGCTCCATTTCATCCCACAATGCATGCATCTGCTTGAGCTCGTCGTACAGCTGAAGATTCCGGGCAGCTAGCTGCGCTACGTCTGACTGGCCGCCTTCTTTGAGCATACTGAGCTGGGCCTCGAGCTCTTCGATGTACTGCTTCTGACGTTTGCGATGTTCGCGCTGAGCAACTCTGTCGGTCAAACGTTTACGTTCTTTGCGTGCGCTCGCAGAGACTTCTCCTTCGTCAAGCTCAACCGCCGTGGCAGTGGATTTTCCGGCCTGAAGCTGAACGGGTGTGCTGCTGAAAGATCTGGGAGGCTGTCGACGCGAGGACCGAGTGCGTGCGGCCACGGTTGTGGGCTCAGGTTCTGAGCCAACTTGGTTGCCTTCGTCGGGAGTCTGCTGCTCCGCGGAAGTCCTTACGCGCTTCGGCATGATGACAGGACCTTCCCTCCAAGGCCGTAGAGTGCGAAAACAACGTTCAAGCAGTGTGACGAATTTGATGGCTTGTGGCGATGGTGGTGATGGTATGGAGCTGGGTACCGGATAATGGCGTTGGCGTTGGCGTTTGTGCTTATGGATCGGATTAAGGAGTTGGGATCATGAGCCTAAGGACTGGTTGGGGACATCGGTGGGGGTAGCAAGGGGAAAGAATAACGCGTAAGACAGGGCGAGAAGGAGGCCATCGGGGGAAGGCTAAGCGAAAAGGGGCCCCTATAAAGCGCTTCCCGCCTCCCGCGGGAAGGAGAGGCTAAGGCTAGAGGACCAAGGGAACCGGGTGCTGAAGGTGGCCTGCTGTATCGTGCGTGCGTGCATTCAAAGTGCGGCGTGGTGACAGTGATAGTGACGGTGTGTGCATCTTTCTTCCTGCCTGCTTAATGTATCTGTTTGTCTGTCCGTGCCGAGGTGACTTGATGCTGCTTTGCACTGAAACGCTGAGTGGAGCGACGAGGGGTATGCGCAACTGGGGCAGCGGCGGTAGAGCTGCACCTGCTGCACCTGCACCTGCACCTGCACCAGTTCTGGCCCTGACTTTCCGTCCTGACTAGGCTTCTGTCGCGATCTCGAGCACGTTGTCACGGGGAAAGCCAATCGAGGCAGGAACCACTCGAATGACCAATACGGCAGAAGCCAACGGACCGGGCGAATAGGCACAACTGGCAGGGACAACCCCCAAACGCACCTGCACAGCAATCCAGCAATTCAAGCAATCCAATCCACCGGAGCAGGCAGGTGTGGACCGCCCAGTCGGCGGGGACAGGCGGCGCCATATTTTCCGTGGTCCCAAGGGCGACTAACGAAGCCTCTTTACCTGCACTAAGCACTGAGTAAGATGCCTTTCCCTGCAAGCGTTTCATCTCCACGAGCTCCTGGTGCCGTGTCGTGCTCAGGTGTCCAGGTATCTTGCAAGACTTTGCTTTCTAGCCAACGAGCCACCAGAACGGCACTTGATAGAAGCCCGACCTCCGACCTCCGATGGCTGATGCGGAGTCTCTCTATTGAGTCAAGCGCCGTGTGGTCATTTTCCTGCAAAGGACATCGACAAGCTGTGCGTGTCAGTGTCATGGCCTCATCACCATATTTGTCGGCTTGGGTTTCACTCCCGACCTGACATTGGCTGGGATCAGCCTACAGAACCAGCCCAAATACTCAAGGTCTACGTGGGTACCGTCTCCTCCTGCCACGGTGCTCTCTCGCAGTGAACCAAGAGCCCGTCTGTCGTCAGAATGCTACTCCTTGCTTTTCAGTGAATGGTATGACGGCCTTTTTCTGAGCGCAGCGTCCACCCATCATATGAAGGCACCCAGCCGGAGTTGCACAGTCGAGCCTCGAACCAACAAAGTCGCCACCTTGCCTGACTTTTTCGAACCTCTCCGAACTGACCTTGACCCTGGATACCTTATGTGTGTCGTCACATCCATCCCCGACCTTCTATTGCTATGAGCTGATGTCTTGTATTATGAGTCTATGCTCACAAATCTCAGGACCCAATCCACCTGGCAATTGTGTGAACTGAAAATGGTTTTCTGGACAACCGAGCACTGTCCAAAACTAATCCAGCCTACAAAAGGTTGGCGTGGACATTTTGAGTCCTGTCAGAAGTTGCCGACGGTCGTTCGAACCTATGGAGTCTCCTTGACATATCCACAGTGCCATGGCCGAAGTAAATCGTACGACGGAGGATTCTGGACCATTACTCCTGCGAATATGGCAACGAATCTACCTAAGCGTCAAAGGAGCCATTCAAGCCAGCTGAAATGAGTGGCATTGTGCAGCTGGAGCTGGGGATGACCGTGTCCAAATCAGACAGCAACGTGATGCGAGCTTGCCTATGGTAAGGTAGGATTATCCATGATTCAGGCTTCCTGGCATACATGACGCCATGCAGGCGAGAAAAACACCATGATCACGGGCCCTGGGTCATCGACATGTTTTCTTTGGTTGTATACGAGCGCCTGACTCGATGCAGAGAGCAGGGAGAAGGGTCGATGCCCGCCAAGGATATGTGCAGTCAACGATGTTCCGTCTATGAATTCATCGATCGAATCAGACACAAAAGGTGCTGGCCCGTCAGGCTTTTAATGAATTGTCGCTCGTGACCTAACGCGCGCCAGACAGACAGGCCATCCATGACAACATATGACCAGGACAGCTGTGAACAGAGTTCTGGGGCTGGGGAGTCCTTGGACACATGCTGAACAAGAGCTTGACTCGCATGGCTGACACTGATTTGCCCGACAATCCCGCCGTGAGTATAGACCAGAGCCCGGATAGGGCTGGCTACAGGTCCGGCTACGATGATGGAGGTTTCGATCCGCCCCAGTTGACTCGATTCGCTGACTCGCATTTAGTTCCAACCTCACGCAACATTCTACTAGGTCTCCCCCGCATGTAACCGGCTCACAATAATCTTGCCTCCTATTATCTACCAAGTTGCTTACCTTTTCGGACATTTCTGTAACTTCTGAAACATGCCCCACGGAAGCTCAAGCCTTTGGTTTCTTTCAATCAAAGATCTCTGGCCACCCTGACACCGCATCAAGGTTTACCCATGGTTTTTTGTCTTCCCTCCCCGGTATCAAACGAGGCCCGGTCCACCACACCGAACCGTCCCAGCGGCGCACCAACGACGCAACCTGGTCACTCCAGCCGAACCACCCACGTCAGTCTGGCGGGAGGCAAACCCAGTGTTGCAGCTATGATCCTCAACCCCTGCATACCCCCTTGACAGCTTCTTCTTGTTTCGTCACTGATGCGTCTTTACGGTACACTTTGGTAGTCGCGGCATCAATGTGGTTCAGCCAACAAGGATTTTGGGAGACGGCTCTACGAGTGCTGGCTCGGATGGCTCTTGCTTCATTCTTTGAAGCATCGAACGCCACCACGCCAGCGAAAAACCCTCAAGAATGCGATGTAATAGGAAGTATGGCAGCTTGAGGAGAAACAGACGGGCAACTGAGCCGACGACTATGTCCTGTTCACTGTATTGCGATGCTGACAACCTCTCATCATCGAGACCTTTTTGTCTATCTTGGCATTACCAATGCAGCCACTGCTACCCACAGATATAACCTCGGCAGGATTGAGAGCGATGTCCGGCGAAGTTTCTCGTGCGGGTTGCGAGACTCCAACGACACTCTGCAGATGATTGCGAGCTCTTGTCAGAGATGGGGACGCGAAAGCTGCTGCGTCAAGCATGTTTTTTTCGCTCGATGCGGATGCGTCACACATTGCCTTTCTGTTTGACCCTGCGATCCGGGATGAAATCGTGAGAGGGGTTTGATCTCACTTTCCAAAAAAACACGTCTGACTTGACAGCAAGAACCACAGGGGCTGTGCAGCATTGACGTGAAGAAGTCGGCAGTTGAAAAGATGTCGCTGACTGCTGCCACCTCTGGTATCCTGGGCGGAACTGCCTGCATAGGTAGGGTGCGTAAAACTCCAAGCTTCTGGCCACGACATCACTGGACTCAGGGTCCGGGTAAAGCGCATCTCGGTCCATCTGATATCACCCAGACATCCCACCGACGGGATTGCGCATGATGGATATCAAGTAATATGATGCTCAACTCCTGCCCAACCAGTCTGATAGTGAGTTGAAGGACGCAACAACAAGCATCACCAATGCAAGTCGAAATCTCATCATCCAAAATCAGGGGCGCACTTAGCCTCGTAATCATGCCGCGGAACCGACCGACAGAAAGCCTTAGCCAGGGTCCGCTACCCCTCAACTCGATAATTACTGTTTTGGGACAAGTGCACATTTGGGTGTGGTGGGTTGATGGCCGTCTCATCTCTCGCCGGCCAGGTGGGGGCTACCAGACATCGAACGGGCACAGTCCGACATGTGTCAGCCACGCGGCCGCGGCTTGAGCTCCTGCACTGCGGTTCGCGTGCTTCGAGGGATTTCATGGTTTGCTGACCATCCCTCATAATGGACCAAGCTAACCATACACCAACAGCGAGGGAGCTCCGTGTCTCCAAGTTCCGAAGTCTCCGTGCTCCCAGCAAGCCCGATTGATCCTCGACATTGCGAAGACGGGTTTGAAGGTTCGGCGCGATGTAGGAAGAGGATGTGGTTGCCGATCTGCGCTCCGTCGCCGTGCTCATTTGTGCCGCACCCAATCGCCAGTTCATCTTGCATGCGGCTCCTTGAAGCGAGGCCGACTGACTGGACACTCCTGTATGACATTCCAATGTGCGTTGCTAGGATCTCAATGACCTTTGGAGACATCAGCTCGGGCGTTACCCACCTGTTCATCAACGCTCATCGTTGATGCCAGCGTCCGGAGATGCATGACGCCTGGCTGAGCGCTGGGCTGCCTCACCTTTTCTTGTTCAAGAACCTCCTTAGCTTGGGACGTTACTTGAGTCCCTTCAGTCATTTCTCGCCTACTACCTAGGTAGTTTCTTTGCTTCTCCGACGGACTGTTCTGCCAGCATAGCCTTCTGGCAGATTACTCACGATCAAATCCCATCCCAGCACTTGGATCAGTGATCTCAAAGCACCCCAGGCCAGGTTAGGGCGCTTCAAGTACTTGAGGTGCATCACTCGAGCAGGTTGAGACTCGGTAGCACGACTATCAGCTTCAGCGACCTTGGGCGTGAGACAGCCGTTGAGCTGCGCGCAGAGATGAATCACATCTGCGCCCATCTTCAAAGCTCATTTGCTGTGGGCTGTATTCCAGCCAACACAGCGTCAACTGGAATACAGCCCACAGCGTCAGCAATGGGATCAGTCGTCACGAATCACGATGCCCAAGCGAACAGCTACAAAGGCATTCCAGATCAACCACCCGTTAGCGTCCTTCCCACGATGTCCAACAACAAGCAGAAAGCTTCGAGCCTCGGGAAGCGAATCAACAAGAACCCTAACCCACCTCCCGGTCATTACCCTCCGAAGACCGAGCAGGACCTCCGCCGTGTCAGCAGCCCTCCACTAACGAACTCGGACAAAACCGTTGCACCTAACCTTATACGAAGGAGAGGGCAAAGGAAGAATATGCCGCCTCCAATCGGCTGATAACCTGCGGGAAGCGCCCCTCTTCCTCCCGCCCTTTTGCCTGGCAGATTTGCAGATGTGCCAGCCACCTCGTCTCTCCGCTTCCGAAGTCCTGCAGAACTCCTCCATTGTGACTGGTGCGCATCTCACCCGGCCAGGGGTATAACCGCCTCCTGTCGCCCACAACACGGCACTTCCAGGAGTTTCCCCGCATGAATCCCCGCACTAATTGTTGGGGTTGACAAAATGGTCGGCCCGCGATTCGGATTTGGGAATGGTGTCAATCTCGCGCCGGCTTTTGTTTGGAGCGCATGCCGAGGCCAATGGGGTCACAAACGCCACACTGCTTTCCTGCTTGGTTCAACGGTCGGCCGCAATGTGATCTTGTCATTCTGCCTGGGAGAAGCTCGAAGGGATTGACCCGCTGCCGAGGAAGGGCAGCGTTGCATCGTCATGCTATCGTCGCGTGGACATGTCGCATCGCCGAGATGATTCTCTATAAACACTGACGATTCCCCTTCGCTCCCTCTTGCTGAAGAGAGACTTCCTTCACGCCAGGCGCTGCTTTTTCCACAAGAGACGCTAGCCCAGAGAACCACCCATCATGCTCCGCTCCGCCCTCTTCGCGGCCGTCAGCGCCCTCAGCCTGTCGCTGACGTCGGCCCTCGAGACGTTCGACCGCAAGCTCATCTTCCAGCCGCCCTCGAACTACACCGACCCCCGCGTCCTCTACCCGCGCACCGTCCAGCTCACCGACGGTCGCCTCCTCGCCACCTGGGAGAACTACTCACCCGAGCCGCCCCTGGTGTGGCACCCTATCTACGAGTCCACCGATGGCGGTCTGTCGTGGGGCGAGGTCGGGCGCGTCACCGACCAGGTCAACGGCTGGGGCTTGCGCTACCAGCCCTTCCTGTACGAGCTGCGCCAAGACTTTGGCGGCTTCCCCGCCGGCACCGTCCTCGCGGCGTCCAACAGCATCCCCACCGACCTCAGCCAGACGCGCATCGACGTGTATGCCTCGCTCGACAAGGGCCGCACCTGGGAGTTCGTCTCGCACGTTGCCTCTGGCGGTCGCGCCATTCCCAACAACGAGGAGACGCCCGTCTGGGAGCCCATGATTATGTACGTTTTTGCTTTCCTTTCCTTCTCGCCGTGTTTGCCAGGAGACACAATCTGACAGCAGGCAGCATCTACGAGGACGAGCTCATCCTCTACTACGCCGACCAGCGCTCGGCCGAGCACGGCCAGGAGATCTCGCACCAGACGACCAAGGACCTCCGCACCTGGTCCGACGTTGTCATCGACATCTCAGAGCCCCGCTACACGGACCGCCCCGGCATGCCGTACGTCACCAAGCTGCCCAAGGGCGACTACATCTACGCGTACGAGTGGGGCGGCGCCGATATCCTGACGCCCTACACGTTCCCGCTCTACTACCGCATCGCCGCGGACCCGCGCCGTTTCGCCGACGCCGAGCCGCTCTACATCAACGCGACAAACCGCAACCCCGTCCCCGGCGGCGCCTTTCCCATCAGCAGCCCAGTCGTCGTCTGGTCGCCCGTCGGCGGCTGCCACGGGTCCATCATTGTCAGCAGCGGCAGCAAGGACCTGTACATCAACACCGAGGGCGGCGCGCCCGACGCCTGGCTCGCGTACACGGTGCCCGAGGATGCGGCGTACACGAGGCACATTCGCGTCATGGAGGAGGACCCCGACTTCCTGCTCATCATGGGCGCCGGCAAGCTGCCGCCGAGCACCACCAACAAGGTGACTGTCAGCATGGTGAAGATCTCGGACTTGTTGAAGCAGACGAAGGCGTGAGGGCTGTCTGTGTAGGAGTTAGTACCTAAATAATCGACTCAAACGGACCAAGAGGTTCTGCCATGATCTGCGTTCCCCATTGATACACGGGACATGTACCCACATGCTGCCGCCATGCGAGAAGTCAGCCCTGATCCTCGGTCGTACATATTCGGCATGATGGATTTGGTGGTGACAAGTATCGCATGTGAGGCTAAGAGATGGTTGTCTGATTTGATGATGAAGCCTGGATCGTAGGCCTTTCACGGAAGCATCTAGTCTAGATTTTCCTGGGAGATTGCAGGAATCTGGGCACTTTTGTCACCAAGTACCTGCCTGCGTACACCCGGTAGAAGAGGATCGTTATTGACACCAAGAGGACAGGTCAGACCGTGTGATCCTTCGGCCGATGTAAGGTACGTAGAAAGATAAGGTACTTTCGAAGGCCAGCTGGTCAGAAGGCACAGGCTAGACAGAACCTTCCTCACATGAGTTCCTACCTTCCCGACATCTGGCTTGTGACATACCTTTCCCTAAAGCACCTACCTCCCGTGAAGAATGCCTTTCGTGCCAAGGTGCTTGCCTGTCTTCATGCCTCTTCTCCTACCGACCCTACTTCTTCCACGTTCCATCTGACATGACCTCTGCATCAACATCCCAGTCTTCACATGCTCGCATACCCATACCCGCACCCCATATCAAGCATTAGCTACTCGCCATGAGTGACGAACTATCGCAGTATTCACCAAATGACGGGGCGCAAGGCACCTCCCTCGTAACCAAACGCAAATCATCACGAAGCAGTCGTCCGAGTAATCAGACCCAGCAGGAGCCCGCAGCTCAAGGGCACTCTCCAAAGGCGATACGCAAGGCACCACGGAGCAGTCGACACAAAAGACAGAGTAAACAGAAACCGTCGACGCAAGAAGAAGCCTCAAAGACGAATTGCGAGTCATCACAGAGCAGTCAACCGAGCAAACGAGTTAAAAAGGACCCACCTCCTCAGGAACTGCCGACGCAGGACAACCAGCTTTCCACCAACACTTTCATTCAACAGCCACAGCCGTGGAACCCCAATCCCTACGTAAAAAAGGATTCGTCCATACATGGGTTTCAAGAAGAACGCGACGCTGACGTGCTTGCTCACAGATGCCACTGCTTGGCCTCCCTGATTCACCCCAACTACCCCTCGATATGTTTCCTCCGTCTGACCCGGCAAGTTATCCGCAAAGCAACCCTTTGGATTCGTCCCAGCCTACACAGTTGCCGGTTCCCCAACCCGACCGGGAGCCGCCCTACATCCCGGCCGACGAATCACAGCAACACGAAATGTTTCAAACAATGCTGGCAGAGTTGCAAGACGTTAAACAAGAAGTGTACAGCTTGTCGTCCAAGTTGGAAACAGGATTCGTCAACCTACATGCGATGCTCTACACCCTCAATGCTGCGATAGCAAACATTGCGAGTCCAATACAGCGGTAGGACAGGGCGCTCGTCGTGGTCAATGACGCTATACCAGAAGGGGTGACAGGACGCCTTTTCGTCCATGTCCGAGGTGGTCGTGGTTGCGGGTCGTTTACTCTCAAATTCGACCCTTTGGATCATCGCTGGAGAAATTTCTTGTGAACAATGACATAGGAGGGCAAGCCCCCAGGTACTCTAATAAGGACCCAAATAGGAACGCGACGAACGCCACTAAATACCATGCAGCAGACTCCCGGACAAGCCATTGATCAAACGCCAGTCATCATGCACACCGAAGCCGGAACCCCGTGCCCCTTATCCCCTTACACAATCCACATGACAGCCGCAAGCCCAGCGCCGGCGGCAGCCCAGATGCCAGCCGAGAGGCCACCCGCCCCCGACTCCAACTCGGGCCTCTCGATCCCCTCGAGGCTATACTCCACCGCCGATCCGGCTCCTAGGCCGTACGTGGCCGAACCGTGCACCCACCGCAGATAGAACGTGACCGCCCCGTTGCCCTGCGGGAGTATGTTCGCCAGCGCCTCCCTTGCCTGCGCGGGATCCCAGTCGTACGACGTGACCCGCGGCTGGCTGACGTTGACCGCAATGTCGCCGGTGCTTGAGTACCCGGCGCCCGCGACGGTCTTTCCCTGGCTCTGGAGGAGCCAGCCGAGAGTTACCGAGCTGAGGGCGCTGTCGTTGCTTTCGGTGGGTTCCCACGTGAGCTTGATCGACGTGTCGTTGAGGTTGAGGGAGGATCCTGGCCGGGGCGAAGTGATCTCAAAGGCGAGGGCTGACGGGAGGACGGCCGCGAGGGCGAGAATGGCGATGTGCATGGTGATGTGTGGGGTAGTGTAGGCAACGTCAGGTAGATAGATTGGTGTTGAAGTATCTGGTGGGTTTTTTTTTCTTTTTCCCTCTGCGCTCCGAGCCAAGATGTACGGCAGGTGATGTAGTGGTACGTATTGCAGTTAAGACGGACGATCGCGAGATCTTCATCGCAACGCCGGCGTACGTCTTCTATCTTTATAACCTGTCAACAGAAGACTACCTTTTCCTCTCCTCTGAGCCTCCATTCGACCCCATGTCTCTGACGTGAGCCTGGAGGTACAGCCAGATGAGCTTAAAATCTGCATTCCCGTCTCCGCATCTCGCGCCATTGGCGGACGAAACGAGTATGTCAGGGGCTGGCTGTGCTGCGCCGCTGCCGTGGGCCGCATTGGGTAGCCTGAGCCGGCGGGGCGGGCTGCGTCGACGCTCCCTCGGCCGGGCGTGCACCGCGTTCTCAGCGCGGCTGGAGCGGCGCAGCGACTGGATGCGGCAGCTGGCAGAGCAAGAATCCTGGTGCCTAGGGGACTTTTGTTTTTTGTGCTTCCAGGGGCATTGTTCAACTAGAGCGGCGGCCTCAAGGCAGCCAGCAATTGCTCTGCGTTTCGTAGGCATCCTTCACCACCACCACGGGGAGCATCTCGCGGGGGGTTCCCAGCCGTCAGCTCCTGGGGCTTGGCGAGCACAGTGACACAGGGTACAAGCAATAAGAACGTGGCGAACTGTCTCGGAGACTGAGACGCAGGCGACTGTCACGGGAGCCGTGTCACTTGGCGCGAACCTCAATGACGAGCAAGTAGCGAGGCATACACATGGACGCGGACTGGCCACTGAAGAAGAAGAAAAAGTCCAGATACGCCGGCGGTGATATACAACAGTCGCCTATAGGAGAGGCGTGCGACGCGCGGTGATACGGAAGAATAGCCAAGACAACGCCAGACCCGTAGCATTCCCAAACAGCATTACTTGATTCACTGACCCAAATGAAGCCAAGACGTGACCGAAACACCTTGTTGGTGAGGCCAGGCAGACGTACACGGAGCGAGTCAACCGTCTGCGTTGTCGAGCAGAAATGGAAAGGCATTTCTTAGCCTCATTATTTCATGTCGCCGTTCTCATAAGGGCGGTCACGCGGCGGCTCGAATGGGTTCGCTGGGGTCTGGCCCTCGCGTTGCTTGCTGGGGCGCGGCATGGCGGGGTAGTCCGAGTCGTCGATATCGCCCTCGAGCTCGAGATGGGCGTCACCCTCGGCTTCCTTGCGGTCGCGACGCTGCATGCGACGGTGGAGGAAGTAGAGGAGAATGAGGCCACCGACGAGGCCGACGCCACTGCGATTGTTAGAATCAGGTTAGAGTGTGGAAAAAAAAACAAAAGAGACGGAATCCGTACACGATAGTGCCGACGACAATGGCAATGGTCCTCTTGCGTTCGGCGGGGGTGGAGTTGTCATTACGCTTGGCGAGCTGTGCCAAGGCGGTTTGAGAAAATGTGCTAAGCACGAGCATCACAGCGACGAGGCCGTGGTTGGATGGTGATGACAGGGTCATGGTGACGTAAGACGCAATGGTGGGCGAGGAGGTCACAAAGTGGGTGCGCGCTGGAGGAGATTGCGGTGGGCGCGATAAGGGGGGGAAAGAGACCCGCGACCGGTTCGAGGGGCTGATGAGGAGCGAGCGACGAAGAGCAATTGACGAGTAGCTTCGCGAGCGACGAGTATCTTGTTGGCGGCGAACGACGAAGAGAAAAAGAGCGAAAGCCAAGAGAAGCGGCGCAAGGTCCAAGGTTTGAAGGAAGGGAAGCGAAAGTCTGGTGAGATGACACACCGAAGTCGAGGTGAGATGAATGAAGTCAAGGGAATGTGAGTAGGTAGACAGAAAGGAGACAACAGTGGATGCAGAGATGCAAACCAGTGGAGGAGAACCTGAAGAGCAAGAAAGGTGGGGAGTGGGGAGTGGGGAGAGGTCGAAACTACGAGCAGGAGGAAGGGAGGAGGCGCCCGACTTTTCGAGACGAGGAACACAGCAAGAATTGAGGAAGGAAGAAGGATGCTGGTCTGGGCGTGCCTGACACAGGGGAAGGGGTGGCTCTGTGCAGCATGTGATTGGTGCTAGGAGTCATTAATACGACATTAGTGTGGAGATCACGCATGGAGGAGGCAGGTACGACGCCGCGCCGACGACCCCGAGACCGAGGCCGTCCCAAGGGAGGAAGGGAGGAAGGGAGGACGGGTCTCAATGGGAAGGAGTGGCTGAGGATTGATCGACTCTACTGAATAGTGGTGCATTGTGAATGCTCGAGAAAGAAAGGAAGGCAGGCTGACGGAACATCGCGACGGCATGGCAGGACACGGGCCTCAACTCATCTCGTATTAACACCACAGCCACGCAAGCTGCCCTGGAATCCGGCAGTCGATAGCCCTTCGCCTAACGCGATTCGATTCAATTCAAGCATGCCGTATGCGCGCACCGATCATTTCGTCCAGCAAAACGGGGACACAAGTGCAAACACTGGTCAATCGCCAGCCGTCGGCCCCGTCCGTGTTGTATGAGGAACAGTGAATCATTCGACACATACTACACAGTCACCACGCTGCATCGCGTAACTCACATGCTACTCCAACCCACAAACGATTGGGGAATTCCGTGTCTCAAAATCAAGGCTTTCTATGTATGCTTTCCTATGCGTCTATGCATGCCAGCAGTCGCTCATCAATCATATCGTGGTATCTACAGCATCGCCCGTCCAGAAATCTGATCATCTAGTCACAGGTGCTTCTCGTTCACCAGCACGTAGCGGTAACGAGGCTTGCCCGCCTCAAAGTCGACAATGGCCTTGTTGGCATCCTTCATCGGCCTAGTCTCGACCCAGGGCTTGACCTTCTTCTCAACAGCCAGCTCGAGCATCTCGCGAATGTCGTTGGGGGTGCCAATCAGGCTGCCACCCAGGTTGATGCCGTTGAGGATGAGGGAGAAGGCGTTGACAGGGGGCAGGTTACCGCCGTCGGGGGCGCCAACCTGGACGAGCTTGCCGCCAGGCTTCAGCAGGCCGAGGTAGCCAGTGTAAGGCATGTTGGAGCTGGACACCGTGCAGATGATGAGGTCGAGCGAGCGCGCGTTCTTCTTCTCCCAACCCTCGTCCTCGCCAGTGGCGATGTACTGGTCGGCTCCGAGCTTCAGGACATCTTCGCGCTTGTCGTTCTTGCGGGAGATGCCGACAACGCGGTCGGCGCCCAGGGCCTTGGCGAAGAGAATACCGAAGTGGCCCAGGCCGCCGACGCCGACAATGCCGACCGTCTTACCGGGACCCGCACCGTTCTGCTTCAGGGGCGCGAACACGGTGACGCCACCGCAAAGCATGGGTGCTGCCTCTTCCGAAGGAATGCCGTCGGGAATTTTGACGACAAAGTTGCCGTTGGTGCGGTTGTAGTCGGCGTAGCCGCCAAATGACTGGCCCTCGTCGCCAGGGTACTTGCTGTTGTACGTGCCAACGTTGCCGCGGGAGCAGTACGTCTCCTTGCCGATGGAGCACTCGGGGCAGTCGGCCTGCAGACAGGCGCGGGCCTGCGCTCCGACACCAACGCGGTCGCCCAGCTGGATGTGCTTGACGTTGGCACCGACCTTGACGGCCTTGCCAACAATCTCGTGGCCGACGCAGCAGGCTGTACTTGTAAGTGTGTGCACTTGCGGAGAGGCTGTATAAGATCGCTCGACTTACGGTACGTGGCCGCGCCCCAGCCGGAGCGGAGAGTATGGATGTCAGAGCCGCAGACACCGCAGTGTGTAATCTGAATGTCGACATCGTCCTCTGTCCACTTCTTGGGCTCAAAGGAACCCCACTCCATCTTGCCCTCAGCGGACTCGGGGCTAAGGCCGAGCCAGCCTTCAAACTTGTAGTCGGTGCTCATGGTGATTGTTATGGCGTTGGATTGGACGAAAAGGATGCAAGTGAGTCTCAAAGCAAGTGTTGTGAGATCGACGTAGTGTGAGTGTTGTGCGTTGCTTACAGCTTGACTAGACAGCTTCAGGATGGCCTCATGCTTTATACTCGATCACGACCTGTTGACATGGCCGACAAGACTCGAGTCGATTACGCATCATCACCGGAGTTAAGGCTGAACCTGGGGCTTCTTCGATTCCATTGACGTCTTCAAACATCCAATTCTTGCCGGCCCCGTTCACATCGTCCTGCTATCAGCGGTTCTGCCAATGACGCAAGAGATGTCCAGCGTGCTGGGTCGCCGCGAAATCTCTGACAGAATCGGTTATCGCCGACATGGGCTCCACACTTCTCAAGAAATCGCCAGTCTCACCCATGCGCCCTCTGGTTGTCGGACTTACAAGCGGGGCCCATCGCCCAAACCGGCCCTACCACCACGCTATTGCCGTACCAAATGCGCCCGGCTTTCGGGAAATGGACCGTGAGAGGATTGGTGTTTACCGCCGTTCGAATTCCCGGAACGTGCACGGCGTGGCGGTGACGGGACGACAGCCTTCGGGGATTTCTTTCTGTCTATGTGCAAATGCCGCAAATCAGTTGGAAGGAGCTCCAGTACGACGCTCCGGGAACAGAAAGCTCTCAGATGAAACCCTGGCCCAGATGGCGCGCCGAGGTTCGGGGTCAATGCCCCTCCTTCCTGGCTCAGTTAATGTATGTCAGCATTTGTGATCTTTGTCGCCGGACAGGGTACCGGTTTCTCTGGCTTCACCAAGGGTAGTGTTGCTTTGTGCTCCCTCGCCTGAAAACACGGCACCCACGTGGGCCCTTGTCGCGACAGATTCAAAAGATAGCGCCAGCATCCAACTGCCGGCGATCCGTCGAAGCTGTCAGAAGTGGAGCAGGCTTCACTGTGGAGCGGGATTCGTGTTGACCAGGACGCACTGCGTGGTGGCGAAAGCTTCAAGACGTCCAGCCTCCGTGGCCAGGTTTTGCGACATTGTACAAGCGGGAAGCAGCGTCATACGCCCAGCTTGACGTACACGCAACGGCTGCGACTTTGAGCTTACGTTGACAACCTTATCGCAGACTTTTGTACGGCATTTTCTTTTTCCCGCACTCAACTGATTACTTGCGAACCCCCAATTTCAACATTGAACGTTTAGCAGCTAGACCTTGGTGCGCTGGGACGTCATAGACGCCAGATATGAGAGAATTCCAATTGGAAACTTCAGGGAAGTGGCATGCATCGACCTTTCATGAGCCTCCGGCAGCCACACCGCTTACTGGCTCTGTTCGGACGCAAGCACTCGCAAGAAGTTCTGCGACTTGCGTGGATGTCCGGTTCGTAGTCTTGGCTGCAGCACCGGTTATGTGCTCCGGCCAGCGCTGTGGCACTAGCGGCCGGCATTTCCCCTACAGTACTTGACGCTGTAAGCGGTGGGACATGGGTTGGTGACTGGAGTCATGTCTTTACTCATTGGCCGATGGCGACCATGAGTTGGAGAGTAAATCTACCCCAGGAGCTGGGCATTCACCTCACCAAATCGTCAGACATGTATTTGATAGGCCAGGAGACACAATATGTATTTATTCATAGCAAGGTAAACCTTCGGTCATGAAGAAACCCCGAAAGCCGCGCCCATCTTCTATTCCAAAGGTCAAGCCAGCCCGGCAGCCCTCCCTCGGCCGCTTACTTCTGCCTCTTGACAACAAACGCACCCCGCTCGATCGTGTTCACGAGGATGAAGCCACTCTTGAAGAAGGGGTAGTGGCTCCAGGTACCGACAAAATCGATAGACCCGCCGTTGGCGTTACGGTCATCTTCTGGGTAGACGTCGAAGAAGCCGACCTCCTTGACGAGCTTGCCCGTGGGGTCCTGCGGCAGGGACGACACGTCAAGAATACGCAGACCAGCGCCGTAATTGCTCTGGTACGCAAAGCCGTCAATGACGAACTGGTTGTGGTCAATGCCGTAGGCCGGGCTCTTGAAGTAGCCCGTCTGCTTGGGCTTCTCAAGCGACCGAATGTCCCAGAAGTAGGTGATTGGGTAGCCACTGGCGGCTGCGCCCGTCTTGTCGTACTCGTCGTACTCGTCGTCAAGTACGAGGTACTCCTGCCACTGCGTGTTCGTGACCCAACCTTGATGGGTGTCTGTACTCAAGTTAGGGATGGGGATTAAGCGAGCATTGGGTCGTGAAGGGCACTTACAGCTGGCGCCCTCGTAACTGGTGCGCGAGATAATCTTGGTGGTCGTCTTGTCGGTGACGTCGTAGCTGGGATTGTATGTCAGCCAAGCTGTCCTTTTCCCCTTGAGACGAGATGATCTTACATGGTCAAGGTGTCCTCATTGTAGCCGTAGCAAATATCGCGGCCCTGGTACTTCGTATCAGGACCCCTGTACACGAGGCATTGGGCATCGTGAACATAGCCGTCTCCGGCGGCGCAACCAAGAGTGGTGGGCTTGGCAGGGTTCTTGAGGTCGAGGAAAATGAGACCCGAGCGACATGTGCTGGTGCGAGGCTGCGCGCCGACAGCGACAGCATACTGCTTCTCCTCGTTGATCACAATGTTGTGCGTCGAGCCCGCGGGCAGGCCGTTCCAATATCCTGTCAGATCGCGCGAGTTGGAAAAAGTGACGGGGCTCGCCGGGTTGACGGTCAGCAGCTTGCTGAGGTCGAAGATTTGCACACCGTGGCGCGATGCCTCGCTGCCAATGACGATGAAGTTCTTGTAACCGCGCAACTCGCGCCAGATCGAGTTGGTCGAGTACGGCGGCAGGCGGCCGAGATAGACGAGCTTACCCGCCGACGTGATCTCGGAGAAGCTGGCGCCGTCGGCCTGGGCAACGACGACGAACTCACGGCCGTTGGGCGCCGTCCAGCCCCACGAAGAGGAGCCCTGGCCCGTCTTACTGCCGAGGGCGGCATGGCTCTTGAAGTCGTAGAAGTCGACCTGTGCGTGCGTCAGACAGGGTTACTCACAGCCTTGTGAGGTGAGACAAATGGTAAGCTACCTTGTTGCACTTGAAAGTGTTCAGGCGGTCACCTGGCACAACGGCGGCAACGCCGTTGACACAGGGGACGGGGCCATCGGCGGCGAGACGGCTCTGGTAGATGGTTGAGTTCATCTCGCCGCTGGCGATTTGTCGGTCCCATGAAGCCTGATAGAAAGTCAGATCACTTTAAGCAAGTCTTGAACGTCCAATCAACGCACGTGCTTGCGGGCCATCAGGTCCTTGTGGATGGCGCCGCTGTCGTAGATCTCGCTGATCAGCGCATTGGGCTGGAGCTCCTTGGCCGCAGTCGAGCCGACGGCCGTAAGGGCCAGAGCCTTGAGGAAAGTTGCCTTCATGATGTTGAGAGCAAGACGTCTGCGCGTACGACGAACGTGGCTGGATGCTTGCTCGGAGACCTCAGTATCGTTGGAAAGGAGGAGTGAAGGCGGCATTCACAGCGATTCCCCGGTGCTGAGACACAGCATTGTTTATAGATCTCGAGGGGCCTTTGCCACTAGGAATGCTGCGAATCCGATGACCTCTGATTACGATCCAGGAGACACTACGCGCCGGCTTCTCGAAGTAGAAGGTCTGCAATGCGATGTGACGTGGGGGAGCCATCGTGATCATGGCGCCATTCGGCCGGCATCGCCCGAATAGGCAGCTGGGGCCCCTGATGGAGATCTTGGGCGGCACTCGACTGCCGCGTCGAATTACGGCCCTATGAAAGAGGATCGGCAGCAGGCCTGATCGGCTGAAGGGTGTGGGGAAAGAGAAGCTTGCTCTCCCTTGGATCTCAGCGTGCAAGATGGGCCCTCAGGGTTGCGAGGACGCAGGTCAAAGCGCGCTGTCGAAGTGGGAGACGGCGTCGACCTTCCTTTTTGTTTGCGTGCATCAATTCATGTCGCGATCTTATCTCTGCATGCCACCATGGCTTCGGTGGCATCGCGAAAGGGCGAGAGGGACTTGCGGCCTTTGTGCGTGTGGCTTGTTACCGAACTTCTCGATGAGGAACAGACCGCGGAGCTGGCTTGAGACGGCTAGCATTCCATGCAAGACAGCGTGAGGCCTGGCTAAGACAGGAAGCTCGGGTCACAGACTCGTGCATCGCCTGGTGCCATGAGCGATCTGACTAGCTTTGACTATCGGCATTCTCGTCGTTCACCAAGCTCGCGATCGCCAAGGCGGATCCCACAGAGGAATAAACAGCCGGCCGGCATTGGGAATGCTAGCGTTGAAGAATTTCAGGAGCGACAGAAAGGTGACTGTTGGTGTATTCTTGGCACCTCGGCGTCGGCACGACATCCGGATGTTCAGTGCAAGGTACGGATTTGGTGTGCAACTGGTGCATCAGTTCTTGAATGCATGCAAAGACGTCCCAAGTGAGCTGCCTGAATAAGCAGGTGACGCAAGTTCATCTCAAAGTGGAGGCAGAACGAAATCATGGTACTCCTCGATAGGGAATCTTCGTCACATCATCTGCTGTACGGGCCGGCGCACTTCTCACGCCAGGACATCCAGGCCGTTAACCCGTATTTGAAATCTTTGTTGATGCTGTAAAGATACTCAACATACGTTATTCTATTACACCAGAGTTCGACAGAAGATATGATGGTCAGTCGTTGTACATTGCAAGAAGCCGGACAACTTTCCAGCCTACTTTGCCAAACTCATGACAGTATTCTCCGAGGCGATGAACACGCAAAATATCACTGGGAGAGTTGACCAAGCTGTCAAATTTGTGACTTCCATAATCGATACAAGAACTGAATTTGGTGACATCTCCTGTTTTGAGTCCTACTATATCACCGAAGGACATGATGGAAGACTGTTATGGGGCTTGATTATTCTGATATCCTGGTTTTCATCCACCGACGTAACTCGAGGACAGTCCCAGGCCAACTTCAAGACATGTAAGGCTCACGGGAGTGATGGAGAGCCCGAACTAAGGTCTCCTGGATGGAGACACAAGTTGTTCCCAGCAGGTGAGGCCTACTTTTCCACGGGCGAACTCAGGGTGCAAGTGACATTAAAAGTCAAGAATATGTATGTAGATGTGGTTCAGCTATCGTTTCGACCGTTCAAAAATGCTTTGTTGATATTATCAGTCCGTAAAAAGTATATCGACAAGGAAAGTAATGATACAACCACGCCAGAAACCAGGCGATCAACGATCCGTGCGAGTTCTTGGAGCCCCCCATCACTCAGTCGGCGGCACTTCAGACTTCGATGGCAATGGCCTGACTTCGACCCGCCTCCCATCATTCCACCTCTTGTCCCCCCAGTCACCATAATCATACTTGAGATTGACAAATGGAAGCCTCGGTTCGGCACCTTCGTACAGACAAATGTCCGCCCGACTCAGCAAGAAGCTCGCCTCCTTAATCTTGTCGACGGGCACACCATCCTTGGACCGTGGCACGAGGTCCAAAACAAGATAGCGGCCTCGTCCCTTCTCGTCATCCCTCCACCTCTTGAGCACGTTGAAGCGCAGGTTCGACAGCATGGTAGGCGTTGGCGGATCGGCGTTTTCACTCAGCAGCGTCAGCAGCGGATCATCCTCGCCACCGCGGCCCTCGGAGGGCATGGCACCGCAGGGAACCTCGACTGTTAGGCGGCGCAGGCGCTCGGTGGCACGGCCCTCGACGTAGACGATGCTGAAGACTAGGTCGAGGGGTAGACCTGTGTTACTGGGGACAAAGTCGCGTGAGCGCACAGGGTAGACCTTCAGGCGAAACTTGGGCCGGTTGGCAAACGTCTCGTCAAATGTTGGAGGGTCAGGAATTGGGGCGGAAGCCGCATCAAAAGCGAGTGAATTTGGAACCTGCCTGGCGGCCTCTGCGTATTCAGCGACGAGTGCTGCTTCTTGACGAGGTGACGGGGGCCTTGGACGGTGCATCGGTAATGCGCCGGACCAGACGCGCTGAGGGAGGGGCGACAATTCAGGCGGTTGAGCCCGTTTGGCCTCAGGGATGGAGAACTGAAAAACGGTGGGCTTCCTTGTTGAGGTCTGCCTCGACAAGTCGCCAATGTCAAGTTGCAGGATGGGATCGTTGAGTTGCAGTGCCAGCAAGGCCGAGGTCGCCCTCGTGTCAATGAATTCGTCGCCGAGGCCATCGCGCAGGCGCTTCAGCTGCAGGTTCGCAAAAGCTTCGACATGGAGGGTGCGTAAGTTCCAGTCGAATACGGGGGCGGTGTCCGTCGGCTTGAAGACCTCGGGCCTGCCCAGCGGTAGCCTGCGCTTCGCCGGCTCTTTGACCTCGGTGGCGGTGTAGATGCGCCGAAAGTTCACCGTCAGATCTTCAGTAGTCAGGGAGCCGCCGATGGTGAAGCACTGTTGATGGGGTGGCAGCGTGAAGGTGATACCCTCGAGCTCGGGTGGTGCCCGATCAAGCAGACAGAACATGGTATCAGGTGCGAGCCGCTTCTGCAAAAGTATGGGCTCCTCAGGGCCTGATGAACTTGCAGATGCAGCCCCTAGCGTTGAGCTCTTTGCATACTTTACGCTGACAGTCATATCCGGGAACTGAGCCAGTAGTACAGAGCGCATGAGAAAGCCGAACTTGGGCATTTGAACATGACCCAACTTCTCATCGGGGGTCCTGAGGCGTAGGTTCACGGCCTTTTTGATGGCTGCGCGGCTCTCATCTGCGGAAGGCTCGCTGGCCCAGTGGTTGGCAAGACTCAAGGCGCCGTCGATCAGAGCATCGCTCCAGTTCTCGTCAAAGTAGCAAAAACGAAGCGTCTCCTCAGGCAAGTGGGATGGTTCAACCACGAGATAGTGGGCGGGCACATTGGCGAGGTGAACCTTATCAATGATCCACGAATAAACGTAGGAGCTGTCCGTGTTGGTCGGCACATTGTGCTCGTTATAGAGCGTGCCGTCAGTCGCAAGAGCGAAGGATGCTGCAGCGGCGTCGGCGTGCGCTGATGTCCGAGGTGCCATGTGCTGCGAGCGTCGCGACGTATCGATGCTGCCGTGCTTTCCATCCGTGACCTGCACGTCATTGTGTTCAACGTCCCATCGGCGGCCGCTGGCGGTCGTGGCGGCCTTAATAGCTTCCCGATCACTCTGCAGTAGGTTCCCATTGAGGTCGTTCAGGCCGCGGACAAGGTCAAACACATGGGAGACTGTCTCTTTACGAGACGCATACTCGCCGATGGCCATGTGAACATCGCGCTTGGCGGCACCCTGAGATTGTGAGTCGATGGCCATGCGCAGGCGTGAAAGAGCGACGCAGAAGGCTTGATCACCCATGGCCAATGTCTTGCCAAGCTGCCAGGCACTGGCGTAGGTGAGGTCCATCACTGATATATCTGGGTCGAGGATCTGAAGGTCGGTGCCAAAATTGGACTGCATCACAAAACCCTCGCGCAGCGGGTGCGGCACAAAGGTCGGCGTCAAGGGTCCTCGCACCATAGCAGCCGTTTCTTCCCCTGTTACCGTCCGATGACGCACGAGCGTGTACCCGTCTCTCTGACGCTGCTCGACAAGGTCTTTGACTGAGGGCGATGATGGCATGTCAGGTCGGTCTTCTGGCAGCTCAGGCCGCGCAACCGTTAATGTATTGCCGAGATGCGTCAAACGGGAAAATGAGCTTGCGTCTTCGTTTGAGGGCCTACAGGTATAAGTCCAACTGTGAAGACTGAGAAGAGCGGCATGCGTGACATTCTCCGAGAGAGGCAGCGTGATGTTATTTGGCATATCAAGGGATACGAGGTGAACGACCATGTTCGTCGGCACTGGGGCACCGATGGGTCCTGTACGATGGGACAGGACGATGCTGAAGAGGGCTTCGAGAGACTTGGGATCCGAGCCGAGCTCAGACCCGGCGGCCGCCATACCGTCGGTTGCCACTTGTCGAACGTGAGCGAGATACTTGTGCTTGGTGTTGTCGAGAGCCGTGACACTGCCTGGCTTGCTGAAGAGCGGCACGAAGAGGCTCTTGGGCAGGAAGATGACATCAATGGGCTCTGCTGTCTCCCGTGCGTCCTCGTCTTTGTCAAACGATATAGCATTGCAGAGACGGGAATTTTCGCCGAGCTTGGGGATTTGCCCGGCACTCATGCGGACAGCCATACTTTCATTCTGTTTGCCATCGACCTCTGTGGTCACCGTCGCGAGAAGGCCGGCGAGGTCGGCCGGAGGGAGCTTCAGCTCGTCGACGGCAAAGGCCAGCAGTGCAATCCACGGCGTCAGGCGACGAGGGTCTCCTTTTTCGTCCTTGTCTGAAGCATCGTCAGGGCTATAGGCAGCTTCTCGTTCCCACGGGAGATGAGGGTCCTTGAAGCTCATGTGAGGCAGCACTGTCACCTCGGCCATTGCACCAGGGGCTGGAAACATCGAATCAATGCACCCGACAGGCAAGTTGAACTTGGGTGCGACGACATAGAGGTTCTGCGACTCCTCGGCGATGGCATCTTCGCGGCGCTTGTCTTTATCGGGTCCCTCGGCGGCTTTGTCGGGGGGCGCTGAAATAGTTTGACTGACTTTGACAGTGTGCAAGCCGCCTTTGAGCGAGGGAGAGTAGAACGAGTAGAACCGGGCCTCGCCGGGTAGAATGTCGCGAGCGACACCTGAGAGGATGCATTTGGCGCGGCGATGCGCCAACCGCCTGTGAGAGGAGACCATGGGTTCTTTGCTGCTCCGTATGGGGAATCGCTGCTATTCCGCAGAGATATGGAAAGGAATTTACCAAGACGATTTGAGGGCTGGGTTTAAACTCGGGCGTGTGGCAATGCTGTCGAGAGCATCGTGAGAAAGATGACAGGCAGAGCAAGCCTCAGGAGCTCGAACACCAGGGAAGCCACCAGAATCACTTCAGTGGTCGATATACGACAGGCCTTGGAAGTATTACCGTGTATAGAGACTTGAGGCCTGACCATGTGTGCAGAGACCATATTAAGGCATCAGTTCGATCTGACCGGCTGGTGCAGGGGGTCATTTGTGGTCAAGACGGCAAAAGACCCCCTGCGCGAGAGGCTACCGAATGCATTGTCGCGTCGTGCCGCGCCATGTGCCATGTGCTTAGCACGATGCCACCACCAGAGTAAGGCATGGGCTGCGTCCAGCTGCCCAAAGGGCAATCTATCGTATTCCGCTTCCCGCTTTTAGCCCAGTAGGCTTCTCAATAGAGACAACCCCTCCCTAACCCCGGCCTTCAGCTGTCGTTGAGCCGCGCTAGTGTTCCATTCAGAGTCATCGTCAGGCCTAGGCCCTGGAGTTTGCCTCTCGGCGGACAGTTGTTGTGGTTGTACTGCCTCCACTATTAATTTTCAGCGCGCCATGTACATGTAGAGCATGTTCTCAATGAGGCAGGCCTTGCTTGGTATGAAGACCAGTGAGGGTAAATTGGAAGAAATGGTTTCCGAAAAGCAAGGAGACGGACCCGGTTTCTGCAAGCGACCCATGGTCGGCTCCGTGGCATCATTATTCCTCGTCGCTTAGCATCGTCGAGATGTTTTCCAAGGAAGATCTTGGGCGAACATTATTAGGTCTGAATACCAGTGGGTCACCTCAAGCTGGGAGGAAATCGCAGCTACAGACAATAGGTTCAGGATGTCAGGGAACTCGTTTTCGCGGAAGGGAAGTATTCGTTGCATATTCAATAGGTCTTTCCAGGAAATAAGCTGCTTGAGGACTTGATCGTCATGTGTCTTCGAAGAATATGCCGACGGCTTCACTATCACGTCTCCGACTTCTTTTCACGGCCCACCATCATGAGGTATCCCTCCAGTGCTGTATACGGCCCACGGTCAAATCTGGCCCGCTCGTCCTCAGCTGCCACCGGCAAGGCCATGTATCTCTCGAGCGCTTCAATCGGAGCTGGCGACGCCACGGGACCATCACTGGCTCTTCCACCATCGTCCTCGGCCGAAGGGTGTTTTGCTTCCCCTGGGTAATACGGCTGCAGCCATGCCCAGTCGCCGCCCGCCACAGCCGGAAGTCCGACAGCTCCCTCCTCGTGCTTCACGTCGGGCAAAGTGACAGCAACATCTGGCGCAAGCTCACGATCGTCGACAAAGTTTGGAACGTCTTTCGTGACAATGATGGGGCCAGCGTGGAAGAAAGCTTTCATCCTCGCGAGGGCACCCTGCCATGTCCACGGCGGCAACGACAGTTCACGCACGGGCAAGATCCCCGAGTATACGTGGAGCGGTACAAACGGATCCGTGAGTGCTCCAAAGACTTTGAGTCGCGCGTTGTGTCGACGTCCATACTCTTCGGCATCTACCACGTTGCGCGGCTCAGGACTTTCGTAGTATGCATTAAGATGCACAAGCTTTGAATGTGCGACAGGCGGGAGGTGATCAGGATCTTCTTTCACCTCGTTTCCGCCAGGCGCGAAGTCTGAACGGATACTCTTGAGCTCGAGCCCAAGGTCTTTAGTATCCTCTGAAGAGAGGCTCTCGCGGCACTCAAAGTAACCCACGAGACCATCAAACCCACGCTGCCTGTCACCAATCTTGACGCCAAATGAGTACTGTTCCTTGCCTGTGCCCGGTAACAACCCATGGGGCGGCTTCCTCGGCCGAGTCTTAGGATTTCCATCCTCATCTCCCTGCTCGCCATCAGCCTGGCTCGCGAGGGCATCAGCTGCCAGTTCCAGTGACCATCCGGCATTGACGAGAGCCAGCGGACGCCCTATTAGCGCACTCGCAAACTCGGCGTAAGCCTCAGGGGCAGCAGCGGCATCCATTTCAGACGTGGACGTCTCGATCATGGTCCAGAAGGCGTGGAGAAAGTTGGGATCGCCCCCGAGCCGTTGCACGAGCAGCTGGAGCTGCTGCATTTCTGGGTTTTCGGGCAGACGGTCGCCGGCTTTAGGTGGCCGGAAGGGCAACCATTCAGGCGAGGTCTGGGCCCCCGATGGTCCCGCGAGTCGAACCTCCCGGTAGAAGGTGCCGTCCGGGAGGAATAGCTGGATGCCTGTGTTGGCGTAATTGATGACCACCCAGCCCCAAATGGGATTCTCCCACTCGTCTGCTGGGCGCCAGAAAGGTGTTGAAACTTTTGAGGAGGGCAGGAGCCTGCCGTTCTGTGTGCTAATACCTTCAGTGCCGTCGGCATCGTCAGTCTTGTCAGCTCGCACAACAAAAGTTGCGTTCAGGCGGGCTTGTTGATTAATCTGAGGCGGAAGCTGCATGAACTCGCATGGTTTGGGGTCCTCATCGCGCACATCATCGTCATCGCCATTACCCTCATCCTCATGACTGAGCTCTTTCCTCGAGAGGCCTTCATCTCTTTCGACAACGTTCGGCTCCCTTGCCGTACCATCTCCTCTCAGCTGCGGCGCAAGCCACTCACCGATGCATGGCCATACCTTCTGCGGGTTTTTGCTCGGCCGTGGATCAATGGCGTGGATGGCCTGGCCGAATTTGTCGATGATGTTAAGCCGTGTGAGGCGAAATTGGCCATGTGTCGCCGGCTTGAATAGTGGTTCTCCCGTAGTGGAGGCTTTCATGGACTTTCCGAACGGAGTATTGTCAGTTTCGATGCCGATACTTCGGAGTTGAGGGGCCTCGAAGCCCCCGTCTTTGCGCTCTGCCTCCTTTATGGGCACTACCTCGCCCGTACCGCCGTGACGCAGATTAGGTTTGATGTGATTGCCCTGTTGCACTGTTGTCAAATGCGCCGCCAGCCCAGCCAGTGGTGCTGACAGGAAAGACAATTGATGAAGTTCGCGAAGTAATTCCTCACGTTTGTGCTTGTCGAGCAGTCCGCTATTCTCCTTGCCCTTCTCTGCGTTCTTGTCATTGTTATTTTTCTCATCTCTGTCGTCCTCCCTGTCCTTCTTATGATCTTGTTTGTCTTCGCCGAGATCACTTGCTGGAGTACTATCAAAGAGTTGTCGGATCTTAGCTTCAAGCGAGAATGATGGCTGCGGTAGGATCAGCACCCGGCCCTGAATCTTGTGTTTATCCTTATTCTTCGTTTCCTTTGCTAGATCTACCTTGTTGCCGTCGATGCCATATCGAAGCCGCTTTGTTTTGAGAGTGCGGCTCGAGAGAGGTGCCAGCGTCCAGAGATCAAACGGCACGTGGTGATACTCGATCTCCCACTCAAGGAACAGTGGGAACCATGGCTGTGTGTTGTTCCAGTTGTCGCGCCAGGGTCCCATTTTGACCTGATCGCCGTTGCGATGCTCTTTTTTGTCGTGGAAGAGCGGTGCCTGCACGTTGTCAGGGAGCGCCGGCTCAAGATCCTCCGTCTGCGGGCGTAGCAAGACAAATTCGTCAACGAGCCGTTTAATTGCTGGTCGGAGTTCCTTCGGCAGCTTGGGAAGCACAATTGTCTCAAGCTCGCTCCATGATGGGCCATCCGTTGCATCGGGCTTTGGTATATCAGGACCTAGCTGTACTGGCTTCGGCTTCTCCAACGCCGTCACCGTCTGAGATTCAAGTCGCATGAGAAGATCATCAAGGTAATCGTACTGCCAACCAGACTGGACGCCGCCAACAAGCAAGGTCGGGTCTCGCTGCTGGTGGAAAGCAGGCCTTGCTCCCGGTTGGACAGTCCTGGGTGTCTTCTCAGGCCCAGCTAATCCATTGATCTCCGCGATGAGATCCCTTCGGCGGTTCTCAAGCTTGCCAACTCTTGTATGCAGGTCTCGCACCCGTGGACCCGTATTGACTTCACGCTGTTTGGTGGCATCCGAGACGAGCCACCACCAAAGAGCAAACATCTCCCATCGAAGCCGGGCTGTGGTACGCTCTACGCCGTCAAGCAGTTTCTGAAGGATGTTCAGTCGCCGAAGGTTACCGAGAACAGCTGGAGGCGCGATGGGGCGATCCTTGTTTCCACCATCGCCATTCTCCTGAGCACCCGAGGCATGCCACGCTTGGCCACCATCGCCACGTAGGTAATTCCAATTATAGAGCAGATCTTTCGCCTGCTGCTGTGCTTCGACACCATCGTCCCGCGCAAGCAGGTGTCGCTCAAGGGCACCAATATACTCTTCAAGTTTGTGCGGGATGCTGTCGACCGGATCTATCTTGCGCATCGCCCGCGCGTACGTCGTCAGCGCGTCCAGAGGCGTCGTGCCAACAGCAACTGGCAAGCTGCTGTTGAGATGTATAGAGAAGTCATCTGCTGGGACCTTGGCCGGTTTCTTATCAACATCCCAGTTAACGTGATACATAGCGCCATGGCACAAAAGCCGCGTGTCGGCCTGTGAACCGAGCCAGTTCTTGAATTCTTTCTCCTGGTCCTTCTTGTCGGCCAACTTTATACGTAGCTTCAACAGTTCAAGACGCCGCCGTCTTTCAAGGCCCTTCCCGAGCGTTGAGCCAGCGAAGAGGTCGTCAGCGGGGACTGAGTGCCAGCCGATAATGTAGTAGCTCGCCTTCGCAGTTACCAGAAACTTGTCCTTCGTATACTCAAAGTTGTCCACAATTGAGAAGACATTGGAGTTGTGCGGCTGGTAGTCAGCGAAGAGTTGATTTGATGAGGCGAGAAGGCTGAAATTCTCGATGAATTGCGGCTTCTTCTTCTTCGATGGCGGAGGTGGTGGCGGCGGCGCGTCAAGAGGCTCCGACCACGATTCGATAGGCTCCTTTTTCCCAATGAAAACCTCAGCCTGGTCTGCCACTGATACGCCTCCGTCGGCGGCGCTAATGAAGGGCGACACATCGACTTGCAGGTCCTCCTCAGGTCCGAGTTCTTCGAGAGTGCGGAGCCGGTCGCTCTCAACAACCCATGCGGTAAACTCCTTGACGATTCCTCGAGCCTCAGGCGGCATAATCGATGCCGGATCGCTGATGTGCCGGATGACGAGCCATCGCGTCGGTGCTTTAGGAAATGAGGGCGACGAGCCCTTGGCGGTCCCAGGCGCACCGCGGTTGTTTTTCTGGTCATCATTCTTGTTGCCGTTGTCATTTTCGACTTCGAGATCATCGAGGCCCCGTGCAGCCCGGGCATCTCGGAAATCCGCTCCTTTTGCGACTTCGGGGCCAGCCGCTGCAATACCGCTGCGGTAAAGCCGTGGCATAGTCCAGTGTAAATAGACACCGACACGGCGCTTTCGCGTCGTGTCGCTCCCAAGATCAGTGAAACGTGAATTGAAGCCCGACGGCCATGAGTTATTCAGGTCAACCGGATTCTGGATATCAGGCTGGATATAATCACGGTCCAGCCGCAAAAATGTGTAGTTGGGCTGGGTTATTGGCGCGATCTTGGCCGCTGTCGGGATTGGAAGCCGTGTCTCGGTTGGTTCGTTGCCCTCTCCAGTGCCTGCAGGTTCAGGAGGGATGCCATCGCAAACCTTTGAATTGAAGACGAAGGCGTCGACTTTGACAGGGATCAGAACAGTCTGGTTGTCTACAGGAGTCGCCATGGTGTTGACGGGGGTGGTGACAGTTTGCGTGTGGGCTTGTATGGCCTTCGCAATTTACTCGACTTGATGAATTTCGATATCTCACTCCGATCCTCTCTCCGTGTCAAGGTTTGTCGGATTATCTTCGTTCGAGTTCGTGGCAACCACCTGTACCATGTGATGTATCGAGACTTCAACGCAAGTTTGTTGGACAGACGGGTTGGACCCCTTGAGCTTCACATTCCTCCGCTGGCAGTGATACTGTTCGGTCTAGATCGCCCCAATATTGCTGCTCTTCAGCTGAGTCCGCATGGCTTATAGTGCCGATCCTGCCCCGCACGCCAATAAGTGTCTTACAGGGATTGGGGGGGGGGGGGGGGTCTGCTTGGTGCTCTTCTCAGACCTGTCTTTGAACCCCTAGCAACCATGTGCGATCTTGTGGCTTGATGCTGGGAGCTGAAAGGAATAGCCCATGCACTTGTCTCGGCTGCAGAACTTATTCCGCCTCCTGCAGGATCCAGGCGTGTAAGGCTACTCAAGCTAAGCAGGTATTGGGGACGGAGCGCATGTCACATTTGCTTCAGAGCTCACGTACAGGTCCAGGCGACCATCTTCACTTAGTTCAGCTGTATCAATCCATTGGAGGTAACAACGCCTCGTAATGAGTGGTCAACAAGTGTCACGAGGAGCGGACTCGGACGGGGTTATAATGATAGCCGAGCATGGTACTTAAGTTCAAGCTCGGGACCTGAGTGGAAATTGAACGATAATCAGAATCAGCTCATGTTCACGTCCATTCTAAGTTTCTCCCAATTCCTTTGACGATACTTCACGCACTCCACACAAGCCGCCCCGATGCCTGAGACTACCCAGCCCACTCCCCGCGGCAAGATGACGGCCATTGCGACCATTGTCAACCCCTTGTCGGTCAATCATGACAAGGTTATGATCTTCTCGAGTAACAAGCATTACATGCTTAGTCTCGAGAATCGTACTATTGGTGGCGACTTCTCCTTTACCATGGGCGAGGGCACCTCGACCCAATCGCCTCTGCTTGCCTATCCTTCTCAGCTAACCGCCATGATCTACAAAGACGCGGTGAGAACTTTTCGTGAAGTCATTCGAGGCAGTAACTGACAGTCGCCCAGGTTGCAGTGTATGGTATCACTGGCACTGAAAAAGAAGACCTAGAGGTCGCACAGCTGAGCCCCGTGTATCAGCCAGATACCAACATCAAGCCGACATACGGCTCGCTAGCGGGATGCGTAGCAGATGACGGTGAAGGCTATCTCTACATGCTTTCGTGAGTGACTAAGATCTTGTTCACTGTACCGGTCAACAGTACTAACATGACCAAGTGATAATGAGCAGGGCAAGTCTCAGCTCCACGAATGGAAGCTGTCCGACAAGGATGACGACAAGCGTCCAATCGCCGCGTCGGCTTTTTACGAAAAGACCAACCTATTTGCGCTGTTTGACCCCGTGCTTAAACTCAAGTGGCTGGTGTATCAGCGAGATGATAACAGTATTTCTCTGTGGAGCTTTAAGAATAAGAAGGGTGAGTGCCTTCTTTTTCCCATCTTGTGGCTCGAACTCCTCGTGACTGAGAACATGCTGATGAGCGTCGCCCAATAGATTGTATCATTAGCGAGTCCAAATACCGAGCTAGGAAGGGCACGCCCCTCACGGCATGCATCGTGCCCGCCGATGAGGCGACGGGCCGCCCCGCGCGCATCTACATCTACTTTGTCAATGAAGACAACCTCTTGCAGAGTGCCAACTCGATTTCCGGGGCCGAACTCTACTTCAACTCGACGGATGAGAAACCGTCGACAGTAGAAGGTGACCAGACTGTCTCGGCAGTCTCCCAGCTGTCAGTATTCCTCGACTACAAGGAGTCGCGCAACATTGTCTTCGGCGTCAAGTCAGGCTCCAAGATCAGCCCCATGCACGAGACCTGGCGAACCAAGTGACTGGATGTGGATGACAGAAATCTAGACCGGGCAATGGTCAAGGCGGCTGGGATGGGGTCTGTGTTGGAGGCACTTCAACGGTATGGGGATGTCGAGATTGAACTCCAGGGAACTTTCGTAGTGAAGGCCAAGTCGAAGTTATGAATCGCATGCACATTTAGAAACCCATAACCGTTGCTTTGGTCATGACTCCCGATTGCATTCGTCCATCTCATATTTGAGCCCAAGCAATGCTACAGTTTCCTTTCCATCCAAGAAAACTAATATTGTGGGAAATATCCCCGTGCATGCTCAGAAATCCTACAAGGTTCAGAGGAAATGGTCGAGTATTCTTTTACCAAAACCGGTAGGCTCGAAGCCGATAGCACATAGTATGGGACAAGATACGAGAGAATGGACGACCAAATGGTAGCAGGAAGTTTCTTTGCCGTTGGCCCCACCAATGGCTTTTCAAAATACCATCATGCATCGGATAGTGAGGCATGATCTCAATAGTCCCGGCGGCTGAGCGTGGCTGGGCAGAATAACGCCTTCAAAAGGGGTTCCGGCCCCTGGAGTCGAGGCCGGCCGGTCCGAGCCGCCTGCCTTGTTAGCATACCCCGCATTTGGAGCTGGAGCTCGATCAGTCTGTCTTTTGACTTTTGGAAGCTGCGAGGTATCCTCAAGTCGTGCTACATGTATCTCTATTCTTCAGGGGTGAGTATGCGTCCAGGGCTCCAGGTCCAGGGTTTCAGTGTCCATGATAGCAGCCTACTCACCTGCAGCAACACCAACACCCCCGCCGGGTCACGTTGCCCAAAGGGGTTTGAACCCCCTGCCCCTTTTCTCCCCACCATCAGGTCAGGGCGTCGGGAGAATGCAGCTGGTTCGAAACAGGGTTCAAGCAGGGTGTGGGTGACGACTTGAGCTGAGGAACGGAACACCATTTGACTTTCACATGGACGTCGCCTGGTAAAATGCCCTGAATGGCTCAAGTTATCTAGCTGACTCAATCGACCCTCAGCGTACTGCCTTGGCAATGACTTTCAGACTCGAGTCGTGGAGAGCTTCGTTGATTCCTCCACCACTTCTTCAAGAAAAAGGCTATACCTACGTCACTCTCGCCGCGTATCGTCAGCAATTCGATCATGGGCGAACGCATCTTCAGCGTAGCCTCCTTCTTCCTGAGCATCAATATCGGTGACTCGTCTATACACATTCTTTACTCACATCAAGGCCCTGACACACCGAAACGCGTTGAGCGCGCGATTCTTCTCGACGGCGGCCGGGACTGGGCAGCAGAGGAGATTATAGATCCCGATGATGACGACGAAGATGAGAGCGGCCCGGCCATTGGCTCCAACTTCAAGGTTGCTGAGCCGCACGACAACATTGCCAGGACCTTCGAGACCATCGAAGACACATTCGTATGCCGGGGTCCTGCAGTAGGAGGCACAAGCAAGAAGAGAAATCTGCTACAGTTTGATGCGATTGTCGTGTCACACTGGGACTCTGACCATGCTGACGGCGTAATGTGGACGCTCTGGCGCGATATCCGGCGGCAGAACAACATAGGAGTTCCTCTTGAAAACATGCGTTTGCAGAGAGCCAGGTACTTAGAAGATCCGCCAGGTGTCTTCACGCCAGTGACCTTTTTCTATGCCCCGACATGGCGGGCCAACAAATACCACGAGAAGATCACAGGGGATGGCAATAAGTGGTCGACGAAGTGGGAGAAGATGTTCAGAACGACGGGCGACAGCCTCGCCGGACCGGAACTCGGTGATAATCCAACTATGGAGGTTCGCATCGACAAGACGGATGTGTGGGCGCCGAACTTACTCAGGGTGCGCATTGGCGCCGCAAACCTCATCGGTCGAAACTTCTTCTCGCATAGTGACCCTATCGCAACAGCCATGGAAAGGATCGAGTCCGTCGACATGGCGCAGCTCATGGAGCGTGTGCCGCCCGAGACCCCAAAATTATACGACGGGGAGACCGCTGTCGGGCCTGTTCCAGGATTTTACTGCGTCGCCGTCAATTGTCGCGTCCTCGGGAAAACGGTGCTTCCACAATTGACATACAAGAACAAAACCTCCATCTGCAATCTGGTCATTTGGAACGATGACTCTCGCCGCGTTACGCACTACCTGGCGGGCGATGCCAACTCGGAGCTTGAAGAGGCCATCGTTCAATGGATGAATTACAAGTCGGATGATAACAAGAGTGTCATGGTCGCTAAGATGTCGCATCACGGCGCAAGTTCGTCGAATCCAAGATCGTCATGGGCGCGCCTCAAACCGTACCGTGTCGTCATTTCGGCTGGTGATCACAAGAGCTACGGACACCCACGTAAGTTGTAGTCTATCCAATTCAACACGCTCACTGAGGCTAATGAATCTATACTGAAGGTTGGGAGGTACTTCACGACATGTTCTCTTGGTACCTGTACAACACATCGTTCGTATTGAAAGCCAAATTTCCGTTGTATCTCACACAATATCCCTTCTATCTCAAGTCAGGCGCCGTCACGAACAAGCCAGCAAGCCTCGATTTGGTGGAAGACGTCTTCAAGGCCATGGGTGACAACTGGGAGGCGATGGATCAGCTAAGGGTCTCTTTGAACATGGACCGCATGGCTCCGTCACTTGCCCATGTCTTGCTCACATTGAAGAATCAGACAGATACGCAGAGGCGAGATTGGATTTTTGGAAACATCCGCTCGATTCTGCTGCCAGAACTCATCGGCAACATCCATAACTTGGAGGGCGATTATGACCTGGGCGGCTTACAATACATCCACATTGACAGCGACGCCGTAAATGAACCCTGGCGCACCAGGTCGGAGAATAAGTATAAGCTTTTCCCACCAATGGTCATCTCCAACGCATGGGACTTTCACTTTAAATCATCAGAACACCATTCACTAGGATGTTCGACCGTTTCTTTCTGCGACAGGCGACTTAGCTGTGGCTCAGATGCTTCCTGGGATCTCGTCGAAGAGCCCCATCTCATAGTGCCCGAGGGATCAAAGCTTGCAGAAAGAGGAGGCGGCGGGGACAACGTCACCGTCATCAGCAGAGAAAGCTGCCTGTACCCATTTCTCCTATTCTCAGCCTCCCAGCAGATCAAGCTGCAGAACCGACCAGAGCCTGGGAAGGAAGTCAAGTTCACCGCGGACGATGAGTGGCAGGCCTGGCTGAGGCGTATTCTTGGTGCATCGGCTGCCGTGCTTAAGGTGACATTTGCCTCGTGGCCGCCTACGACCAAGGAGTTTGGCGACTACGAGATGGAGGCTGCTTGGAATGCTGGAGGGAAAGAACGAAAGCTTGTTCTGAAAAGTAAGGGCGCCGCCGTTGCGCTCGGTGTCGACAATCCGGCCCTCGCAACTATGTTGACCATGACGAGAGTTCTTCCCTTCGCCGTCACGGAGCCAGTCGCAAGCAGCTGGACGCTCGGCGAAGTAGCCGATCACGTCAATTTCAGACATGGCAGCATCATCGACCTCTTGCGCGATGTCCCATTGATAATGACTACCGGCGACACCACACGCAACATCATCTGGTTTGAGGCTGGCACTGCTCATAACACAAGCACGCGCCTTGAATTCACAGTACCCAAGGACAAATATGCTCCGTTCAAGGAATGGCTTGACGCTGATGCCAAAAAGTTTGACGTGCAAGAGATCACTGTCATCGCTCGACGTGATGCCTCCTTGTCGTACAACGCCAAGAAGGATAACATCGGTTCGGCTGGCGCACTCATATTCCGCATCAAGCTCATACTTTGCGGAGCAACATTCGCAGCGCAGGTTGAGTTCACATCTGACGACGTCAGGATGCGGCTCCAAAAGGAACCTCAGCCGAATGGAGGCACGTACGAGGCGCTGGTCGATTGGGCTGTGCAGACACTGGGGATCAAAGGATTTGAATGCAAGTCCTGGACAGAGGCAGCTGGTTCCTTTCTCAGTGGTATCAGACCGCGATCTATTGACATGACGCTTACCTACAAAGACGGCAAGCTAAGAGGCATCGAGCATGTTGGGTTTGTACTCCAAGTCGAGGTCAGCAGGGGCAAGAAGGTGACTACCTTGGCGCCCAATGTCGATGAAAGTATTGTCTTCTTCATCACATATGCATGGTCAAGGACACAATCGTCCGTGCTCCGCGGCAAGCTCTGGGCTGGTGAGTGAACACTTGACCCTGTATAATCGGTTTCCACTTGATCAGTGCGACTTTTGCTGACGGCACGCCTGAGAAGCTCCCAAGAAGAGACTCGAAGATACATTTGCAAGAGGTTTGCCCAAATGGGAAAGCTATCTCCTCTTACAGCCGGATATTGAGGGCCATGCCCTCGACCACATTGATCTGAAAGCTTTACTCAGCCTTGAATCGTTGCCGCCAGGTGTTCCCTCCGAGGTTAGAGGCGCCGAGCTCCAAATTGATTCCGAAGGCATCCAGTTCACAGGCCTGCTCGCCTGCAGCGACCTGAGCGACGACTCGAAGGTCCCCATGCTCGCGGTTGAGGAGCTAGAGCTGAGCTGCCGCATGACGTGGGCTGATAAGACGCCGCGTGTGTTGGAGATGAGGAGAAAGGGAGAGCCTGATCATGTACAGGTCTTGACAGCAGAGGGGGCAACATGGCGGTTCTCCCTTCGAGTTGACATGCTGCTGATGCCTATGGGCGAGAAGGTTGATAATGCATCATCAGATGGCTTCGATGCAGCGGCTAGGATCCGCGGCGAGATCAACTACGGAAGCAAGATGGGGTGGCGGCTACTAGCGCGTATCGATCAGCTCAAAGTATCACATCTTGTGAGCTTCTGGGACCGGGACTCACGGGACGGGGCTATGTCATTGCTGAAGGACTTGCGTATCGACTATATCGAGCTACGGTACCTGTACCTGGCTGTGAGCAAAGCGAAGACCAATACAGCGGAAAGGGCAGGCGGAAAGAGTTTCAGGTTCTTAGGCGCCCTTTCGTTTGGAGATCTCCAACTCCGACTCAACTTCAACCATGACGGAACACAGTGGCAGTTTGGTGCCAACCTAGGGCTTAAGGATGACGCCTCCGGCAGCGCGACCGTTAAGACACTACTGGACACAATCATGGGTGTTGATGCCCCGAAACTACCAGACGTCATTGCTGACGTTGTGCTTGCAAAGCCAGGTAACGAGAATGAGATTCTTGGTTTCAAGTGCGCGCAGGTGAACGTCGCCGGGAGCGGATCTGGTGGTTCTGGTGGTCGAAAGCTCATTGTGTTCACGGCATCTGTACACATTTCGAGCATCAGCCTGACCTTTGTGCAGTGGCGAGACACGTCATGGCAATCGACGACACCCTCGAAGCGCATCATCAAAGTGTCGATCGGTGACATGGGCGACATCGATGCGCCGCTGGTGGGGAAGCTGAAGCAGCCCTTCGACCAGCTCGTTTACATGTGGGTGAGCGACAAGGCCACAGCTGTGGTCGACAAAGCCGCGAAACCTGGTGTCACCAAGGGTGACCTTGACGCGTTGCTGCCCAGGCTTGAACACGACCAGGACAAACTCTTCTTTAAATCCAACAAGGAGCCAAGCGCTATCAAGCCGAACGAGATTGTCATTGAGCCTGGATCGCACTTTATGGTTGTCGCAACCAACAGCAAGGGCCTACAGGCGGCGGTGCTGGATTATCGTTTCAACCGGCCCAAAGGCTCCGAGAAGAAGGACAGACCGAGCGGCTGGGATGATTGCGACGAGTGGCTGATTGAGGACGGTGAACAGAATGATGAGGACGTATCAAAGGCTGCCTTCAAGGTGTCGGCTGGCCCGCTCGTGTTCGAGAACATTGGACTGAAGTACATCCAGGAGGAGAACCGTCTGGGTGTGGTTCTCGACGCAAGCCTCCTAATGGGGCCCATTGGTATATCATTGATGGGTTTCTGTCTGAGTTTGAAGCTAGGCGAGGCTAAGTCTTCCGATGCTGAACATAACAGTAGCAGTCGCATTGCCCTCCCAGAATCCCATCCCTCAGCCCTACCTTGTTCGACTCCTATCATCCGCGCAGCTCACAATACTGTTCAGCACATCGATGGCTGTCAGCTGCCCCAACAGGTGACCGACTTCGGTCTTCCTGTATCCAGCCCCAAGGTTGATCTGGCAGGTCTAGCCATCTCCTTTGACCGACCTCCTCTGACAATCGCCGGAGGCTTCGCGAAGACAGAGATGAAGGATGGAGTCTACTATGCCGGCGGTCTTATCATCGGCTTTGAGCCCTGGATGATTCAAGCCGTCGGTGTATATGGAGAGGTAGCAAAGCCCTCACTTCCGTCGCCGCAATCGCAGCGATCGGGGTTTGTGATGGAGGCCGGGGAAGATGACAAGAAGGATACCTTCACTATGGTCTTCATCATCTTCAAGCTCAATGGGCCCTTGTTCACAATCGGCTTCGCGGACATCGCCGGCCTTACTGGCGGCGCCGGGGTCAACAGTAATGTTCGCCTGCCGAATGCAGCCACTGTCCTTGACTTCCCGTTCGTTAAGCCACGCGGAACTGATACTTCGGGCGGGCCTCTCAAGGCTCTTAAAGGCCTCCTCAAACCAGACTCGGGAGAGCCATGGTTCACTGCTCGGGAGGGTTCTTTCTGGGTAGCGGCGGGTCTTCGAGCCACTGCCTTCCAAATGCTAGCGGTCGATGCTGTTGTCGTTGTCCAGCTCAATCCGGACGTCCAGCTTGGCATCTACGCTGTTGCCGTATGCGATGTCCCCACGCCGGCTTCACCTATCAAGTTTGCCCATGTTGAGCTCGGCATTGCCTGTACACTTGATATCGCTGCCGGAGTGTTCAAGGTTGAGGCCCAACTCTCGCCGCAATCTTTCGTCCTTCACGAAAGTTGTCATTTGACCGGCGGCCTCGCCCTCTTCTCCTGGTTCGGCGACAGTCCCTATGCCGGTGACTGGGTCATGACCATTGGTGGCTTTCACCAAGCGTTCGATAAACCTCTCCAGTATCCTCGACCCCCTCGCCTCGGCATTGCTTGGTCTCTCGGGGAAAATCTGCGCATCACTGGCGAAGCCTACTTCGCCATCACGCCCCGCGTTTGTATGGGTGGTGGCCGCCTACACGCCCAGTTGACACTCGGCGCGTTGTCCGCCTGGTTTGACGCCTTCCTTGACTTCCTTATCAATTACCGGCCCTTCTGTTTCGCTGCCGTCGGCGGTGTATCTATTGGAGTTCGTTTCTCTTTGGACCTCTGGCTCGTCACTATACGCATATCGTGTGAGATTGGGGCGACACTCACTGTTGCGGGGCCACCTATGGCTGGTACTGTCCACGTCGACTTCTGGGTCTTCGGCTTTGACGTCGATTTCGGTGACAGGGCTGGCATGGCGAGACCTGATCGGCTATCACTCGGTGATTTCAAGGCTTTGGCTCTCAAATCTGCGTCCTCCGGGGTCTCGGTGCCTCTGGCTAGCGGATGGTTGGACGTCGCCAGTGGACAGAATGACGACGACGACGAAGACGACTTTGACAAGGAAGAAGCGCCGCCAAAAGCATTCCTATTCAACTGCGTGGGAGGTCTCGTTCCCGAAGGCAGCGACGCTAAGGGCCCAGAGGCCAACGTCTGGTATGAGGATAAACCAGCGAAGATGTGGCTGGTCCGCGGAGGCGAGCTTTCCTTCTCAATCACTACGTCTTTTGCCGCCAGTGACGGTGTGCTTTTCGATGATCGCAAGGGTGCAATCACGCCAAAAAAATCGGTCGAGATTGCAGATGCGCAAAAGAAAGTCTACGCTCTCCCCATGTGTCTTCAGCAGACAGTTGTATCGACGATCGTGGTCAGAATTGCACGGGTCGCAAGTAGGTCGAAGGTGGTGAGAACCTTAGGCAATGAGAGAAGTGATATGGAGTGGGGGATACACCCCATTCTCAAGACTGTGCCACAGTCGATATGGGGATATTGTAAGTGCCCTCCTGCCTGTTCTCTTGTCGACCTAGTTCCGTGTCATGGATCGAGTTCTATGAACTGTCATACAACGGGACATGACTTTCAATGGTTCAGTTGTGATTTCAGAGATTGACCAGTACAGATGATCCCGAAAAAGACCCCGTGCTCAAAGGCAACCACGTTTCTGGCCTCCTTGATGGCAAGCCTGCCGATGCACCGCCTCTTGTCATGGGCCTGACAATCGAGCCTCCGAAACCTTACATCTCGCGTGACGCCATACCAAAGTTCAACCTTGTTGAGGACCTCAAGCTCACGGTCGACAGCAAAGGATTCCCCTTCAAAAGAAAGGAGACCGCAAGTCCCATGTGGGCGCCGCGACATCAAGATGGCAGCTGGAAGGATTTTAAGGAGAAATGGCAAAGTCAGCCAGACAACCGTCCGGAGGAGGCCGTACACTTGTGGGCAGAGAGGCTGAAATTCAAAGGCCTGACGGGGTCGAGGCCGAAAGCACTGCTGAAGAGGTTTGATGATATAGTGCCCGCGTTGCCTTTGATTGCGTTGGGAGCGGGAAGTTGAAGGTCTTGCTAGACGAGTTTGTAGTGTGGCTAAGTCACTGAAGGATTCATTAGGAATGTGTTAGCAGGCTTTGTTTCTGGCTGGCTGCTGCTGGATGGTAGACACACTTCATACCGATCCTCAGCATGATACGCGATTTGCCGACCACCATTATGTATACCACTACAACTAAAACACCATCTAAGTAAAGTCAATGTTTCAAAATAGTGGTCCGACTGCTACCTACCATTCATTGTCGCATTTCCTTAGTATCTCACTTGGACATGCCGATCACCAACCCTTTTGAGTACTTCTGAGGCAAATCCGTCCACAGGAGATCCATCAAATTGAGTACCTTAACGTGCACTGATGACTTCAATAGGCGACATGGTAATACCGTTCCGACGATACTCCGGAACCCAGAGTATAGCTTAACAATTGCGACAGTACTCAACACGACAACGGCTATGGAAACTGCAATGTAAACATATCTTGCCGCAAATACAGCTGCCGTCTCCGAGTACATTGCCACTCACGGCTGCCCGACTTTTGCGTTCGTAAGATAGCAGCAGCGAGCAAAGACTGGAACATAAGCTGATGGGCCGTCTCCAGTACGTAAGGTGTAGGATCTTCGAATTTAACATTGCAAGACGAAAACGACGTGGCGAGCTCGTACGCGAGCAGAACATCAACGTAACGGTTCCAGACGCCTTTGTTTAGGAATTATGGGTTGGCTTGGATGCTGTATGTTGCTGTAAATCGATTGTTCAGGACCATGGCGATGTCGCCATGCGTGGACCCCGTGGTCGTCCCCGTATCGTCGAATCCTTGCCAAGCCTCTACTCTGATTCATGGCAACCAAAAGAGTAACCCGCCTCCTTCAGAAGGCCGACTTAAGTTCCGTTTCTCAGCAACCCGTGATCCGTTTTAATCGCAGTACGACCTAAGTACCCCCGCATGAAGACGCTGAAATATGAAGACAAAGCACTCAAGAGGACAGTCCTATCCGTTTTCGTAGCTGAGAATTCCGTTGGTAGCTGGAAGCAGGCTTGTAAACTGCCCTGAGTGACGGCGCGAGCCGTAAGCACGGTCCCGACGTCAAGAGCGCGCTGGCTGAGAGGCGATTTCATAGTGGCAACGGCGACTGCGAAGCAGGCTACGACCGCTTTACTCCAGCCGCGGAGGACGATACTTAGAAACGCCGTGGCCGGTCTTTCGGAGGCAATCCATCTTCAGTGCAGATCGCCGACCGTCGTCTTTCGATGGCCAGGGCCCACCAGAAGATCGCGGCTCCCTCAGAGAATGTGTAAGTTGGAAGGAGATTGACGAGAAGAAGTACGACAGCGAGGATAACAGGAGGCATTACCTTCCACGATGCCACTCTGCTGCCATCGAACGAGAGTAAGAATGACAACCATGGCAGCCACCAGAGCTAAATTAGCTAGAAGGGAGAGGGCTGGCAACACCGGGGACTGAGCCCAGAACCCTGACCTAGGTGGGGCTACAACATCGTGCGGGATGCCGTCTCCGCATGAGGTGACTGGCTCGTCGAGGAGCCCGCAATACTGCGTAGATCCGCGGCAGTCGGCTGGTTTTGCGTTGTCGCTCTGATCAGCGGCAAGCTTTGCTGTGGCGTGTCTTCCATTTTGCACGTTGCGCTAAGGCTTGCGAGCACTCGCAGGAAGGTCACAATTGGCGGCCGGCCGTAAAGCACTTATAGGAAAACGATTGAGAACATCCGTGGGTCATGGTGGCAATTGCACGCCTTCTCCAAGTGACAGACATGTGATCAAACGACCAGGCTGAGTTCGATGGCCGTACCGTGACCATTGGTCCGCTTCACCAGGAATGGCTCCGGCGATGGATGCATAATGTAATGGCAGGAGCAGATCACCGATATACCTGGTAGGCAGTTTACATCAGCAGATTCTCAATGCAATACTGCGGAACAAGTTTCAAGGCTACCACCTTTTGCCCAACCATTCATCCTGGAACGGCACCCAAGATTTAGCCGTGTCCTAGACAAATTGGGTGATTTATCAAGAATACTGGTCTGTGTGGGCATAATCAGGTCCTACGTGACGGAACGTCACCTTGCATTTACATCATAATCAAACCACCGCCACGAAAATGTATCGGAACGATGTAGATGGTGACCCTTAATTAAGGGAGTTTTGAGCATCATTACGCTTACGAATATCAGATAACAGGATAACAGAAATTGGGTTGTAGCAGGTTGTCTAGGCGGCTGGTCGAATCCACCGCCTGTATTAATATGATTAGTGAGGGCGAGCTAACGCCTCTATATAATCAAAGAATCGTACAACATTATTAAGTCTTACACTTAAGCCGTGTTACCCTGGGAGTGGCACGGAGCAGAAGCGAAAAGAGCCACTTTCCTTCCTACAAGAAACATTAAAGCTCTTGCCCTAACAGACATCCGAAGCGACGAGCGCTTAGATGAGCTGGGCGGCAACGAGGACGGCGCCGGCGGCAACGAGGAGGCCGGAGGCGGAGTTGATAACACCAGCGTCAACCTCAACAGTGGTGGGGACAGCGCTAGTACCGTTGCCGGAGGCAGTGGGGACGGAAGCAACAGTGGTGGTGTGCTCGTCGTCATCGGCGGAGGGAGCGGCGGAGTGAGCGGCGGACTCGGCAGCAGACTCGGAGGGAGCAGCGTAGCTGGGGGCAGCAGCATCGGTGGTGACGGCGGCGGCAGTGGTGGAAGGGGCGGCGGGGGCCTCGGACTCGACAGGAGCCTCAGACTCAACAGGGGCCTCGGACTGGGGGGCGGCAGCGGTGGTGGTGACGGCGGCAGCAGTGGTGGTGACGGCAGCGGCGGTGGTGGTGGTCACAGCAGCGGCGGTGGTGGTCTTTGTTCAGGTCAGCTCCATGTTCTGGTCATACAGACCGTGTTTGGAAAAGTGGATGGAACTTACGGGCTCGCGGGGAGGAACAGTGATGGGGGCGCCGAGCTCTGCGGGATACTTTAGCATGTTGTTGATCAAGGGGCTATTCAAGTTTGGGTTTGAATCCACTCACCTGAGCAAAGGTTCACGCCAAAAGCGACAGCAGAGTCGGCCTCGGCCGCGCAGTCATCGTAGACGCAGTCAAGGAAGTGGCCCTGAAGGGAGGTGCTCTTGCAGAAGCAGAGGTACATGTTGGCCTCAGTGCAGTCGAGAGGAGGGAACTCGGTGACGACATTCTGGAAGCAGGTGATCTGATGGGTTGATTAGTGGGCTGTTTAACACTATCGTGGCGGGCCTGAGACGTACAGCGCAGAAGGACTGGGCGGCGGCAATGGTGGCCAGGGAGAGGACGGTGGCGGCAGCGGCGGTCTTCATTGTGTCTGTTGTGGGGGTTGAACTCGAGCTTGAAGCTTGTTGATGTGATGAATTTAGCGGGCTGGAGGGCTAAGAACGAGCGAGTGGACAGAGTAATCAGTGAACGAGAGTGCTGATGATCGGGATGAAGATGGAGGCTGAGAAGCAGGGCGGAGGGCCCGTTTGAGTCTATATACTGGCAGAAAAGCCCTCGCTTCGGCCCACGCAACGCAAGGTACGAGCAGGCATCAAGGCCGCGGGCTGCGACCTGCAACCTGCAACCTGCAACCTGCATCCGTGGCATCGCCTTGGCCGGCCCATCGTTCGGCTACAGATCCCAGGGAGGGTGAAGAACCTGCTCGATTGGCCGTAAGTTGGGCCCGCCGGTTGGTGCGTGGCTGCTTTGGTGGCGGCCGCGATAATTTACGCAATTGAGTAGAGTGGCTCTAGGTATTCGGCCTGGCCCACACGAAGCGAGCTTTGGGCTGGGCTGGCAAGGCCGGGCATAGTCGCTTTAGAGTTATCAGATCATCAGATAATCATTGGGGCACTGACCCCTGAAACCCTGGTCGAGGAATGATGATATCCACCAACAAGTGGCCGGGGACCCCTTCGAGACCAGCCCCCCTACACCTCATCCACCGCTCCTCAGCCCACGGGGTCAGGCCTATCTGGTTCTGGGCTTGCCGACGAGCCGCTGTTCCCGGTATCGGAGGGGCCATGTCTAGCCGCGATGGGCTTATCTTGCCCGGCGCGAAGCCATTTCAAGCAACGTTCCTGGCCTTGGCAGACCGCTCTGTTGGCGGATACGGTCGTGCCTCTGCTATTGCCTCGCTCACATGCGCCGTCACGGCTCAGCTTGCCTGTCAGAGGGCCTGATCCTTGTTGTCGCTTCAGTTTTTCGTCTCTGTTTTCGTCTCTATTTTCGTTCACTCACACACGCTTTCGCTGCCTCGCCCGTGTATTCCGCATGCGTTCCGTGCTGTCCGCTTTGACAAACAAGCTTCTTTTCTGGTATCCTCGGTTTTGAGACCGTGCATATGGGGGCTTGAAGCCATCGCCGGGACTCGGGGCGGAAATACGAGCCGACAGACTTTTTCCAGGGCTTCTTACCAGACCCCTCTGGGCACTACACCATCAACTTCGCCGCAGCCGAGCCGTTCACCCTGGGCATATTCCCTGTTTTTACACCATCAACTCGGATGGCATGCAGTCTGACGGCGGCAGCAATCTTCCGCTCCATTGGGGCGTTCGTCACATCGACATGGGGGGCCTGGGCGTCAATTGCTATGCCGTCAGACAAAGACTTGTGTTGTCAGGTTCTGATTAGATCTGATTGATAAAAATTGTGATTGAAGCTAGCGAGACGAGGCATAGAGCTAGCGAGCTCGTAGCCGCGAACCCCTGGCCGACCAGCATTTGCACCGTGTCAACATGACCGAGTCATCGTCACAACATCACGTACGTCCGTCCTGCCCCTTGCGGTCACATCCCCCTCCCCCACCCACGTCCCCACTCACATCGCCAATTCGTCCTACGCCCTATACAGAAGCGCGACATGACCCTGTCACGGTGCCGCCTAGAAGCACTGCGCCGGAAGCCACGAGATTGGTGCACCCGCCTCTGCAATCTCTTGTTAGCCAGGCACGCGCTTCATTCTCCCCGTCTTGGCCGGAAGCGCCCGAATCGCTCTCTTCAAGGCACTTTTGGGCTCCCTTGCTTCGTGTTGCCAGAGCTTTTGCAGACCTCCGTTCCATGGGGGAAATGACTTACGTGTGCAAATGTCCAGACCATACTGGACGGCGCTGACGGCCGTCGTGGTAGAAGGGCACTCCTTGCAGGCGCAGTCACGGTAGGCGAGGGCGAGGAACGTGCTCTTGCAGAAGCAGAGGAACATGTTGGCCTCAGTGCAGGTCTGCGCCTGAGGAAGCTGCATGGTCTTCTCAAAGCAAGACAGCTATTTAGGTGATAGAAGATGCATTAGCCTGGCATATCTTCTTTTGTCTCCGACGAGAGCCGATGTTGTGATCATGAGGAGGCGGGAAGGGCGGACGGGAGGGGACGGCAGTCATCTGGGCCAGCTTGACTGGGCTGGTGTACTTACAGCACACAGGGGGAACTGAGCCGAGACGGTGGAGACCAGAGTGGTGGCGGCAACGGCCAGGATGGTAGCGGAGAACTTCATCTTGTTGGTTGAATGGTCACGTATTCTCACGTATAGGAAGGACTATCGAATCGTGTTGGTGATGAGGGTGCTGATATGTGGCTTGGATGGGCACGCTTTAGTTTCAAACGAGATGAAACACCCTTCTTATACATTTTCCAAGAGGCATCTTCGGGAGATCATCATGCACCTCGGCCTCCGAACTTGTCGTCCCACGATGCTCGTCAGAGCCTTTGCCTCATGGCCCTCAAATGCCTCAAACCTTGGGGCAAGACTTTTCGTCAACTCGAGCCCGAACTCTGCAAGCCACAGACTGCAAGAGGAAGGATCTTCTGATCATGAGAACTCGCCTGGATGCTTGGCGCCACTCAGGATTAACCTGGGGGCGGCCCGCACGGCAAGTGGTGAGAAGAGTCAACGGCCGCTGGCGGGGCCCTGATCACAACATCCAATAAAATGAGCCTCAACCATCTAATCAGATGGAATCATGGCTGAAATCAGCCTGTCCGTCCGGAAGTGGACAGCTTCCTGCGCCGCATAGCTGACAGGCCCCCTCCTGAGTGATCCATCGTGCCTTGGCGCCCACAAAGCTACCTTGACAAGTTCATGCTAGGCTCGGAGCAGTGCAGTGAAGCGAGGAAGGTGAGATCTGCGTCAATAGTCCTCGAACTTGAGCGCCTCAGTCCCATTCTTTGGCGGATAAATCGGATCAAGGACACGGTGAGGATGGTGTTGCCACCACGAAACAGTGAAAGTGGCGTATCAGGCGTCGAGTCAGACAGTGTAAGATATTGGACATGCCATGAAGCCATATCTCATGATCAAGGTTTGGCGGACACAGGTACAATACGGTGTTCTGGTCTTGCGAGACCTTTCTCGCAGATCTGTGAACAACCTCTTATCGAACGGTTCAACACGACTCAGTCACTTTCCAAGTGTCGAGATCTTTGTATCAAGAAACGAAACCAGAGGACAGAAGCTTGAAGATGCCTGGGTGCCACGAAGTCGTGAATTCCATATGGTAGCAGACCTTTTCAACGGGCCGGTGTGTGTCATGTTCTGCTTTTTAGTGGGCCATCTTGGGGTGCCCTTTGGTTTCACGCATTCTCGGCGCTCCGGGCGTATCTCATTCTAAAGACATAACAGCTTCTCAACGACTGTAGCGGCGTAGCAGCTTTCTCAATCTGAATTACCTGTGGTTTCTGACTGCCATTTTGGTCCTCTCGTGGCGAGGATACTTCTTTTCATCGGGGGCCTACTCATCTCCTGACCGTACTGTTTTGATGACATCACGACTGAGATCAACGTACAGCACAGCGTCAGCCTCAGGACTTTGTTACAGTGACACATGCACACGAGCCATAAAACCGTGACCAGAAAGACGTCATGTTGACCACCGAGTACATTGCCACCTATCGAAGACTGTAGATCAACTTCTTGCAGTCCTCTCACATCGTTATTATCCGATAGCTGCAAGTGGCGATGTAGAAAGCGTCTTTACGGACTCTTTCTGTCCTTGGTTCTACTAAACGCAGCCTCAACTCTCTACTGTGCCGGCTCGGTGCCAGATTTTGGTTGAGAAATCCTCCAGCTCTCCTGCTCGTAAAAGGCTTTTGGTTTCAAGCATGCTTGTTGCGATATGTTGACATAGTCGAGGTCACGCTCAATTTGATTCATGAATCGTGGGCGAGGTTTCAAGTTCTGTCTCCTCGCCTGCTCGCTCGAACCACCTACTGAGACACATTGGTGACGACGACCCACACCATGACGATATGCTGAGCAACAACACATCATAGTATGTCTTCGACCGCATCATCCCCTTCTCACATCACATGTCTGAGTTGTCTGTATTATCAAAGTGACTTCTTTCGATTCTGGCAATTCTGAGCATGGTCACCAACCCCCAGTCACTTGGGCCTTGCTAATTATTGGGTGCTGTGACATGTCGAACGGAAGTACAAGAAGGATCCAGCGATGTGCCACCGTCGATCAGTCTTCGTTACAAAGAGAAATTGAGCGGTGAGCTTAACATGTCACCTTCGTGAATCCATAGAAATCCTACTCAGCAAATTTCTTGTTCCCTCATAGTATGTTGCGGGTGAATTCTGCAGTGCCGATCTCAAGATACGACAGGGGTCGCACCATAATAGACGTTACACTCGAAGCGGTGCAATATGCTTCTACGGCCAATTTCATCCTTTTCAGCTTCATGGGAACTACGAGGAGTTGAAGTGCGTCTAGCTTGGATGTCCATCAGAACATAAATAGCGGCGATTTCTGACTTCTTCTGGACAGCCAAGAAAGTCTCTATACCAATCATCACTGCCATTCACTCTTACAATTACAACACTGTGCTTATTATTCTGACAAGCTGGATCCGCAAGATGAAGACTTCCAACTTCCTCGCTCCTGCCGCGCTTCTCATTTTAACCACCCCGGCGCAGGCCAACATTGGCCAGGGGGCAAAATTGGCATTCGATCTCTTCGGAGAAGGAATCGGCTCCCTCTTCGTTCACATATTCGGTGGAAAGCGTGATATCAGCCCCATTGAGGGGCACATCATCAGTCGCGACCCTCCCCCCGGTGTTCCGGCATTCGAATATGAGCGCTGTCGCAATGACATTTCGGGAGTGTCCGTCACGGCTACCTCCCCCGGCCCTGGTTGTAAGTAAAGTCTACTAGTTTCTGAGACAAAATAGATGACACTGATTGGAATCTAATCCTTTCCAGCGGTTCAATTTGTCGGGGTTCCAGCCAGCTGCATGAACCTGGCTACAGTCCTTATTGGAGACCCGGTCAATGGCCCCTATCCTTTGCCCTGCGGCTCTGACTGCCTGGTGTACAACAATCTGTCGCAGCAGCAATTTGACGATCTTGTCGCTGCTCTGAGGGCGAATGCCTCGTGATTTCGAGAGGGGATAGATTGATAGGCGGGAGTTCATGGCTCAGTGAGCTCCCTCGTCAGCCCATGGACGACTACCGCAAGCTTGAGTAGGAGTGCGTCTTCATATCATGTTGGTTCCGCAAGATAGATGAATTCAGCCAGCTGCTATGCAGTAGCCCATGTTCATTGGTGTCTTAGTTTTGCAACCTCATCCTGACTTTCGCGCTGTTCAACGCTGAAAGTTTGGTCGGCGAATCTGTAAGCGACATGTTCCTAATCTTCATACATCAAGACCTCATCCGGTGTCTTGAAGCCATGGACAGAAAGCTATAGTTGAAAAGCAGCCTCGTCGTGGTTAACGTAAATATACCGTCCTCCTGCCTCAATTGATACTCTTCGATTCGAGATACGGGCAGTAGGCCGTCAAACGCACAAGAGCATACATACTAGAAAAACAATCTCTGTCTGGTGCATGCGCTTCTGACTGTTGAGACACCGATGAAAGTGAATCTTGACCAAGCAGGACTGCCTGAAGATAGCCGACGAGCTTTGTGTCCTAGATGCGGCAATGCTGAACATACAAATAGTGCGTAAAAAAAGATTGGCAAAAATCAAGAAATCGTGTCCTTACCCTGAGATACTAGCTTGCACGACAGTAATGAATGGCCATTGATAAAGCGGCATAACACATGGTCAAATGCGCCGCTGCCCGAGAATTGTAGAGGGAGAACATTGAATAACAAGGACGAGAAAGTGCAGAGCGATTCATTCAGACTACGTTGGTAGAAACGAACACTGCACTCTTCCTTGTAGGCCGTCAGCTGCGCCATCTTTTTCTCACCGAATGACTCCAGCTCTGTGTGCGCCAGATCTTCAAGCAACTCAATACCGGTGCCCTCGTCATGTAGTGCGGCCCAATATACGGCATCTATGCTGAAATAATTTCTGGCTGTATAATTGAACTAGAAGTGACCAGACCTCCACGAGTCACGCATCTGGGTAGACAGCCGTGGTCCAGTAAGTGACTGCTCCTCTAGAACACGTATGTCTTCTACGATTTCTCACACCCGCAAAAATTGTTCTATTTATGGCTCATCAAGGCTCCGGAATCCTTCCATGCCGCAGCGATCAATCCACAGATCTGCGCCAGCCAGCAGAAGCCGCCAAGATGGATCGTATGAGAATTGTGCTAGTATGTCGTTTGTGAACTCAAAATCGAACACCGCTGTGATTTGAAGAGTGGATGGATTTATAAGCAGGTTAGAAAGCCGTAGATCGTCGCAGAAAATGGTTGACGGTCCAGCATCGTTGTTGCGGCACTTCCCGTTAAGCTGGGCGAAACGATGCCGGGCAATAAATTGAGCCTGGGCGGTTTCCGAGTTATTGACTATGTTGCGCAGCGTCCGAGGTGGATCAGATGCTCGTGAGTATGTGATTTCAAGTAGTCGCCGGCGTCATTAGATTCTGAGGTTGGAAGGAGGTCATCTGGGTAACTCGAGACGGCTGTCAACTCGTTCATACTGTAAGTGAGTGGTCTTTCGGTAATGGATCACGTGTCACCGTCTTTCGAGATGGCTCCGATTTGGGTGAAGATAAGCTGAGAAAGTTGAAGAAGGTAGTCTGGGGCTTGGCTGAAAATCATGTCCAACATTGAGTTATCCACATTTGGATCCGAAACCATGTCCTCTTGATCACTCTCCGACGGCTTCTGTAGGATCTTCCACAAAAGTGCCCTCTCGACGTAATGCATGATAATGAACGGATCAAGCTGTTGCCGGCTCTCGGCTGAAACCCCAATGGTGGTTACAATGGAATAGGAATGGTCATGTGTTGGCGGAGATACTCCATGGGCTGGACCTCGTTCGCGACCTTCTCGTCTTTGAGGGTAGTAGCTATGTGAGAACCGAATAATGGCGTCTGGGCCCTCATCACTGAACTTGAACTTGAAACAGAAGCTGAAGTTAAAGGAGCCCTGGAGGAAACTAACCCACTCCGTGGCTCTACCTCCTCCCTGGCGAGCAGGAATATTTGTTGCTAGCTCATCTTTCGCATCAAACAGTCTACTTTACCAGGCCCTGCATTCATCGTCACTATCGGTCTCCTCCATCTCGTCGAAGGCCGTTCGTAGTGAAGATGTCTGCATAGTGTTAGATAGATAGTTGCGGAAATAGAATGAACGGCCTGAAAGAAGGGGAGAGGGGAGCTGGGTGGAAAGGAGATTTTCCAAAGAGCACGTGATCTGGATAGAGGGGAGAATGCGTGGTGCAGATTTATGTACTGCTGAGTTTAGTGGCATTCTAACATCCTGGCCGAAGGTATTCATTCCGATATAATGGCCAAACTGTGGTGCATTGGACACATACGACCATACCTACTGGAAAGCTCGGGATCCCGTCCGCTCTCCCATCGATAAACCAGTAAGGGCCGGATCAGTAGTCGGGTGGGTGACCACCGGCGAATACCTGGTGTTGTATGTTTTGTTGTTTTATACATTTTTGCGGCTCGCATGGATTTCACGATGGCGATGAGCGGAGACTCGGCCCAAGCGGGCCCACCCCTTACGGTACAATGTTACATGCAAAACTTTTAATCCACTACTTCCGGCAAAAATTGTTTACTCGTTATTATGCCTCGTACTGGAATCGAACCAGTGATCTCATCATTACTAGTGATGCGCTTTACCACTAAGCCAACGAGGCCTTTGTTGATTGATGGCGGAACCCAATTCCTGGGACGGAAGATACCATCCGCAGTGCGAAATGAGCAGCACAGATGGGACAAGCCATTTTACGACTGACCCCTACCTGGCTACTACATCATCCACATGTAAAACCGTCTTGCCGAGCGCCAAAAACTAAACAAACATGTTCTTTGGGACTAGGGAAGCTGCGGGTATGGACATCAGCTCGCTACCGAGCAAGAAAGCAAGGCAGAGAGAGAGCTTGTAACAGATTGCTAGGATGGCCAAGCACCAGGACATTACACCACGATTGTCTTAGGGGCAGCTTTTGCTAACACTAAAAGGTTGGGCTGACTTTGATATCAATAATCGTGGGATGGTCATCGGTCGCTTGCTTCGCCTAGCAGGCAAAAGAACAAGGGGTAGGGATCGGCAAAAGAAAGATCTCCCCGAGACAGGTTCGAACTGTCGATCTCCCGATTGATCTGCTGAATAACAGTCGGACGCCTTAACCAACTGGGCCACCAGGGATTGATGAACACAAGGCTCCGGCGCATTCATCATGACGCTGCAATCTTACTCAATGCTCACGTACCGCTTCCACGATCCACCCACTATTGTTTGTCAACGGCCCGCGATTGAGGTTGGCCGAGGCCGGCTAAAACGCTGCGCTACGATAGAGGTGCGGCGATGATGCGCTAAATGATGGCTGGAGGTAGGGGACCACCACTGAGGGCCTGGTGCTGGCTCGGATGCGGGCCAACATGGCGTCTAGTCAATCGGGAGGGTAACGTGTTCTCCAGCACGCTAAATACTGAAGTCGGTTCTGTGAAAGAGGCCTCACCGCGAGCTTCAAATCCAAGTCGCTGAACGGAACGCGAAACAAAGCATCATGATTGGAATCGCCCTTCTCGGCGCGGGCCTCTTCGCCCAGGAGCGTGAGCCATCCCTCATCGCCGTCAACACATGACACGCGAACAGGAACCCCCCTGCTGACCCCAGCTTCAGAACACCTCCCCGCCGTCCAGTCCAGCAAAACTTTTGAGCTCCGAGCCGTCTACTCGCGCTCCCTCAAGTCGGCCTCGGCCCTGGCCGCAAACACGTCATCCCCCGACGCGGTGACGACCTACGCAGACGATCACCCGACGCCGTCCCGCTCGCTCGCCGACCTCCTGGCGCGCACCGACGTGAGCGCCGTCATCATCTGTCTGCCCATCCCGGCGCAGCCTGGCGCCATCCGTCTCGCCCTCGCCGCAGGGAAGCATGTTCTCTCAGAGAAGCCGATCGCGCCCTCCGTCGCCGACGCCCGCGCCCTCGTGTCCTGGCACCAGTCGCTCGCGCGCGCGCCCGTCTGGGCCGTCGCCGAGAACTACCGCTTCGTCGACCCCCTGACATTTGGCGTCGCGCAGCTGCGCGCCATCGGCGGCGCCGTCGTGACGTTCCGCCTCGACATGTTCTCGCTCGTCGCGGACGAGAGCAAGTACTTCAACACGGCGTGGCGCAAGACGCCGGCGTACCAGGGCGGGTTCCTGCTCGACGGCGGCGTCCACTTCATCGCCGGGCTCCGCATGCTGCTGGGGGCTGTCGGAGACGATGTCGGCGAGGTCTCGGCGCACACGGCGCTGCTGCAGGCGAAGCTGGCGCCCGTAGACACGGTGCATGCTGTGGCGAAGACGGAAAGGGGTGCCCTCGGCACGATGAGCATATCGTTCGGGACCGAGTTCAGAAGCGGGTTTGAGGTGCAGGTTGTCACGACGGAGGGATCGGTCACGATGACGCCAGTGGACGTGAAGGTAGCGAAGCGGGGTCAAGATGGAAAGAAGGTGGAGGAGAGAAGGGAGTTTACGAGGTCTTCGGGCGTACCGGCCGAGCTCGAGGCTTTCGGCGCGAGTCTGGGAAAAAGCACTGCTGATGAGAGGCAGAACACTGCACAGGCACTGAAGGATCTGGCGATTCTACAGGGTCTGCTTGAATCTGGTGCGGCCGACGGGCAGGCGAAACAGGTTTAAGCACTTCACATGAAAAGAGGCCTTGGGATGAGACAAGCCCAATTGTCTTGAGAAAAACAGAAAATTTCGCGAATCATCGCTGAGGGTATCGTAATACAAGTTATACCATGTCCAACTCCCCTTAGCAACCGCCGCCGCCGCCGCCTCCACCGTCACCTCCACTGCAGCCGCCGCCCCCGCCGCCGCCATCACCACCGTAGCTGTGCCCGTGGTGGCCTCCATAGCCAGCATCGCCTGCAAAAACGTAACCGCCTGTGTAATGACCGTGCCTCCCTCCGTATCGACTGCGCGGCTGACGGCGCCGGTAGCTTGATGCGTCGGCCATGACTGGGCGAGGGCTGTAGTCGTACATGTTGTTTTTTCTGCTGCTGCTGCCGAAGCACATGGTGTCTGGATGGGGTTGGTCGGTAGGGATCAAGGTGATGATTGTTAAAGGTGAAATCTCAGGCGATTTTATTTTTAGGCCTAGATGATTGGTTCCTTTGGTTTGGTTGTAGGTTTTGTTCGAGTGTACTTGTAGTTTGGTATAGTGGAAAGACTTGGAGTGTCATGAGATTTATGAGCATTTTGTCGACGAAGGGTGCTGCGATCGAGGGCCTTTAAATGCGTCGAGGACCCCATCATCACAACGTGTCATGCGAGGACCGCGAGAATGCTTCCCGAATCAGGTAGACGCCTTCTAGAAGTCAGATTCGATCAGCCTCGCTGGGCGCCCCATGACGTCTCCTGGGGCTGCGTGTTTGGCGCGATGGATGCGGTGCACCCTTGTGCACATCCGTCTGGGGCAAAGATTGCTGAGGTGTCACTCTACCGTTAGGGTGATTGTGACACCATGACATCCAGTTCCGCGTATCGGGCCAGCATGCCGCGGACCCTGAATGGCCCGGGGGGGGGGGCCTCATGTCTCTGCCTCGACGAGAGCCGGTGGCGTTGGAGCTTAGCCTCCAGTCGGTGGTCAGCTGAAGGATGCACTGCCCTGTGCGCTCTTGGTGGTGGAAGAGACGAGGAATCTTGGAGGGGTTGTTCATCAGCACGACCTATTTGACGCGGCCTGTAGACCCTGGTAGGCGGAGGACTAAACCTAATACATCGATGGTCGCCCATCCTCTCATTTTCTTAGTCTTCGTCTGACGATGGCGATCTTCGGGCACCACGAGACGGAAATCGTCTTCTGGACAATGGGTATTTGGCCAACACATGGCTTGCCGAGTCTGGCGGTAGTGGCGAGTTCGTTCCTATCGGTTGCTACTTCTCGGAGCCGCGTCCATTCGCGCTATTTCCCTGCTTGAATAAACACATGTTTGATTCGTTATTCCATCTGGAGACCTTCAACGTAACCGATGCGCCAATTGCAGCGTCTTCCAGACCTCGAATCTGCTCTTTCACCCTGTATAACTCACCCACTTTGAATCGCACCACCTTCCATCCAGCGCCGTCTCAAGAAGCCTAGCGGACATGTCTTACTTGTACGATTTTCCAGATTAAGGAGTAGTTATCCCTTTACCGCCTGAATTTGGCCTTAGTACGTCGTATGATCGAAAGCTGAGTGGTAGAAAAGGGGTCACCAGTTAGATCAAGGGACATAGCGAGCTAGAAATCTAACTGCCTGTATATTACTTTTACTGAAGTAGCACCTGCTTAGATGTAGAACAAAGCTCTTTAGGTAGGTGGTGATCATTCTATGTACTGGAGCCAAATGTGGGCATGAGAGGGATGAGATAAGCAATTGGTGTAGGCAATGCATTCACGAGAAAGACTGTTAATCGATTTTTTTTGTAAACGTTCAGCTCAGCATGCATCAGTATCTTCGCTCTACCTACCGTCTTACCGTCTTACCGTCTTAATAGTAGTACAAACACCCATCGACGATGGGACATTGAACACATGGAGGCAAGACTTGGCGAATACTCCATGAATACCTCCAAACAAGGAAAGCAAGATCTGTACTTCTTATCGCTTTAACCAGTAGAAACTTTGGTCAGTTCACTGAGTCAAGTGGCTGGCGATTGTCCTTGAAGCTGTGGTGCTCACCCAACTTTAGTCAACAGGGTCCTGAAGTGCAGCATGTTACAGCACGTGTAGGCTTCGGAGCCCGCGGGACACCGTCCTCAGGCTGTCAACGTAAGCTCCTCCGCGAGACTAGTCCAAAATGACGGTTTGGTGCAACCACGAATAATCCAAGTGTTGCCTGCCTGGATCACGGAAGTTCAATCATTGCCCTCCCTAACGCTTGCTGCTCTGCCCTTCAAGATTGCGAAGTCGACTCTAACTATTTGAGCACAGGGCGATTGCAGTTGAACGCACCACCTCACTCACGGCTTGTAAAATGCACAAAGTCAACCGGACATGCGACCAATGTCGCCGTCGAAAGATACGGTGCATCGGTGAGTCGGATCTCTTCTCAAATGAACCTCGCAGCCTTTCCTAACCGCCCTTCCCCTCATCGTCAGCACCGGAACCGGCACTCGGAAAGCCCCCAGTGTGTGCCTACTGCGCCGTAAGTGCCCCTCTGCTCCTCGCGCGCCGGGTTCTTGGCCGCGTGCTAGTCGGACGTTCTTGACACTCACCTCGCTCTGTTGTTTGAAGTCACGCAATTATGACTGCCACTTCAGCCCCTTTCGACGGAAGCCCAAAGCTCAAGGTTTGGTCCCCCACTCTTGGATCGCGCCGCTTCGCTGACAGCGCCAAAGTTCCAGAACCCGACGTGTCTTCCTCCGTGCCGCCATCAGGCCGCAATCCCGATACAGGCGACCTTTACGTCGATCGCATTTTGCATAGTCTCGAGGAGCCCAATGAACCGATCCTGTTTAATGAGGATTTTGTCATCAAGGTGTGACAACATTTATCACCATCTTTTACTCCATTGTGCACTAATCCCCATCTTAGGTCCCCGATGAGCAGAGTAAGTTCATCCGAAGCTTCACGATGTAGCATTTGCTCATGTAGCCAGTCTCAAGCTGTGGTCTCGCTTTCTTCTCTGAGCAGAGGGTCGCTTCCCTGACCAGTAGGATGGGCAGCGCCCACTTACGTGAACTGATTGAGAAGCTTGACAACATCATCGTCGAGAGGCTCAGCTTGACAAGGCCGTCACCATGGACGCGGATTCAATTCATGAAGCCACCAAAGGGTCCTCAGGTAACTTCCGATGAGGCACGAGACTACATTCGAGGTGAGCTGTCTTCTTCCTCTCGGCAGCAGTAGTGCTGATAATCTAGCCTATTTCGAAAACCTACATCCCGTCTACCCTTTCCTGGACCGTGACATCTTCGAAACCAAAGCCTTCAGTCCGCAGCTGCCACATGTGCTTGATCAAAATCCCATCTTCTCGGCTCTATACCATGCTGTCTTGGCACTAGGAAGCCAGTTCTTCCGTCAGGGGACCTATTCTCCAGGCACAGGGAAATCATGGGAGCTCTTCCAGGTATCATTAGGCCACATGGCAGAGATCATACTCCCACGAGAGTCACTCGAGAACGTCCAAGCTATCACCGCCATGGTCAGTCGTCTCTGCCACTCACAGTGACACTTCCTGACAAACACAGTCTATCTATGCTCTCAACGCGTGCTGCCTTCAGATCGACGACGCGCTCGTCGCCCACGCTGCTCGCATGGCCATCGTTCTCCGCTATCATCGCTCCTCGGCCGCTCAGTCCGACCAAGCTCGTGTCTTCTGGGTCATTTACGCCCTTGAGAAGCAGCAATGTCTCCTCAGTCGCTGTTCTTCCATGATTCCCGACGAAGACATTGCCTGCCCAGCCCCGTCCACACCGGAATCTGTTGTCGGGGCGTACAACGCTTTCCTGACTTTCGTCCGGATTGGCCGCATCTCGTCCGTAGCCTACCAGTCCCTTTTTTCCATCTCGGCGGCGCAAAAGTCCGCGCCGGTCCTGCAGGCTGCCATTGTACACATGAGAGGCCTGTTGGAAGAGTGGAGGATGGGCATCCCGGCTGCGTTCCGTCCCTGCGAGCCGGCCAATTTCGACGCTCTGACGGACGCCAGCACGAGGCTTGCCGTGCTCCAGACGCATTATCTCTACCTTGGTCTCATCATTTCCATTGAGCGCCTTACTCTGCATCTCGACAAGGAGAGAGGTGCCGCGAGCCAGCGGAGCAGGGTCAACTTGATGAATGCCGCGAGAACGATTGTGGATCTCTCACGGTACATCGAGCTTGAGCCATACGTTCCTGTTGCGTAAGTGCCATTTCTCTTAGCCGTTCTTTGCATTCTTCCCAGATGGGCATTTGAAATGTTTTTTTTTTTTTTTTTTACTTTTATTCTTTGCGTGTAGCTGACCAAGTCAGAATCACATGCATCATGCCGCTGACGGCGCTTTTCATCTTGTTTGACTTCATCATCCACAACCCTCTCCATCGAGAGACGAGGGCAAACCTTACGCTACTGGACACCATAGCAGGATATTTCAGCATGATCGACTTTGCGTCCAAGGGAGCACTGCCTGGCAGAGTGATCCCCGAGTTTGCGCAGATTGCGCGTGAGTACTTTATCAAAGTGCAGACGCAAGGCATCACTGAGGCCGAACGCGCATCAGATGCCAAAGATGACGCGCTCGGGCCAAAGGAAAGCCCAGGGACGCGAGAAAAGGCGGGAGAGCCCTCAACGGAGATGCAGCAGGACGATCCCGCAGCCGAGGAATCATGGGCCAATACGATCGGATCAGATTATCTCAGCTATCCGACGCCAGCAAACTTCGAGGTCCCGACCGACATGCAGATGTGGGATGCCGGTGACTTTCGGTCCATCTTTGGCACGGCGTTCCCGGAGTGGGCCATGGGTCCCGACGTTGCGTTGGGATCGCTGGGGTTGACTGATGGTGGTCGTTAGGTTATGTTCGACGGCTAGGAAGCAGTGTTATGGGGTTGACAGCCATTCGAGTGTGATCAGATACGCGATCAAACACGGGTTCGACGTCTTTCTTACCAATACACGATCTAAGAACATCATTCTTGCGCCATTCACCGTGCAAACGCAGCTAAAGGACACACGGGTGTCATGCAGCCGTGAGGTGACGGAACTGACCCCCCCACTTCGTGCTCTGTAAAACCTTCCCTGTCGCCAAAGAACAGGCGCTAACATTGTCGTGTTGGCCGCTTTTGAGAACCATGGCAATCCTACGCGGGTTAGGCATCCCTAGCACGGGTAGCCGGCAGCAATGGTGACGTGGACAGCAAAACAAAACACTGATTCTCCCGTTTGGTAGACTCCTCGCATGTAACGCGAAACGTAGCCTCCATTTTCAAATTGAATAGAGGATTTTCAGCCGTTGTTCATCTTCTGTGATCAATTTCCCGCCAAATTCATTTTCCATCAACCACGATTACTCACGACGGCCGCAAAAACCATGAACCGCCCCTCACGAACTGACGAGCCTTACGAGGGTGAAGGGCACAATCAGAGCCCTAATTCTCTGCCCAATGACCTGACTACCAACGAGGATCTCAACGGCATTGCCAATGCTCGGGAAGCGAGGCAGAAAGATGAGCTCTTGCGATTCAAGAACGGGCCGCCTTGGTATGAGAATCATGGCGAGACTACGCCGTCCGGCGAAAATAGACACCATGGGCTGACCGGCGATTCCGCTGGTCAGCCCTCGGGAGGGGCGGTCGGATCTCATGATCCGACCCTCCTCCCTAATTCCCCCCCGACTTCCATGCGCAGAAGTCATCGATATGCTTCTGGATGCAAATCTGCTCTCCAGTGGACAAAAGATAGCTTGATGAAATTTGGCACATTCATTGGCCCCGGTTTTATGATCGCTGTTGCATACAGTAAGCCCCAGATGCTGAGCTCGACTTGATAGAAATATTGACAACGATATCGCAAGTCGATCCCGGAAATTATGCAACGGACGTCGCTGCAGGCGCAAGCTACGAATATCGGCTACTGTTCGTCGTTCTCCTTGCGAATATTTTCGCGATATTCCTCCAAACGCTTTGCATAAAGCTGGGGACCGTTACGGGACTGAACCTCGCCGAGTGCTGCCGCGCCTTTCTTCCCTGGTGGCTCAATCTGGTGCTATACATATTTGCTGAGATAGCAATAATTGCAACAGATATTGCAGAGGTCAGCTCCTTCACGTTTTTTCTCTTGTCTACCATCCTGCAGCGTCGTGATTTCTAACAATAGGAAGGTTATCGGCTTCGCAATCGCTTTGAATCTTCTCATCCCCGCGGTGCCTTTGGTGGTTGGGTGCGCCATTTCAATCTTAGACGTCTTCGTGACGCTCTACTTCTATAATCCACAAGGGTCTATGAAGGGACTTCGAATCTTTGAGTGCTTCATTGCGTGTCTGGTCCTAAGCGTCGTAGTCTGCTTCTGTATTCAACTATCGATGATCAAGGAAACACCTGTTGGAGACATCTTCAAGGGCTACCTACCTTCCAAGGCAATTATACAACGTAAAGGGTATGTTGGCGCTCTTCTGCAGCCTGTCTCGGACTGAAAACAGCGCTAATTACGCCAAGCTTATACCAAGCCTGCGGAATTCTTGGTGCAACTGTCATGCCGCACAGCCTCTATCTTGGCTCCGGCATTGTGCAGCCCCGCCTGCGGGAGTTTGACGCCAAGAACGGCTTGCTCTCCATAAGCGCATCTACAGCCCAACAGGACGGAGAGGATGTTGATAAAAGCCGGTATGTGCCCTCTCTCAAAGCCATACGCCATGCCATGACCATGTCTTCCTTCGAACTTGGCATTGCCCTTTTCACTTTCGCTCTCTTTGTCAACTCAGCCATCCTTATCGTCGCAGGCGATTCCCTGTATGGAGCTCCAAATGCCTCCGATGCCGATATCTTCAGCATTCACGAGCTTCTGTCGCAGTCAATTTCGACCGCGGCTGGCACCATGTTTGCGCTGGCACTGTTGCTATCGGGCGTCTCAGCTGGCATAGTCTGCACTATTGCTGGCCAGATGGTGTGTGAGGGTGCGCTGAACTGGAAGATGCGACCCTGGTTGCGTCGTTTAGTCACGAGGAGCATCAGCATCACGCCGAGTGTCATCATCGCAGGGGCGGTGGGTCGGCAGGGGATCAGCGCTGCTCTCAACGCATCACAGGTCGTTCTCAGTGTCGTCCTTCCTTTTCTTACGGCACCACTGATCTACTTTACCGGTTGCGGCAAGTTCATGACGGTTCAGGTGGATTCGATGCGCGATGAGGGTGAGCATGCTGGTGGTGTTCGCGATGTGGCGGCCGGGGAACGCAGCATCATCACCGTCCAGCTGGCGAATTCATGGTACACCACTGTCATTGCTGTTCTGGTGTGGATTGCGATTGCTAGCATGAACGTTGCCAACCTTGTTCTCCTGGGTCAGGGCAATTAGGAGGAGATATGGTGGGAGGTCTCCTTGCAAAGACGTCTGGATGCTGGATGCATGAAGGACTGGTACGCTAATTTCGTTCCCTTCTGTATACATCACCCAACTCAACGACAAAACGACCTCTAGCTGCTGTGCGGTGAAGCAATTGGTGCGGAATTGGGCTGGCCGTTGAGCGCTGTGTTGATGGATGAGTTGAAGTAGAGAGTGTTGAACTGGGTCCAGATCTCGGCAGGTGAGAGATGGCCTGATCACGAATCTATGTATGGCGACCAGCCCTCCTTTTTCTGTTCTGTCACACCGGCCGGCCGGGATCATCACAAAATTCATTGCCGAATGAGAAGCGCACACACGTGACTGGGATCTGCTGCTTTGGTAGGATTTCAGGCTCCATTTAAAAGAATCCTTCGTGAGATCTCAGGCTCCAGTTCGTTCCAGCCCCTGTTGAATTAACGGATTGCAGCATTGCGTCGAAACAGTAATCTGTGGTCTGGACATCGATAAGAATCCTCCGTCCATTTATGGACATGGGTCAGTCTTCGTGGCCCTCATGATTGGCCCCTTTGGGCACGATTTCCAAACCCTGGATGCCAAGCATGTCGCTGCAGGGTTCATGGGGGATTTTAGCTGGGCCGCTGGGTACTAAACGCAACATGGCCCTGAATCCTCCTGAGCGCTCGATATGTAAGCCGAAGTAGTTTCTTTATATCCAGTCTTCGGTACGCACTCAGGCATCCTGGCTTACTTCCACTATCCTGTCTGACACCTGCCAAACGTTACAAACACCCTCGTTCCTTCGAATCTCGGTTTGAGCAACGGTTTTGGCAAGGCATCATGGCAGTACGCAAAGACCAAGAGAAATGGACCGCCACACCGTCGGCAGTCTCGCTGCCATCAGATTCCTTCCTGCCCCATGCAGTGCCACAAGCGCCGCCAGCCACAAGACGTCGGACAATCATGACTCTGCTACAGATGGCATTGTTCTACACCCTCGGTTCGGCGCCTCGATTCTTTTCACAGTACTGGGGGGACTGACATAGAGACAGCGGTGGCAGTCATGGGTGCTCATCTGAGCCTCTTCCAGTACCTTGACGGGACGCCCGTCCGGTCCACGAGATTGACGCAAAGTATTGAGAATGCCATGGCCAGTTTCATGGCACTTGTCGCAGAGCTACTTCTCGTCTCTGGAGTGAGCATTGCCTACACCCAGTTGCTCTGGAGGTTCTTCCGCCAAAAAACACTGAGCGCTTTTGTTATTGACAAGCTCGTCTCGCTGCCGGACAGCCCTTGGGATCTTGCTCGGCCTCGGGTTATTATCAGTGCCATTGGGCCCTGGCTGGCGGCCCTGATTTGCGTGTTGATGCCTTTAGCCGGCATGTTTCCTCCTGGTTGTTTGACGGTCGAGTTCCGCAACAGCATCGTGCCAGTGACGCTATCAGCAGTGCCAACCCTGAACATCTCCTACTGGGGCCCTGGCAATTATCGTGGGTTTGTCGACCACGCCCTCTTCGACCTCAACGCCGATCTGGATTTCATGTGAGCGTCCCATCACCCTTGAAATGTGTCATCTCCGATTCTGATAGTCTACCAATGCACAGCAATGTCCAGCCTAAGCTTACTACTCTAGCCCGCACGGTTCTGGCGCAAGGCGAGCCTGTTGCACCTCCCACGCCATGCAGTGGTCCTTGCACATACGACATGCAGTTCGACGGGCCAAGCTTCGAATGCAAACAGGTGAACGCGACGAAGTACACTCTCTTTAAGCCTTGCACGGATGTCGTCTTCAAGGCGAAATCGCAGAGCGTAAGGGACGGTCTTTTGATCCGCAACAACTCAGTGCGGTTATCGTGGCACACTGAGAGAAACGACGAAGAGGCTTGCCGAAACTCGACACTCCGGACCATGGACTGTTCCGTGAAACTCGCGACCTACAACGTTAAGATGACGAATGAGGAGAATGGAACCCGCATCTTCAACACAAAAGTGACCGGAGAAAGGGAGTTTTGGGACGACGAGAACCCGATTCCCCTGCGCTTCTACGACTATTTTTACGACCGTGAGTCCGGGAACCTCATGGACGAGGCTGTCAACCAAACTCAGCTGCACAAGGTGTATGCCAATACACAAGCATACGCTATTCGAGAGGCTGCTGTTCAAGCCTTGGTGGGCGATGTCAGACGATGTGAGTTATGCATGAGCTTGTCTTCTCTATTGCTTTGTTCTAACCTGTCTGTGTAGTCTCTGATGGTGGAGGTGCCACGAAGACCGCCTTGCTATGGCCCAACATGACTTACGTGGTTGGTAGCCCATATATTGGCATGACCGACAGGTTCAACCCGCAAGTATCCCTGACGCCCGAGACGGTTCAAAAATACCTCCAAGACATTGTCATATCAACACTGTCGCTTAATCCAAAGAACAAGCCGCTCTGGACGAACGGGCCTGATATTCCGGCTCTCGAGGGCGGCGCAACATATATCTTTGATTCGAAGCTGCAATTCTTCTTGCCTTATGGTGTGTGTCTGCTGGTGGCTGGCGTGGTTTACATTCATGGCATCTGGGCCATGTGGAAGAATGGACAACCGGCCGGCAAAAGCCTGTTGCAGTTTGCCACGGCGGTAAGCACGAGCAAGACTCTCCAAGACACCTGCAGTTCGCGGACGGACGGGGATCCGTTTGAGAATTTGAAAGATATCAAGCTTCGATATGGTGTGGGAAGGTCGTTTGACAGTGCGGGCTCATCGATTTATGCCACTGGATTCGGAACTGTTGATGAAGTCGATTGTACAAAGTAGAATAGTCGCCACTATCCGGCAGATACTCCGCCCCTGAGGATAATCATAGACTAATTTACCTAGACGTAAGAACATGGCATCTCCATCACTATGAGACGCTAGTGTCAATGCGTGGTATACAATAGAGGGAAGAGGTCTTACACGCGTGGTCCACAGGCAACAGAATATAGTAGGGGGTGGGAATACATTTGAGTTCTGGCCCTCCGCGGTCCTCATACAGACGCCCTCGTAACCCTTAGCTCCTGACCAGCCCTCTGTACCGTGGCTCCGCAGGGGTCTCCTGACAGCTGGTTGCCTAGCCTCTCGTTGGAAAGAGGCCTTGAATGAACTATTGTTATATAAGGAGAACAAAGGAGTCCAATGACATACCCCATAGCCCTTGTATCAGACTATCGGGAGGGCTGCACTAATTTTAAGATACACCATTGATGCCCTGCGCATTTACCTTACATTGCATGAATACTGAGAATGAATGTACCGACGGAAACAGGTTACACTCGATAGATGACCCTGAAGACGTAGGAACTCCGCTCCGCACTCGATCTTGTAATTCTGTTTGTCCGTTATACACAGTGTGTCGGTGACTGGCGGAGTTCCGTATAACTATTCTGCTGCTTTTTGCACCCGAAGTGCGGAGATAAATTGCTTCCATACACATGACATCATGTCAACGCCAACGCCAATGGCTCTTTTTTTTTTGCAGCGAACAGCGAAGCCGCTGAAGGAATTACAGCATCAACCCATAGTAGGAACAGCCTCGGCTGTAAGGGGGACAATGTCCGCCTCAGCGCGTACATGAATACTGTAACGTTTCATTGCTCGTCACGCGACGAGCGACCATTCCAACATTGCTCGTACGGTGAAACAGATACCGCCGCTCGGTTTATCGGACTAAAACCAGCTCAGAGTGCTCGGGCTGTTTTTTCTGCCGCACTGTTTGGATAGGGGCGGAGTTTGACTAAAGCCACAGACTTCGCTGTCAGAATGCTGGTGGGCGAACGTTGAAGGTATAAAGGAAGGCCAGGGAAGCAAGGCCATCACAGGCTACGAGCCCAACTTGCAGGAAAATCAGAAGATGACATCGAATGGGTTCGAGAAATGTCGAATCTTCATTGAGAGGCTTTTCAGAATAGAAGGCACCGAGATCCCATGGCAGCCCAACGGGGAGCTCACCGAAAGGAACAGAGTACCTCGATAGAAAGGCCCGAACCTCGGCTCGGGCCTTGGACGATCGACAGTTGCTTGCTAAGCGTTCTTAAATTGCCCAATAAGTCACCCAAGAGACAACCTAGCACATCATTCACTGACTCCAGATCCCGGAAGTATCGGAGCCAACGCCCAAGTTAACATAACTATAAAGCTGCTCCGCCTTTCGTCAAAGTACGTCGAGTAGTCCACCTTTAATACAAGCCAATCATTCGTCCAACTTCATTCTGGCAATTTCGATACCTCAGCTATGGAAACCGCTAAGCTAGGCGTTATCATCGTTGGTTCTGGACTTGCTGGCTTGGCAGCCGCACGGGTTCTCCGTGAACAGCATCATGTCACTGTGTTTGAACGAGGTGACCGCGCAGTGGCGACTGGAGGTCAAGGCATATGTATCTTTCCAAACGGAGTCAAGGTCTTGGAAGCTCATGGATATGACCGCACTAGAACTAAGGCTGTGGTGCAGACTGGTCACCGAGCATACGATAAGCACGGCGATTTGAAGCACGACGACGAGACGGACTTTATGGAACAATACGGAGCAGACGCATTGCAACACCTGCGGAGTGATCTACGCAACGAACTATACAGACTCGCAACGGCGCCTTCAAAAGACTTGAATATTCGAGGGGAGCCAGCAACGTTGAACTTCAATTCTGCAGTCACGGATATGGACCCTGACCGGGGCAAGGTCACACTCAGTGATGGATCATCAGCCGAAGCCGATGTCATTATTGGTTAGTCCAACCGTGGGAGTGATAGGACGGTTGAAACATCATTAACATACATACATCAGTTGCTGACGGTGTCCACTCACGCTTACGCTCCTGCATCGTTGGCCCCGAATACTTTGCGAAGAAAATGGGGCTTTCGTGCTTTCGCATCGCTGTATCGGCTCAGGATGCTGAAGCGGCTCTCGGAAAAATACCTGAATGGTGGGACCGTTCTACTGGCAAAGGGCGTGGGGTGGTCTTCGAATCTGGAGATGCCTCCAACCGCTTCATCGTTGCCTACCCGCTTCGCAATTTTGAATACATGAACCTTTCGTGTATCTTCCCAACCAATCCTGAACGACTCAAGAGCAGCACTGCTTCCACTTGGTATGCTGAAGGCGATCGCAGTGAGATGCTGGAAGTCTTTTCCGACTTCTCGTCAACGCTTGTTGAACTCTTACGGTGAGAACCCTTGATTCATCTGAGGATGTTGAAGAAGTTCACTAGGGCAAGAGCGGGCGCTGATTCGATCAAAAGCATTGCAACAGAGGTGAAGATGTGGGATCTCCAAGACCTCGACCCGCTTCCGACATGGACGAGTGGAAAGGCCTTGTTAATTGGAGATGCTGCCCATGCAATGACGCCACTTCAGGGTCAGGGAGCTAACATGTCTATGGAAGACGCTGGGAGCCTGCGCCTGCTCCTTGGTCCGAACATCTCTCGAGAGAATGTGCCCTCTGTTCTCAAGCAGATTGAAGCCACAAGGAGACCAAGAGCGACACAGGTCCTATTAGAGACGAGAGCTCTTGCTGATAATTTTAGTTTGGATGCAATAGCTTCAAACAGGGAGTATAACTTCGGCTTAGGGCAGGCAGGTCGATAGGGATCAGCAGGGAATGGATGTGGCAGGCGGGTGATGCAAAGGGTTAAGACTGACATAAAGCACAGCGATAGAAGGGTTTCTTGAAAGGCAAGATTGAATATTAACATCTCCATGTGTGGACTCTTTTCAACAAAGAGAGCGGTACGTCGCTGGGCTTATTGCGAGGAATCAATATCAGAGTCGTCGACAGGATGCTCCAACAAAGCAAAGGAGGAATGCAGAACTCAAAGAGTGTTTGAAACTGATATCGTACAGAGCGCACACAGTCAATGGTCACCTAGTTTGAAGGTTGGAATGCTTCTATTTTATCGAGATTTGACCATCGAAACTAAACAGCTGTGGCCATCATGTTGATCCGATAAAAAACGAATGTTGAACATCTCATCCAATTGACTCGAGTCCTGGGGCCATTGCCTGCCAGTCTGTTCACCCACTGGCGACAAGGGCCGCAACATTACGGGCCAAAAGGAGAATTCCTCATCCATGACGGAGAAAGCGATGTGAGTAATGCTGAAAACAGCAGCCAGGCAACACTGGAGTCAGGCGACAACCGCTCACAGGGCAATGGAGTTTGGTCAGAAAGAGGGTCGTCTCTTGCGGCTGCTAAGTCTTATATGTCTCTCGAACAATAGCACTGAAAGTGCAAGCCGGACGACTTGGAGGGGCCTGAGGAGGCTGTTGTCTTATCGCTTCTGGGTTGGATTTTACAATATGACCCTAGGAAGCGCCCTTCGGCCGGAGAGATCCTGATACATCCTTGGTTCCTTTGAGTCAGTACGCTTGTCAAGCTCCCCACTGTGGCGATATCAATGGTTTTGGGCGAAATGTTCCCATTGAAGCATTATCATCTTTTTTCTTTCATGTGTGAAATTCGATACCTGATTAATAGCCAGCGGAAACAACCAAACGTGACGGATGGCTGAGCTGTTCAACACGTAAGAAGGATTGCCTACTCAGCGATACAAAAGGAAACAAAATGGGGAGACAAGAAATAGGAAATCTATGGGTTGGGGTTACTTCCACATCATTAGTACGAACATTTATCCCGGTCCTCGCGGTTTTGAAACTTGCACCTCATCTTCCCGTCTAACCCCTTTTCGTGCCCTTGCCCTTCGGCATTCTAAACGCCCAGTATAGACCCAACGCAGCGCCGACATTGAACAAGACATAGGCCCACAAGACGCCAAAGTCTCGCCACCTGGTGGCGTACTTGATACTGTACCGCGCCAAGAATTGATTCGTGTTCGAGATGGAACAGTAGAGACACGTTTCCGTCGCATTAGGTGTCAAAAGGTTTCCGCCCGCAGCCGCAGCAAAGGGACCGAGAAACTCAAGGCAGTCCATCCCGCTTGGTGGTGCAAGGCGCAGGATCTCGCTTGCAGCGCAGGTAACCTCTGCGTTGGCGATGGCAGAGGACATGACGCCGCCGACGAGGTAGGTTCCGGGAGATATATAGTACATGAAGGTCCAGAAACTGGGAAGGTCCGCTTTAGCAACGCCCACACTGACTTTGTTAGTAATGCGATTCAGTTGAGGTGTATTCTGAGTCAAGTTTGATCACCTACCCGCAGAAACAGAGGCAGAGCATCCATAGTAGGCTCGCGAACACACCAGCAGTATCGGCAGTGGGGATCCACGTAATTGAAAAGTGCGAGAAAGTGCTGGTGAACAGCATAAACATCCAGAGGAAGAAGAACACGAGGAGGCCACGGGAGTGTTCGTCCCCCGGCGAAGTGTTCATGACAAATCCGACCGGATAATACCAACAGACGAAAATGATGACAGCCATGAGCGTGTTCCAAGCGGCCTCTATAAGTATGTTGCAGAGAATGAAAGCTACGCGGTTAGCTTTCGATTTAAGACGGACAATCGGGTTGGCACTCACTATTCCAGCGGTAAATCTTTGATGGCCGCTCTCGAATCTCGAAGAGATCACGTTGTGGTACAAACATGGGCATTATCTGCTCATTGAGATTTCCAAAAAGAACAAGAAACATGAAAATTGCAAAAAGTTGATTCTGCAGGCCTTGCATCGTGTTGGCTGCCCTGAAGCTGAACCCGAGGTATATGGACTAATATTCTTAGTTTGGGATACGACACATGCAGAGTACACCGCTTACCGAAATAGATATCATCAGTATTTTGGACCAGATATAAGTGGGTGACCGCCAGAAGTGTCGATGAGTTCGGACAAAGACTTGCCAGAATTGCGTCTGGAATGATGTGACGAATTCCCGATATTGGGACTCATGGTCTTCGTTAGGAGTCGGCATGGTTTTCTCAAGAGCCCGAAGCCGGTCCAGCTCACGCTTGACGGCTTCAAACTCGGGAGAAGCTCGCCAGGTTCGATACCAGTCGATAGGGGAGCTATCCTTCGTCGAAGGCTTTATCACATTGAGCATCCATTCAGCTGGGTTTGCCTCAGCAGGACACTTCGGGGCACCACCTCGCTCCATGTACTCTATGAGGGTCTTGGACGAATCTCCGAGCTCTGCATTATGTAAGTACATTCATTTGACATGATGGTATGATTCGCCAGACTCACCTCCGAAATATACCGTCTTGCCTCCTGGCGCAAGCAATAACAGGCGATCGAATTCACCAAAAAGAATAGCCGATGGCTGATGGATGGTGCACAAAACAGCCTGTCCACTTCTCGTCAACTTCTTGATCAGCTCAATAATTGACCATGAAGTCTGCGAATCCAAGCCTGAAGTCGGCTCGTCGAGGAATAAGAGCAGTTGCGGTCTCGCTGCGAGTTCCACACCAATAGTGAGTCGTTTCCGCTGTTCAACATTGAGGCCCTCGCCCGGCACGCCAATAACGGCATCGGCAAATGCCTGCATGTCGAGCATATCAATGACTTGGTCGACGTAGTCGAGCTTCTCAGAGTGGGAAACTTCGGCAGACTGGCGAAGAATAGCGCTGAAAGAGAGAGCCTCGCGGACAGTGGCGGTGCTGAGATGGAGGTCTTGCTGCTGCACGTAGCCCACGCGGTGTTGAAAAGAGGAGTCCGTCGGCATGCCGTTGATGAGGGTATCGCCGGTGACGATGCCCATCGTAACCCGGGTGGCGAGGACGTCGAGAAGGGTGGTTTTTCCGGCACCAGAAACGCCCTGTTACATTAGCTTGATCTCGAAACTACGATCGAAGGGAGAAGGAACATACCATGAGCGCTGTAGACGTGCCGGGCTTCACCCAGCCGTCAACCTGATCAAGAATCCGCCGGTCTTCACTCTTGATCTTGATGTCGTACGACAAATTCTCCCAATGAAACACAGCCGTCCCGGTCACTAGGGTTGGAGCCGAGCGATCGCTAGCGGGTTTTTTCGAAATAGCTGTCCGGCCAATAGATTGTCCTTCAAGGTCACCTGCAGCCGTTTTGGTCGATTCTGACGGAAGCTTGCCCTTCGGGAACACCAACACCTCACCCTTGCTTTTCGGCGGCTTGGCGAACTCAGCGGCCGTGGTGTAGGCGCTCAGAAAGAATATGAGAAATGCGATAAGGATACCGACATTTCTGACCCTTGCAGTTAGCCATGTCTGCCGCCAACCCTAGCCTCCAATGATGACTTACCTCCACTTGTTCCCATGATAGTAAGCAAATGCCATGTTGATGTACCTGTCACCTTGCACCGTGGCACTGCCTGGCAAGGCGCCAACGACTGGACAAACCGTGGAGTCGCTAGGGAGGATATCGTACCCAGTTCCGTGAGGGATGATACCCTCGCAAGGAAACTCCCTGTCGTGAAACTCATTTGCCATTAGAGCCTCAAACCCATAAGCAAGAGGGTTGATGTAGTTCATCCAGCGTGACCAACCGCGCATGTACATTGTTGGGATAGTGAAACCTGTGTACACCATGAGTCCGATGCTGAGTATGGCACTTGGGACCATCGCCTGGTGCGATGTTCGGGTGACGCAGGCGAGGGTGCGGTAGAGGGACGACATGATGAGCGTGACGATGAAGCTGGTCAGGCAGAAGAAGAAAAACGGACCGGGCTCTCGACGAAGATTGGCCATGAAGTAAACGATGAGGTTGAATATAAACATGTTTACCATCTTGTAGGGGAGATCCATGAGGTAGCTAGCAATAGCTTGTGTTGACTGATGGTAGAAGGCGTAGCGGTTATGTTTCTCGACGATGGGACGCTCTTCGTAAACAGTGAGCACTTCAAGCTGGCTTGCGAAGGCGTTCAGAAGCAGGGCAAAGAAAATGATGCCGCCTCGATAGTAAAAGCTCGATGTATCTTCCTTGAGGTTGAAGAACATGCTGCCAAGGATGAGCGCCATGATGAGGTTGAAAAGTAACTGGGCGATGGTGAAATATGGATCGGCAAGAAGTCTTCTCCAGCCGCGCCACAGGGTCAGTTCGACCTGTTGCCGATAGGAAATCGTATAGGGTGAACCGGGACGCTGGGAACGGGCTTGCTCGGCGCGGCGCGAAGCTTCGTACTCCGCAAACCTCTCCTCTGTCGGATGTAATCTTTCATAGCCATCAATCTCCTGGAGCAGAGATTGTCGTTGACGGCTCGACTTCCAACGCTGAGCAAACTCGTCGGGCGTGCGAGGGACCTGGTCCTCGTATCCGGGTCTAGCTCGTCGCTCGCTTGCGCTTGTCATAGAGGTAAGGAAATCGGGGGTCGTCTGTCTTGGAGGACCTGTTATCCAATGATGTTAGCGATCGACTCAGGTTGCAAAGGGTGGGTGGGCAACATGGAGAATCATACACTCAAATCCTAAGTCTTCAAAGTAAGATTTCGCCTCTTCGATCTTTCCAAAGAAAATCTGTCTCCCTTCGTACAATACAGTGACGCGGTGGAACAGCTAAACACACATCAGTAAATGACAGTAGTTCACCTCATGGGCATCGTGGACTCACATCGTAGGCCGACTGTGGGGCCTGGTAGATGGCCACAGCAGCCGCAACACCCAAAAGATCAGATTGCACCCTCAAGTTGCGGCAGAACGTTACCGCATTCGCACTATCCAATCCTCGCGTGGAGTTATCCCAGCACTGGAACTTGGCCCCGGTGAGCGCCGCCTCGGCGATACTAACCCTCTTACGCTCACCTCCGCTGACGCCGCGTACGAAGTCGTTGCCTACGCGGGTGTTAATGGTATGGCCGATACCAAAGACGGCCATGATGACATCGCGAATCATGCCATCAGCTTGTGCCCTTGAAAGTCCGCTGGGAACATTGCGAACCGATCGTGCACGAGCAGCGAAGGAGAGAGTTTCGCCAACTGTCAGGTGCGCGAGGTGGGTGTCGACCTCGGCGTTGTAGAGCACGTCGCCTCGAAGGGACGATCGAATTTTTTGGGAGGGAATGCCGCGGAAGTTGAGATAAGATTCAGGGGCGACTTGGAGCCCAGAGGTTTCGCCAGCCAGCGTTTTCAGAAGAGTCGAACAGCCCGAACCTGGAGGTCCTAGGACAAGTAGAAGCTCTCCTTCAGCCACAACACCTTCGAAGTCGCGAAGAATGTCGATTCGGCGTTTTTGCTTATTTCCCGTTGCCAACTGAGCAATTGACTGAAACAAGTTTGTGATGCGGGTGGTGACCGTCATCTGACTTTCGGTGCCGGTGCTCCAGCCAAAGACATTGAGGGACCTGAAAGCAACACCAAGGACTCGCATCGGGGCAGCCTGGGGGTCTGACTGTGCGAGTTGAAGGAAAGCCTTGACCCAGGCCCTGCCGTCAAAAGATACCGATGCAGGGTCGAGACGAGACCCGGAACCGGGCGTCAATTCGTGCATTTGTTGGATGATTGTATTAGAGGCTCTGGATATTTGTCTAGCCAACGTGTCGACTTGATTGCTGATTTCAGCATCATCCGGGCCACTATCTGTCGTGTTGAATATATTTTCTTCTGTGGGGTGTTGAGGATTCATGGTACCGATATCGAGCCATGTTGGCTGGGCAGATGACGTCTCTCGAACCGCCATACTGAGGGCTCTTGATCTGGCCTAGTACCAGGGGCTTTTTTTCTTGAGTTTATAGTTGTCGCAGTCTCGTCCGAGATAGTAGTCAGCTTTGTCGTGTAATAGGGTCGAGTCAGATGCCGCAGAAGAGTTAGTGTTTCTGATGAACTACGAAGCGACGAACGACCTGTTTATATCCATCCAGCCGCATAATGGATTGGAAGATAGTTCATTCTAGCGGTGGCCGCGTTTTCCATCCCCGTTGAGCGAAAGCGCCTTTTACGCGTCTCAGTTGTGCCGACATCGTCAATTTGGCTGTCGTTTCGCCCACTGCAAGTAACGTGACTGAGGTGCGCGACGGAGGGTAAAGCGCGGCACCTCCACTTGGACGCCGCGCCCGTGCCAGCTGAAGGCCGAAGTCCGCGGCCTTCAGCCCCGCCTGTATCAGCGGAGCGGCACTGGGCACAGCGCTCAACAACATGAAGGCCGCGGGCTATATTCTAGCCTCAGCCCTATGAGAGTTACAACAGAATATTTTCCTTGTGACAGCAGGGGCGTTTTTTCTTTTGCCCCCTACACGACGTGCTCTTAGTCATTGAGGGATGGGAGTCGAGGCTGCGGAAGGGCTGCGGCACACACCAAGACATCTGACCAACGCCTCCTCTCCTCACGGAGAACGACGCAATCGCTTGAATGAATCTCATAATCAGCGAGCTATCGGAATTTTCGGTTGTAGATCTAGGGGCAGTCACTGCACCAACCCACTACGTAGCTGTGTGAACTCCTGACAATGGCCTGTGATGGCAACCCACTACGCCTGATAGCTCACGCACCAGATTCCCACAACATCATCAATCGAAACAGAATAACACCAGACCCTGAAGTTCCCGGGCTCTCGAACAGCATTTCTGAAGCTGTCAAATCCAGTGCTCAAAGCGCTGCACCTTCATATTCTGCTGGGGCGGTTTCCAGGCGCAGTGGGACAGGGCCGCAGGAATGCGGCATGATGCTCTGGCCGGAACCCGCACGTCGCCCAGCGCTGTGCCGCAGCGACTAGGCAGCCCACGGCCTCCAGAGTAGTTAGTTCATCACCAATTAGCCCCGTATCGCATTTGTCAGGCCGATCCTCCTTGGCGGAGGATGAAGCGAGACGACGAATGGCTGTTGTCGCCAACTGACTGGTCAGCTTTCGCCTCGATTCTTGCTCGGTCATCCAGTATTCCATAAGCAGCGTCATTGTGCTCTGACCCAGGAGCAGCACCATGGCCAGCCATGATCGGGGTGATTGGGGCAGTGGGAACAATTTAAATACATGCAGCGCCGAGAAGAAAGCCACCCAGCTTACAGTATCAGTGAAAAGGCCATCTCTGATAGCACGAACTTCGTGAAACTAGCAGAGTCAAGATGTCGCTCCACATCACCGTCGTCCCCGCCTCCTCACAAGGCGGCAAAGAGACGATCCGCAACCTGCTCCGCCACGCCAGCCAGCCCAGAGTCCGTGGTGTCTACCGCGACATAGCTAAGACGCCCGCCGAGTTCACAGACAATGCCAACTTTGAGCCTGTTCAAGGCGATGTCTCCAAGGCCCCACCCGACTTCTCCGGCTCTGATGCTGTCTTGTACATCCCGCCGCCCACATTTGAGGACGTCAATGTTGCCGAATTCGCCACCAATGCCGCCAACAATGTCAAGGCCGGCCTTGAGCGCGCCTCCGTGAAGCGGGTCCTTATCTTCTCGGCGATGGGTTCTCAATACGATCCCGATGCCATTGTAGGCAGCACACCACGACATTGGGCTTCGATTTCTTTCCCAAGACAACTAACACTTGTTAGGGTGTTCTGAAGATCAATCATATCACTGATAAAATTCTCGCTGCAAGCGCGCCTGAGGTAGTGGTCATCAAGCCGGGCTGGTTTCACGAAAATTGGACCCAAGCCTTCGCAACAGTGAAGCAGGAGCCCGCTCATTTTGAGTCTGTCTTTACACCAGCAGACTACGAGATCCCAATGGTCGGTCAACAAGAATTTTCTGTGTCATGAAATGTTGTGGTTAACGATGCGTAGGTGAGCATTGTCGATGTTGGTCGCGCGTGTGCCCGGAAACTACTGGAAACCGGCCAGATGCTGCCTTCGTGCCCCTACGTCTTTGAATTGTTCGGCCCGAGGCACTACTCAACGCTTGATGTTCGGCAGGCACTTGAGAAGGCGTCGGGGAAGAGCATTTCGATCGTTCCGGTAGAGCCGGAGAAGCTGGCTGAGCATTTCGCGAAGCACATGCCACCGTCGCATGTGCAGACCTATGTGAACATGATTACGGCTACATTGGCGGGGGGTGTTATGGCAGGCGACTACAAGGGAGACGGGAGGACGGAAAGGGGAATGGTCGAGCTTGCAGATAGCCTGGAGCGGTTATACACCGAGACTCAGTAGGTCGCGGTGCGGAACACAACAGCGGCCAGACTTGAAGGCATGGGAATGGAACATTGATTTGCTCATTGCGACTGACCCAACTGAGGTGCGCAGATCGATTTCGAGACATGAGGTGCCACGGCCTTACCAGTTTGCCAGAGTTCCCATGGAATCTCGGCGCGCGCTGTGGCACCAACCAGGCCCCTGAGCTGTCGGGGATCAGCGTCTCATCTGCCCCGTAGCCGCTCACCTTAGCACTTCGGGGCTCTTCCTATAACCTCCCTTACGTGTAATGCGGCTCGGCCTAGCTCAGCCACCATGCTGCAAAGGCATCACATTCCATGTCGACCTTCCTGGTGACCAACAAACACGCCCCCTAAAAATTGATCAAATGGGATCAGAACATGGTCAGCCTGAAGGGGTTGCCACGCTTAACAACTCTTTCACATGAGGGCACGCAAGGTAGCACAGCAGGAGGAGTTCCCCACCTCGTTGACTGTCGACAAGGTAGAGAGGGCTGATGGATGCAGTAACACTTGGACTGCCCCGAATGGCCAGACCCGAGCGATCCACGAACATCATCTCCGCCGCCGGCGGGTAAAATTGGGGAAGCAACTTCGAGACTAATGTCTTACTCAGATGATCATTCTATTCATCCGGGGAAACGGAGCATACTGAACCAGATTTAACTGCCGACGTTCCCCAACTTACATGCAACGTCAACGTGCGGGGGAAAAGCGACAGAGGACCAACTCGTCACCAACACGACACACGGCTACACGGACATGTTTAAAGCACTAGCCGAGACCTTCCCCTCCTTTCCCCAGCTTCCAGCCAGAGCCTAGGGAGGGGAGGAAGCTCGCGCACAGCCGCGTAGCTGCAGGAAAGCTTCATCCAATCCCGTGCCCATGTTTGCGACGCTGGCTACTGACGAATCAAGGCTCAGCTAGCTTCGACCACACCAGCACCGCCGTGTCATGAAACGGGCGCAGCTCCATGTTTCCTGACGTCGAAGTCGTATCATCGCCAAGAAAACAATGGTCTCTTCTCCTTCATGGAGGAGACCTCTATCCGATCAGTGTGGCATTGTCATCCTCTTCACCGATGCCAAGGTTGCGGGGTGCAGATTCTGGGGAAGCTGTTTCTGTCCATGCATTCCGAGCTATCACCGAACGGAAGCTCCGGGGATTCATGTCAAGGGGATTTCTCTGTTGTATGTGGAAGCTTTTGGTGGTTTATTCTTTTGCCATTGTCTATCTTCAGTCTCCTGCATCTTGGACATACATGAAGCTCGCTTGAAAACGATGCTGCAAGACGTCCTCATGGTATCAATGTCTGCAGCCGCTACACTGTCAAGTGCTTGAGAGGCTGCCTGGAGTTCCAGAGATGCTGATGAATTCCAAGATGATCTTCACAGTCACCGGGAAATGTCCGTACAAGGCTGTATCCGCTGCAACCACCGAAGCTTCCATCTGGGCCGCTGACTTGTCCGGCCCGAGTGCCATGACCTGCCCGGTCATCTTCTTTCTACCCCTCTTCTTATGTATCAACTTGACTGGTCATAACCCTCCACACTCGGAAATAAATGACTGGTTATGATTGTTCGATCCTTCTGGGACCAGAAGATGCATACGTCGCCAAGTTTGATGTGCCTCCTCCCGGGCGAATAGGGTTCTGCTGAGGAGAAGGAGGGGGGACAGGAAGACTCTCCAGAGGCTAGGACGCGCGTGTCCAACCAAGACTACCACCGATCTGCCAATGAATCAATTGGCCAATAATGCAGGCTGGATGGTGATGTTGGCGAGGAGCTTCAGGCATCAAGCCTGCATGGAGCTGCCTGGATCATTGAGACAATCGTGAGGGGTCGGTCATGCGGCAGCCTCTGGTTTCTGCACCGGATGGAATGATCGGTTGGGGTTCATCGGCTTGTTGTGCCTACTGAAGGTCTCTAATTTTCTACATAAACTCGTCTCCCAAGTCTCGATCAGCAAACTTTCGTCATGAAGCAGCTCTTATCCTCCAGCTGCAAACTCTGAAATTGATCCAAAGTAAACTAATAGCCAACAGCCAAGGGCAGAAACAGACCATGAGCGGTGCAATTCCTGAAGAGTTTGATATCATCGTTTGCGGAGGTGGTAGCACAGGGTGTGTCGTTGCTGGGCGGTCAGTCCCCTTGTTCAATGTACTTCCAGGTTACGTCACTGACGCCTTTCTGTAGGCTTGCCAATTTGGATCACAATCTCTCCGTCCTCCTCATTGAGGGCGGAGAGAACAATCTCAACAATCCATGGGTCTTCCGGCCTGGTATTTACCCACGCAACATGAAGCTGGACTCGAAGACGGCCACGTTCTATGAGTCCAGGCCGTCGGAGCATCTGGCGGGCCGCAAGGCTATTGTGCCTTGTGCGAACATCCTTGGTGGAGGGTCTTCGATCAACTTCATGGTAAGAACACTCGAGCGATGATGTTGAAAATTCCCACCTTCTAACGAGAGCTAGATGTACACCCGTGCGTCAGCCTCGGATTACGACGACTTCCAAGCCAAGGGCTGGTCCACGAAGGAGTTGATCCCTTTGATGAAGAAGCACGAGACATATCAGCGGGCTTCTCATAACCGGTATATATGGTCGTTCTGCCAAGTAAAAAGCTCATGCTGACACACAACCAGGGACACGCACGGCTTTGAAGGCCCGATCAAGGTGTCTTTCGGCAACTAGTAAGCATAACTTACTGGATTGTTGACGAAGGCTTGTACTCACAATATCAACCAGCACCTATCCTATTAAGGAAGACTTCCTCAGAGCTGCCGAGTCTCAAGACATTCCTGTGGTCGATGATCTCCAGGACTTGTCCATCGGCCATGGTGCTGAGCATTGGCTCAAGTGGATCAACCGCGACGTGAGTACATGCAAGCATTTTCCAGATCATAGGAGTTGACGAAACCATACAGACTGGCCGCCGCAGTGATAGTGCTCACGCCTACATTCATTCCACGCGGGCTGTGCACTCGAATCTTTATCTAGCTTGCAACACCAAGATCGACAAGGTCATCATCGAGAACGGCCGCGCTGTAGCAGTGCAGACTGTGTAAGAACAACCTTCAATTCAGATTGGGCATCAATTAACTTTTGTCAAGACCAATGAAGCCACTCGAGCGCGCACAGATTAAGCCTCGGATTTTCCGAGCTCGCAAGCAGATCGTGGTTTCTTGCGGAACGCTGTCGTCTCCTCTTGTCCTTCAGCGATCTGGTATTGGTAAGATTCTGAAGTCCTTTTGAGATTATCTAGTCAGCTTGGCTCTGACCACTCGCAGGCCACCCTGAAAAGCTCAGGGCAGCTGGCGTCAAGCCCATCGTCGACTTACCTGGCGTCGGCCTCAACTTCCAGGATCATTATCTGACCTTCTCGGTCTTCCGAGCAAAGCCTGGAACGGAGAGCTTCGATAACTTTGTCAGAGGGGACCCCGAGACTCAGAAACGTGAGTATTTGTGTCATTCGTTGCTGGGCCTCGCTGACATTCTCTAGGCGTCTTCGATGAGTGGAACATCAAGGGCACCGGCCCTCTGGCTACAAACGGCATTGATGCCGGAGTCAAGATCCGTCCCTCAAAGGAAGAACTCGAAGAGTTCGAAAGGTGGCCGACCCCTCACTTCAAGGACGGCTGGAAGTCGTACTTTGAAAACAAACCTGACAAGCCGGTGATGCACTACTCCGTCATTGCTGGGTGGTTCGGAGACCATATGCTCATGTACGTATCGCTCGGATTTCCACAATAGGTCGGGCACTAATCCTCTTCAAACAGGCCCCCGGGAAACTTCTTCACAATGTTTCACTTCCTCGAGTACCCTTTCTCGCGCGGAAGCACTCACATCACCTCGGCCGACCCTTATGCTAACCCAGACTTTGACGCTGGTTTCATGAACGATGAGCGCGACATGGTCCCGATGGTATGGGGCTACATCAAATCGCGCGAGACAGCGCGTCGCATGGATGCCTATGCTGGCGAAGTCGCGAACATGCACCCTACCTTCAACTACTCATCGCCCGCCAAGGCACTTGATCTTGATCTAGCCTCCACGAATCAGTACGCTCTGCCTGGCAACCTGACTGCAGGCATCCAGCATGGCAGCTGGACGCAGCCCCTCTGCGAAGCCGAGACGAGGGCGGACAAGAAGTTCACCGTCTCGAGCAGCTGCAAGGACGTGAGGAAGCCACTTGAGTACAGCAACGACGACATCAAGGCTGTTGAGGAGTGGGTGAAGAGGCACGTCGAAACGACTTGGCACAGTCTTGGGGTAAGTACTGAAAGATTCTACGGGTTGTCATGCCAGCTGACCAATCTCTAGACCTGTTCAATGGCGCCTCGCGAGGGCAATAGCATCGTCAAGCACGGCGTCCTCGACGAACGCCTCAATGTACATGGCGTCAAGGGCCTCAAGGTTGCTGACCTCAGTATTTGCCCTGATAACGTGGGCTGCAACACGTAAGCTACCATCTACAGATGTCTGGAGTGAGAACAATAGCTAACATGAGAAGATACTCGACTGCCCTTTTGATCGGCGAGAAGGCAGCCATGCTCGTTGCGGAAGACTTGGGCTACTCAGGCGACGCTCTCAACATGAAGGTCCCGAACTACCACGCTCCGGGAGAGTTTACACTCAATTCCCGCCTGTAAATTTTCATAGGATCCGATCTTTGTTTCGTCTTCTCCAGCTGCTGTCTTTACCTTAGCTTGTATCGTGGCAACTGATGATTGATAATCCATGAACATTCAGATAAGCAACATGACATGTCTGCTGCGTTATTTGGATCATTCTTGACGCTTGTGGGTTGTGGTCAAACAGCTCGGTGTGCGAAGAGCAGCGAGGTTCCGATATGACTCCTAGCCGAAACAGGATCCGATGGTCCGGCTAGTGGTGCTTAAACTTTCCGCTTTGGGCCATTCACAACTCCAGATTGAGGGGTCGGGTCAACCCCCCACGAGCCTACGATGGCCCGGATAAAATCGGCCCCTGACCCAGCCATCTGTCCAACTACTCAAATGATATACTATGTGAGACTTGTATCCGACCATTTTATTGCTCCCCTCTGGTCAAGACAACCATTTGTATCGCAGCAAAGCAATTTGATCAAACACAAGATACACAAACGAAAAGAACCATCTCAAGACACCGACCATCACCATGGCTGCATTTGACCGCTCAATCTCTTTCACAACCAAGCCTCGCGTCTTCATCTTGACCGACATCACCAATGAACCAGATGATGCTGAGTCGTTCTGTAGGTACCTGACCTACGCCAACCAGTTCCGAACAGAAGGTGTCGTTGCCTGTACATCAACATGGCTCCGGGATAGTGTGGCTCCGGAAAACCTCCATCAAATCATCGACGGGTACGCCCAAGTAGTTGACAACCTGAACGCTCACGTTCACCCGAGCCATCCTTATCCCTCAGCCGACTACTTCCGCAACATAGTCAAATCTGGCCCTCCAGTCTATGGCATGGCTGCTGTAGGTGACGATGTTCCCCTTAGCGAAGGTGGAAAGTTGCTTCTTGAAAGCATTACCTCGTCATCAGAAAGCCCCCTCTGGATCCTCGTCTGGGGCGGCACGAATGTGCTCGCCCAAGTCCTTCATCACATCCGCGACCGCCCTGATGCCGCTTCGCTGCGCTCAAAACTTCGCGTCTACAGCATTTCCGACCAGGACGACTCGGGCGCGTGGGTTCGCCAACAGTGGCCCGAAATCCTCTACATATGCTCCGTCCACGGCTGGAACCAGTATGCAAATGCCACATGGACCGGCATATCCGCCCCTTGCGACCAGACTGGCCCCGACACATCGCGCATCACTGCGGAGTGGTTGAAGAAGAACATTCAGATCGGACCCTTGGGCGCATGCTACCCCAACTTTGAATTCATCATTGAGGGCGATACCCCAACCTTCCTCTATCTCATTCAAAATGGCCTCGGGGTCCCGGAGGAGCCCTCCTTCGGTTCTTGGGGCGGTCGATATCTACCCACTAATGTTTCCGAGCACGGCATTTCAAAGGGCCACCACGCTGACGTCTCCGACATGGTCATCGGTCAGGATGGCAATGTGTACGTCAGCAATAAGGCCACCATTTGGCGCTGGCGGGCAGCCTTTCAGGACGATTTTGCGGCGCGTATGCAATGGTCATTGTCGCCCGATTTCACAAAAGCGAATCATCATCCTATCATCTCCATCGACAGCGATATCGGTCTGGAGCCACTCTGCCGAGACGTCGCGGCCGGGAGCACCGTTACTCTCGATGCATCATCGTCTTATGATCCTGACGGCGACACACTCACGTTCAAGTGGTTTCAGTACCGCGAGCCAAGTGCCAAGCAGACATATCACACAGCCGAGGTGTCAGAGCTTGAGATTAAGTCGGTGAACGAGCAAGGCAGCAAGGTTGAGGTGACGATAGCGCCGAGGGAGAAGTCGTGCGTGCTGTTCAGGGAGAAGAAGCAGATTGAGAGAGGGCTGCTGCTGCATCTGATTCTCGAGGTGACAGACAGTGGAACACCGGCATTAACGAGCTATCGCAGGGTGATTCTTCAGCCATTTGATAAGGATTGGAAGAGCACCTAGTATTAGAGTCTAAATTGACCAAAATCTCAACTTCGTCATTGATGAGTGACTCCCTGGATGATAGTTGCGCCCGCCAATGCAGCTTAAGCCTGAGAGTGTTGAGTCTCACTATGGAGGTACGATCGTGTATTCCAAGACTACACATCATCATAACATCCAATACATGCAATGACTTCAAGATGGATCTAAATATGTATACATTATTCAGTCTCAAAATCGAAGCTTTTAGTGTTAGAGGAGATCGAGTGGTGTGGAAGAAAGGGTGTAGTATTGAGAAGCTATTCTATAGGGCAGGAGGGTGCCTAGGACGAGGCTAGAGGAGGCACGGGTTCAGGCCACCTGGCACCGCGTGATAGCCACTGACCAAGTCAATGCCACCATCAATATGTAACACCCAGCCGACAGCCGAGCCTAGAGCCCCCCCTTTGCCAGCCCTTGAGCTGCTACCTCGTTTTGAAGTTGTACGTTCGTCTTGTACGACTTGAACTTTCGCGCAGGCACACCCGCCGCAAACATTTCGTCAAGTTCCTGGTACGACCGCCCTGCTGTCTCCGGCTGGCACCACCACAGGTAGGCTAGCGAGAAGAGAGTCAGGCCACCAAAGATGAATGCAATCTTGGCACCCAGGTTTCCTTGGTCGGGGTTGAACATGAAGGGGATCAAAAATTGCCAGGCCACAGTGATGGAGTTCTGCACGGCGTATCCTATGGCGATAGTCTTGACACGGAGTCTGGACGTCGATACCTCACACAGCAACGAGAAGGCCGTCGAACCAATCGACACATTGTACCACCAACTGTAGATGAGGATGAAGGCGACGGTGCCTGTCACCGTTGCTTGCGAGGATCCTAGACCCAGACCACCCGTGATGAGCAGGAAAATAGTCAGCACAACAAGGCCCCAGAAAGTGAGGTCACGTCGGCCGATCCTGTCGACCATAGCGGCGGCCATCAGGTTGCCGACAATGGACAGAACCGGCTGTGCGATCTGGATACGGTAGCTCATCTCCGTGGAGTAACCGGCAAGCTGCAGGTAGTAGGTGAAGTAACCAGCCACGAAGGCGATGCCTGAAAATGCCTGGATACAGAGGGGCATAATGCTAATCATGGTGCGGCGAAGATTCGACTTGCGAAGGCATTCAATGTAGGTCACGCCGTGAGTTTCGGCGCGAACATGTTCGAGCGTCTGGTCAATGAGTGCAAGCCTCTTCTGGCCTTCTTCTCCTGAATATCCGAGCTGGCGCATACTCTTGAGGGCCTTTTCGGCGCGACCTTTAGACATAAGCCACCAAGGTGATCTGCCGGTTAGCTGGGGATTTAGCGCCTGGAACGTGGTAGCTTACTCGGGCATGAAGGGAACCAAGGCAAATGCGACTCCAGCAAAACCCCACTGGGCACAGAAGACGGCTCGGTAGGCCCAACGTGTCTCGACGTTGCCCGTATAGTTGATAACGATGAAGGCAACAAGGGGCCCTATCCCGTAGGCTACTCCGATACCGCAGGTGAAAACACCGCGCAAGGCCAAAGGGGTAATCTGCATTAAGGTTAGAGTCATCACTTCCAACTCTGTCGGGGAACTTTTAGATATACCTCTCCGATGTAGCTGACCATGACGGTAGCCACAGCGCCGACCATGAAGCCATTCAGCAGCTTTCCGGCGAAAAAGACGGCATTTGTAGTTGCAACAAACTCAATGGCAACGGCAGCAAAGGAGATGAGCAAGGCACCAGCAAGAACCTTCTTGCGTCCAATCCAATCGGCGATCTCAGCTGAAACGAGTGATGAGATCACAGCTCTAGCATTTCATTAGCTACAATCATCAAGCATAGTTGAGAATTTGACTGACGAAGCGACTGGGGCGCCACTAAAGGCTGACTGCCATCCAGCGGGAATCACGAAATCGCCGTTGTACTCGAAGCCGAAATCTTTGCGGAACTGCGGAATTCCGACAACTGCGCCAGCGGCCTGCAAATCGAAACTGATGAGAATAATGCACCAAATTGCATAGATACACCAGGTGCAGGCCCAGGGGTTGTTCACGAAGGACTTCCAGATGCCTTCGTCGTGCTCTTCCTGGCCAGAGAGATGGGCTAGCTGCGCATCCTGCGTATCTTCATGCTGGTAGGACTCGGCCTTCTCGTCGGCGATTGTCCTATTGGTTTGATCCATGGTGATTGGGGGTAGAAATTGTCTTGCGTGGTCGCAGAGTTGGGGGTGGTTGCGATACCTGGTCGCTGGTCGATAACTTTATAAAGTCGAATATCTCTATTACCACGTGAAATGAAATTGCCGATGACCTAAATGACAAGCCCGCGATCTGTTCGTTCCGGGGTGATGGGCGGTTCGATTGTCCAGAAACGGAATCGCGAACCGCTGACAACACCCCTTTCCCCGCGTCTGGGGTAAGCGCCGATCCTGGGGCCTCGTGGTCTAAGACAAACTTGGCTCGCTAGAGGCGCTTAGGATCGCCCAACAGAGCTAGCACCAACCCCAGATGCCTAGAGTTGCCTCATCCCTTTAAGAGTGAGAACGACCTGAGGTACAATGGCACGCACTAGGCGCTCCAGATATTATGGCATAATTCAGCTTCCGGACCAGTCATATAATATCGCTTGATCGCACTCTATCAGATAATAATATTTCAAGTAGGCGGTCGAGCCGCTCTCCTGGGCTCTAAAGTACCTGGGACCGTTCTCGCTGCTAAAGGGATGGAGGGCTAGGATATTGAGTGGATTCTCTGGCAGGAAGTGTGTGTCGGAGCTTCATTGCTTATGATATCTAAGCGTTAGGGAGGCAGTATCCCAGATCAATTTGACACGACAGCAGATGCGACAGCAGATGTAACAGCAAGCGCAGAGATTCGAAGGGATTCATGACCTGCCTGCACAGTGACCAGTCTAGCACCACCATCAAGGGACGTTCGTTTAGGTGAAGATCACCACAGCAGGGAACAGTACATGGCCTGGATGGGACCGGAACTGCTCTGGAGAGCACCCTGTACCTCTCTTGGGCGCCAAGAAACGAATCTTTGTCTGTGCTAGGCCGTCGTCCGTCTCAATATTTCGTCAAAGAATACATCGACGCAAAACGGGCAAATGAGACAGAGATATATGGCCCCTGCCCCCATCATCAACACCTTGGTCCTCAGGCGTCACTACTATCGCCAATGTCTCCTCAAATCCTCGCATGTCTCGTACGTCAAGTTTTACCGAATTAGCGGAGCTTGCGTCATAAGATGTGGACTAAGCTGGATCATGCAGAATCGGAGCGCTTTTCCCGAGGGTATCGCGCAGTGCTGGGGGCCTTACCAGCCACAATGGAAGAATGCAATATCGCGTGCGAGTCCAGCGCCCACTTAGACGATATGATCAGCTTTTCGACTTCGCTAAGGTCCTAGAGGCATCGCCATTTCACAGGACATCTAAGCACAGGTGCAGAAATGGGCCCACCGATCATCAATCTTGCCACTCGACTTCGCTTGTTCTATGCAACACACTCTATGTCAGCTAAAAGAAAAAATGGCTAGTGCTTTTGTAGTCGGGTTGCCAAATTTCCCCCGTCTCGAAAACTAGGTTCTGACGTCGGCTCTACTACAGCGTCACCTTCATTGCCGCGCACCTGAGTTTGTCAATCTTATGGTCATGGCAGACCGCATCGCATTTCAGTGCATGCCGAAGCTGAAGAGTCTCATTTTGTGGGACAGCGAGAATGCGGAGGGATTTTGTTGCGCTTCACGGTATCAGCAGAGTGACGGCCAACTGTCTTCTGGCGCAGTACTCAGCAAGCTCAAGGCGATTTGTCTCTTGCCATGAGAACTTTGCGACGTACACTCGAGGAGTCATTACGGCACTGTTCCGAAGTTCATGGTTTACAGATCGTGCATGGATCTACTTCAATTCATCGCATCGATCATGACTTCACCTCACGCCTGAACCAGGATGCGGCAGAGTTCCCCGAAATGAACCGCATCTTGCACCCCGAGTCGATGAACCAAGAGGTCATTTGAGGAAGTAGGTTAGTACTGCTAAGCATAGTCATGGCCACATAGATGTCCCAAAGTTCAAATATTTTCTCGCTTTGTACCACGTGAATGAAAACATCGCGACCATGGCTTTTGCCTACTCTGTAAAATGATCTCTTGACTTGATCTTAGAACTAGTCTACACTACACTGTGTATTGTTTCAAGCTTAGAAGGAAATGATCTTGTAGTCGCCCTGGAAGCTTCCATCGAACTTGACGCTGACATCTACATTGATCCAGACCTCATTGCCATTCTTCAAATACAGCTTGATGCTGCCCTCAGCAAGGAAAAGATCAATGTTGAGGCCAACACCATCCTTGAGATTGCCGTAGATGTTTCCTACATTGATGCCAAGAATGCTGACACTGATTCCAATCTCGAACGTATCTGTATCAATGTATCCACTGATCTTAGAAGTTGGTTAGCAAAGTCTTTAGCAACCTCTAGCCCCCGGTCAAAGGTCATTTCCAGCATACTTTTATGGGACCCATGCCCCAATCAATTTCATGGCGGCTCTTTGGGTTGCCTGGTGGCAGGCCACGATGCACATCAACCTGTGTAGCAACCCACTGCGTGTTCCCTTCCTCCGGCGCTGTGAGGTTAATGACGGCACCTTTTCGGAGATGTTAGCGGCCCAGTTCACATCGAGGCTTGCACCCATGGCACGGCTTACCAATGTTCTGCTCGGCAGAAGAAGGCATTTTGAGCAATATTGAGGGAATAGTGCAATAAGGTCTGATGCGGGCGTCTGACGCAGGTGTGGACACCGATGAGTGGCTTGTTGGATAGGAGCGTTCATACTTCGAGCTGGGGATATCAACAACCCTTTTATACTTCAAGTTCGTAGTTGAGCCTTTTTCCTGTATCGTTACTGCATCGTCGACGGTCCCACGCGGCCTCGAAAAAAAGTCACATCGATATGTTCTACGAGTCGTTTGAAACATAGAAGCAGCAGTGCACCATGGTTCTCCTTTGAGCTCGAATCAAAGAACAAACTGCCGTTTCCATCCGCGATCGTGTTCCGATCCATACTTGCTGCTAGTGGTTGGGCTCGTTCCACGCCACCACTTGTGACTCCTGACATACGACAGCATTCCCTTATTCTTTTAACACATGAGTACAGCCCATTGGGGCTACAAAGGGTTTTTGCATGTAGAAATAGCAAGACGCGTTCTCACAGAGTCTCGGCAGCGGGTGTACACGCGAACCTGCATCCCAAGTGGCATTGTGTTTTCCTAAGTCGTAGGACCTCAGTGGAACACTAGCAACGGCCACGAAGATTGAGCGAAATCAGGATGATGCATGCTCGGCCTCTCAAAAGTGTGTCTCACACTCATCACATCTTGTCCGTGGCATTACGTGACGGTTCCTGTCCATGAGATTACTTCGATATTTCGTGTCCAAGTGGTGCTTACAGCCTGATGTCCTTCGAGATGATAGCGTACACTTTGCAATCCGACCTGCGCCTGCTGATGCATTGTTGTTTATCCAACAAGCAGTCTGAGTAGATGCTACCCGGGGCGCGACCTGGCCGAGTAGACTGGCCTCGGCGTGGACGGCCAATAAAGGCGTATCACACAGGGCTTCACCACCTGGCCACACATCCAGGCCAAAAGCGGAAAGACGACAATGATGGACGAAGACATCCACGCTAACTCAACGTATGCCTCGATAACGCCGTCGACTGTTAGTTGTTGACATTCTTCTAAACACTGTACACTACGGAGTTAAGCAGCACATATGCGCAAAACAGGTGGCATTCTGTGGCGATCGGCATCGGGTCACATCCGTCTCTTCCGTCCCGATCGGCAATCGGCGAAATCTTCTGTCTTGTCCAAATCGCTCTCACAGCCAAGACCCTAACGTTCCATGGTGCAGCAAACCATGAGCCCGCACGTCTGAAAAGAGTTTCCGAAGCCCGTTTGTTCTTGACACTGAGTTCCCGCGACATGGTCTCGCCCGGGGTGGCGCCGCCGGACGGTGATGTTACCACCACGCAGAGTCAGACGGTCGGCCAATCCGTTCAGCGTGCGAGGGCCTGCGACTCGTGCCGTGGGCTGAAGGTGCGCTGCATCAGCAACGACTCACACGGGCCGTGCCTCCGATGTCGCAAGGCAACAAGAGTATGCGTCACAACCGTCCCCCCGGCTGGCTCGAGGAAGATGAGGAAGAAGACGGTGAGCAGGGTCACGGAGCTTGAGAAGAAGATTGATCTCTTGACGGCCAGTCTACGCGCGGGGGGCGCCGAAGCCGCCGTAGATTCGCTCGACAACAGCTCGGCAGGAGGTGGCGGCGAAAGCAACACACCTCCTACTGGTGGCGCTGCAGGAATGCCCGCCGGGGACATCGTTGATCGCGGCATCATCAGTTCTCAAAAGGCTGACGCTCTCTTGTCACGGTACAACACCCAGCTCGTCCCGCACATGCCGGCCGTCATCTTTCCCTTAGATCTTACTGCGACAGAGCTTCGCGAGACGAGGCCCACGCTCTTTCTCGCCGTGGCAACAGCCGCGTCGACCGATACACCGGAGCTGCAGCGGTTGCTCTCGCGCGAACTCACCAGAGTGTTCGCCGAGAAGATCATGATCCGCGCAGAGAAGAACCTCGAGCTCGTCCAAGCTTTGCAAATTACAGTCACATGGTATTGGTTGCCGGATGAATACGACCAAGTACACATCTACCATTTGACGACAACCTGCATCTCCATGGCCATTGACATTGGATTGGGCGGCTGTACACCCTTGAAGCCGACAGTGCCATACGGGGCATATGCATTCAGCCGCGCAACACAGATCAGCGCGATAGACCCGACGGCGCTTGATGCCCGCAGAACCTGGCTGATGTGTTATTTTATGGCATCCAACACTGCCTATGCCATGAAGCGGCCGCTTCTCTTGCGTTGGACAAGAGCAATGACCGAGAGCCTTGAGGTACTTCGTACATCGCCCGAAAGGTACGAGACGGATGAATATCTCTGTGCGGTCGTATGGGCGAGCCGTCTTGCCGAAGATATTGACCAGTACTGCGGCTTGCCGGATGACCCTGATGAGATCTTCAAGGCACCGCAGACCCTGTATTACCTCAGGAAACTCGAGCAAGATCTGTGCACCTTCAGGGACTCATTACCAAAGGGCATGGCACAGGGTAGGTCTCCCCCCCCCCCGCTTTATGCCCTTCTTACAGACAGGCTTGCATCATCTGACGAGCCTTTAGGAAGTCTCCGAATGGTCTTCAGTGCCATTCCGCTTACTGTTTACAATAACGTGCTTCGGATTCAGCCTCCTGAGGAAAGGCAACACAAGACAAACGTCGCCGCCATACCATCAAGAGCGCCCCGTAGCGTCATCATGGCTGATTCCGCCTTCATGACCATGGCTAACACCGACGCCATTTCAAGTTGTCTTTCGCATGTCGACATGGTTTTGGGCGCATTTCTGTCCCTGAGCCCCGAGGTCGTCCGAAGCCTCCCAACCTTCGGCATCATGCGCGCCGTCAGGGCAGCGAGCATGCTTGTCAGATTACATCTCACTCTTGTTGATGATCCGCAGCTCCTGAGCCCGTTCAGGAGGGAAGACCTCCGAGCCGGGCCCTGCATCGACGAGCTGCAGCACCATTTCCGCGCCGCCGCGGAGGGGAACCGATGCAGGACCGCCGCCAAATTCATTGTCGTGCTCGCCATGCTGAAGGACTGCATGGGGAGCAATCGCGGCGGTCATGGGCCCCCGGCGCGGTCAGACCAAGCACAAGAGCAGCAGTCTCTCGAGACGCCGCTACATCTTCTCTCGCACGCTGCTGCCGCCGCGACGGCATCCGGATCAGCGCAACAAGGGCCTGGGATCGGCGGCAACGCTGAACGGCTCACGTTTCCTGGTCCGAACGGCCAGCCTTCTTCGGTTGCGCCCTCTGTCTGGCAAGATTTCTCCGGCGGCGCGCAGGCCCTGTCCCTCCTGCCTGGTCCGCTGGCTTTTGATACAGACCAGTTCATGGCGCTCTACGATCAGGACCTCGCCTTCTCGCTCGGTCTGGACTACATGTACAGCGGCGACAGTATGCCCCTGTACGCCGGAGAGGCGAGTACCGGGTTTGATGGGACCTCGGCACAGACTCACAATATGAATAGCTAAACAGCCGCACGGGCTGTCTCCAAACATGACGCAGGGGTAACAACTATAAGTGCTGAAGAGGGGCTCATGGACATTCATCTTTGTGTAGCGAGGACAGGTATTTCTGATCAAGTCAAGTCCCCGTTTACGACTGGACATACGGTTCGGCAACTTTAAGGACGGCTTGTTTGTACAGCAACACACTTTTTTTTAAGGCCATCGTTGGCTCTGGTGGTCATGACCTCGTTCATGTCAGGCCTTGGGCCGATGCTGATGCGCGTTAGGGTAGTTCATCGACATGTCAATCGGCAGCCTCCTATGAGTGTGGGAAAAACTAGAGCAGGGCACTCATGAAGAGGCCAAGGGAGTATAGGCTCCGCCGGCGATCATAGACCTTGTTAGCAGTAGAAAGTGGGAGGTGTCTTTTTCAAGTCATCAATGTGAGGCGGCATGTCTTGAGCACACGATTGACGCAGCGGAAGGGCTCCGTATTCAGCGAAAGTGTCGAACATAGCCTGAAGCGATGATCTTAAAAACAATTATGACGCGTGGGTCTGGCCGTGTCGGCATCGGTTGCTTCTTTATGGTCCAATATGGCGTCCTATTCTTGGACGCATGGGACTGGTTGTCTTCTGTACTATCGTAGACGATGTGAGTGCTTTAACCCTGGTGGGAGTCAACACGGTCTTCAACCAGTTCTATCGAGCACGACAGAGTATTCCTGGTTCCCTCATACGGTATTTCTCGAAGTCAAGGATGGCCTCCAACAGTGCTACGCAAGAGATATTTGTCATGTCACTTCAAAGATGAAGACGTTTGCTGTTGCAAACTAGAGTGAGCCGAGGCTGACTTCCCAGCACCATTGCCCGGGACGCGGTCAAGACCTTGCGATACACTTCCGAGTTCGCGGCAGGTATCATGTCGAGGTCATTCTCGACCTGCCGTGCCCGTGTCTAGTGAAGGCATACCAAAATCCGTTTCGTGCTTCAACACCAAGAGTCATGGCTGCACCCCCTGATGCTGTCCGACGTCTTACACAAAACAAGGCAGGGCTGATAGCACCAGGCAACCTAGCGTCACAAAACGAATCTTTTCCCAAAAGACTCACGTCACACAGCCTGTCTTATGCTCATGGTCCATCAACTGGAACATAAAGCTCAGCAACCGAAGTGTATGTGCCATTCTCAAACCCTACAGGCCTGCAGATATCTACGACAAGTTCATGCATGGATTTCCTTTTCTGCAAACATCGTTTTCCACCGACCGCTACCTTTTCGCAAAATCGTTCCTCGACCCCTTATCCCGAAAAGAAAACGTCCCTCACAGCGCAGCAGCAACACCGAGAACGCCAACCAAGGCCCCAACAGCATACACGTTGGCCCCGGCGCGGCCAGCCAGGCTATCCCCGTCCTCACCGCCCGTCTCCTGCGCGCCGTCCTCGCCCGTCTCGGTCCCCGTCGTCTCGGTCGTGCTCGTCTGCGTCTGCGTCTGCGTCTCCGTCTCCGTCACGGTCCCGCTCGTCTGCTGCGTCGCCAGCGCGGGAAAGACAGTGTAGCCAACCGACTCAGTCGTCGTCGTGCCGTCCCCCGTGAAGACGTGCCTCGCCTCGGTCGAGCAGAGGACGCTGCCGGCGGGCCCGTCGATGAGGTCCGTGCAGTCGGCCGCGAGGGCGTCGAGCTCGCTGCGGCGGTCGGAGACGAAGGAGGCGACGGCGGACTCGTAGCCTAGGACGTCGGAGGAGAGGCTTGCGGGCCAGGTCAGGGCGCAGGGGTCCTGTGAGGGGCTGGTCGTCGCGGCCCCGGCCGTGAGGGCGAAGGAGGCGGCCCCGGCCGGGAGGGTGGGGAGGGCGGCGAGCAGGGACAGGGCTGAGGCGGCGCAGGCGGCGGAGCCGTCGGCTGCTTCGCCCGAGGACGTGGTTGTTGCTGGTATGGACTGGGTGACTGTGCTGGTCTCGTCCTGGGAGAGGGCGCGCGACACCAGGGCGGCGAGGAAGAAGGACGTGGCTGGCTTCATGGTGGTGGACGTGATGGTGGCAGGTGAGTTGCAAGACGTGGGGAGACACCAGCTGTCGGAGATGGAAGATCAAAGACGAGAAGAAACGGAGGACAGCACACAGCGACATGGCTCGACGACCGACAACTCGGTTGATATACCTCTTCCTCCCCTCTCCAAGCCCCGGCACACCTCAGCCCAGCCCAGCCAGCCCGACCATGGGAGAGAACCCACGCCGCCCAGGGCCGGGCATGCAGCACAGCACTCGTGTCAAGCAGGCAACAACACACCGTCCGCACCCGTCAACCGTCAGGCGGACCCGTCCCAAGAGCGAAGGATGGCGGCTGGGGGGCTCAGCCAGCCGGGATCATCACGCATGCGACGTCGTCGGTTGGACACGAGCCGTCGCGCCGTTCCCTTCTTCCCCACACATAATATGCCCAAATGCTCCGAGTTGGAGACTGCCAAGGCCTTCTTCTGGCACCGCCGAGACCTTGGTGTCGGGAGGTATGACGTCGCGGCGAGCCGGCCGTCTTGGCTGGCTGTGCTTTGGTCATCTCTCTACATGCGCGGCGCGGGCGCGTTCGCGCGCCAGTGCAAGGTCAACTCTTGGGTGTATGCGGCCAATAGCTTTATCGATACAGCCATTACTCTGTCCTCTTTTTTTTTTGGCCAACCTATACGTGCTCTTGGAGATGATCGGTCGGTGCTCAGGTGGTACCTGTGAGACCAGCACATGCCTCACCCAGAACGACATTGCGCCCCCTCCAGTACTCCGGACATGTCATCGATGCCAGTGGTCGCAAGCCGCAGAGGCGCAACAGATCGCGGCATTGGCGTCCTTCTACTCTGTCGGAGCCGTGAAGTCTGAACTCGTCGCCGTAATACCATGCTTCGACCTCGCCTGACCACAGCAAGGCGCGTTAGCAAGCCTCCCCAACGTCACACGAGAGGCCGTGGAAGGAGGCTCGGTGTGCCGTCAGCGTCATAAGGTTGCGCAATAGGCAGAGATCTTGTGACAGTTGTCAAGCAAGGACCCGAGGATCCCTCTCTCGCCAGTCGACGACCTGTCGGTTTGCGCGAGCGGCTCACAGGCGTAGCCGGGAAGACTCGGCCCTTTCTCCCCAGTTCTGACGTCCAGTGACGCGCCTGACAATGGCACCTTCAGACATGAAGAAATCGTGGGGCAATGTCGTCTTACTTGATGCCGACTGGCTTGTCGTTCAAGATGCATCTATGCAAGCTCAACCTGAATGACGCAGAGTCAACTCGTTAACACGACGCGACGGCCCATAATGCAGAAGCAAGTGCGAAAACTTCCATAGCTACAAGAAGCTGCAATTTTCAAATCAAACACATCATCACGTCACATCACTCTTCCACCAACAGAGTCAAGCAGGAAAAAGGCACCTTGCATTCACTCCACCGCCTACCATGCATCCAAACGCCTCCCTAGGCCGGGAAACAAAAAGTCTCGAGAAGGATGGAAACAAGAAAGAATCGAAACCAAACAGGCATGAGTATGAAGAACCCAAACACACCTTTCAGCAAAAGAAAAAGGAGGGCACGATAGTCCATGTCGTTCCTCGGGAACCGAAAAAAAGAACTCCTCTTTCCGAAAATAAGATGAAAAAAAGCTGGGCCGGCGCAGGTACCACGCCCTGCGACCCGCATCCTGTCCAGAAAACATGAGGGAAAAGGACAGAGCACAACTCTGCTCTGCGACCGCTGCAACACCCAAAAGTGCGACATCGAAAGCCAAGGTAAAAGAGCGAAACCAGTAACCAGAAACAGATCAGTTGGGGGGCCGGGGCATAAGAGCGTATCCATGCATGGGGCTTGGGGTTCATATCAGCGCCCATGGCGGGTGTGTTGGTGTGTGTGTAAGTTTGCGTGTATGGGTATGCGTGATGCAAGAAAACCAGAGTGACGTGCAAATACGTCAAAGAAGCAGCAGGCCCTTGCGCCTGTTCATACGCCGGTCATGAAAACAAAGGGAATCAATCATTCGGAGGGCTTACGACCGACCCGTCAGACGGTGCCGCGCATGCGCTGCTTGCGCGCGAGCCAGTCGCCCAGCATGTTGTCGAGTTGCTTCATGATTGTCAGCTGCGATCCTCAAAGTGAAGGCATAGGTCAAGAACTCACCGTCGTAATCTCCGCCAACTTGGCATTCTGTTCCCGGAACAAGGGTCCGACGACGGGGTGCTCCGGTCCCGCCGGAACGACATCGCTCTTGTCGTATACAACGACGAGCATATCCCGGATGTCCGAGCTCGAGTCGAAGAACGCCCGCAGCTTGGCATCGTTCCACGAGTTGCTGGTCTGGCTGCCGCCAGCCGAGCTCGAGCTGGTGGTCATGGAGTCCTGGGCCGCGTGGCGCCGCGTCGTTTCGTCGGCTTCGATGAGCTCGGGTGACGGCGAGTCGGACGAATGGCCGCTGGACGTGTCGACCATGAGCGCAGGCGGGTTGCTGGCGCCCACGGGCGAAACCTCGACGGGCGACTCGGAGAGGCGGTCGCTGGGCTTTGCGGCTGTCGACACATCGCCCGGCGTGATCGTCTTGTCCGACTGGGCGCTCGAGGTTGTCTGTGTGCTGAGGTAGCTGTCGGGGAACGCCCCCGGCAGGGTTGGTCGCAGTTGCTTATCCTCCGTCTTCGCCTCCTGCGCTTGTTGCTGCTGTAGCTGATGCTGCTGCGACGCCTCGACGGGTGACGAGACGGACTCCTCGTCGGGTGAGTCAAAGTCATCAAGCTCCACCCGAGCTTTCGCCTTGGTCACCTTCTGCGGCTTCTCGACCTTGTTGCCCTTGTCGTTGCTTCCTGACCGTGACAGCTTGATCTTTGCGAGGCCCGACCTCTCCTCCTTCTGCTGCGATGCCGAGCGGGCGAGTTCGGGCGAGCGGTCCCGGCTGGCGCTGGACATGCTGGAAGCGAGCGACGTCTCGGCAGCATCCTGCTCCTGAACGATGCGCATCGACGCAGACGCCGGTGGCACATTGGATACGTCATTTGTCCTGCCCTCGGACGCAATGTACTCGGCGAGTTCGCGGGTCGAGCTCTTCTGGGGCGCCGATCCGGGTTTGCGTGTCGGCGACGGCTCGCCGCGGGGCTGTGGCTTCTGCAGCTTGCTCGGGTGCCTCTGGGGACCGCCCCTCTGCGGCGAGTCTTGGACGCTTTCGTCGTCGTGGTCCTCGTTGACCGTGTCCATCGACCGCTTGCCGAGCGAGTCGTCATCGTCGTCGTTGCTCGCCTTCTTCTTGTCCTTCCGCGAGAAGAAGCTGCGAATCGCGCTGGGCTTCTTCTCCTTCTTCTTCTTGTCGTCCTTCTTGTCCGGTTGCAGCTCCCTTTCCAGCTTTTCCATTTTGTCGAGACTGGCCCGCTGCTTGAGCTCCTTGGAATCATTGGAGGATCTCGGCGCCGTGTCGTCGCGCAGCAAATTCGGCGTCAGGGTGATCTTCTTCGTCTCGACTGTCTCGTCCTTAAAGAAAGAGTCGGTGTTGCGGACCGTGCCGTTCCTCGACCTGCTGGGACCCTCGGGCTTGGCCTCGAAGAACTGTTCGCTGCTGCGCCGCGTCTCGTCCTCATCGATCACCTCCTTGATGACTGGTTCGGCAAGTTTGACCTCCTTCGGTGCCCTGGGCTTGAGAGGCTCCACCTTCGCCGTCTCGTCAATGGACTCATCAGAGGCAGCCTTCTGCGCCTGCTCTGTGGCCTTGGCCTTTTGTTCTTGGCGCGCGCCATCCTGCTGCGTGTTGAGGAGCTCCTCGGCATCCTCCTCATCGGATGAGAAATCGGCAAAGTCAGAGTAGTCGACGTAGGTCGGCTCGGCAAAGACAACCGTCTTCTTCTTCTTGCCACGGAGCGCACTGCGGAAAGTGCTCTTAGACTCCTTACCCGCTTGGTCGCCCAGCATCGTGGCTGATAGCTTTGGGGACATGTCAGCCGCGTTCTGGTCAAGGGGGGGTGGGGGGGTCGGCCGACATACGTCAATGTTCCGATGCTTATTCAAGCGCGCTAGCCTTTCGGTGGGCGTCTCGATGTGCTCGGCCGGTAGGTATCCTGCGATGATCAGTCAGTTGGTGGTTCCCCGTGCTCGTGGTGGTGAGCAGCGCGCATACCGATGCTGTTGTCCTTAGCTACGCGTACCAGCCACCAGTAGCTGTTGCTGTCGTCGAGCAGCACCATGGTGTCGCCCTTGGTGGCATTGGCTTGACCTTCCACTGTGGCGACAAAAGTGTGAAGCGCATAGACAAAGTCAAAATCAATGTCCTCTGTATCGTGTAAGCTTTCAGGGTTCCAGCCAGCATCAATGTAACGTGGGTCTGAGGGGAAAGGGAAGTCGTCGTCATCATCATCTTCGGTCGCTTCGTAGGGTATCATGGCAGGCGCATCGTCCGACGTTTCGCACGTAGCTCGATTGAAAGCGGAAACATTGTTGCTCTCTTTGCAGGCAGCACATCGAACTGATTTTACCGCCTTCCTGATGTCCAGCGGTCGAACAAGCAACGGAGGGCTGTGGGCGCCCATGGCGTCGAGGGCAAGCATGTCACCATGCGCCTCTGGATGATGCGCGTCGTCGAGTTCGTCAAAGAAGATCTCATGCTCAAAGTCGTACGCATGGTCGTCGTATTCGTCGTGACTATATGGCCCCAGTTCGGCGCAGTCATATTGTGCGTCGGTCGGCTTCAGGTCCGGCGACTTCTAGTCGCAACACTTACCGCGAAGATGACGATGATGATGCGAGACAGGGGCAGTGGGAAAGGGCTCGGTAGGAGAGGGGCCGGTGAATGTCTTGCTCTGGTTCCGGGACACGTGTATGGGCATGTAGGTCGCGATCTCGAGGTACGGCGAGGAAGACCTCGGTTCGTCAAGGGTAGCGGGGGAGCAGGGGACACCGGGCTCTTGGTCCGGCGGCAGGGAATCCACGCGCCGGGGCCAGAGAGGCGGCAGAGAGGTACACCTACCATCTTCGATCGAGGGGGAGCTCGAAATCTTATCCATCATGTCGTCGTCCATGCTCTCGTCTGTGTCGCCGTCGGCATCGCTCTCGTCGGTGGAAAGACCGCCATTTTGCGCGACGGCGAGGCTGTCCTGGGAGGCGGACGGGTGCTGTTGCGCCTGCATGGTCTTGGCGGCGCTCGTTTCGGCGAGCTTGTTGGTGACGCTGGCCACCAGGTCGTCGGCGTCGTAGCTCTGGTGATCGGGGTTGCCGTTGGTCCAGGAGATTCTGGGACTGCGACTGTTCTCGGCGGCCGTTTCTTGGGCGACTTCGCGCAACGTTTCGGCCTGGTGGGCGCCGAGGGAGGCGGAGGAGGATTCGCTGGCTTCGGTGCGCGTGTGGTCTTTGGCGGAGGGCGCATCGGCGTCTTGGAGGTCGATCGAGTCTGTCGTGGGTGCGTCAGCGAAGCGAAGCGAAGGGGGAAAAGAGAACCAGAGATGGTGATCGCCAACGTTGCGAGAATGGACGTGACTAAGATTGGCGGCGGGCTTCAGACACGGGAAACAGGGGGGAAGTGCAAAAAGAGGAATGGGGGTGGCAGCGCACAGCAGGCATGGGATGGATGGATGCAACGCGGCGCAGACAGAGGCGCACACAAGCACACGCGCGACGCATAAAAAAGGTGTGAAGGCGCAAACGCGACAGAACGTACCAGCACGAATAATCTCGGGTCTCGTCATGGTGGGCTAGCTCGTGATGGAACAGCGAGGTTCGCAGGTTGCGTTGGCGAGTCGTTGGGTTTCCGCCGTTGTGAACAGTATCGTCGAATCAGAGTGACCCCGGAAGCCAGCCGCGTTGGGTCGAGAGCGTCGTCATGAAGCGGCCAGAGAGCCGGAAAAAGAAGCAGATGTGACTATCCCGAATGTTTTGTGGCAATCGAGTCCGGCAAGTCAAGACGAGGCGAGGCGAGGTGAAGCGAAGCGAAGCAGCAGCAGCAGCAGCAGCAGCAGCGACTGTACGGTAGCAACAAATTCCTGTGGAACAAAGGCTGGGCCGGGGAAGGGCGGGTGGTGTGCCAAGGTGTCGGTCGAGGTGGATGTGGGCGAGGCTGGTCCGGTTCGTTTCGTGAAGCTGGGGAGATTGCGTTGGTCGGATCGTCAGTGTTGTCGCATGGGGCGGGGGGCGTTTAGGAGGAGGCGATGGGGACGGGCAAGGAAGGATGGTCTCGTGGCTGGTGCGGTGCCAATTGGGTAGGGTTGTCGACGGTGGTATGAGTCGGGCGTGTCGTCGGGTTGTCGGTGGTTGTGTTCTTTGAATGATCCAGCCCAGGCCCTTGGTTGTAAGGTGCTGTTCCCAACTTCTCTCGATCTGGGTCTCGGGGGGGGGCGCTTGACGGGAGAGGGGGCTGGTCGTCGGTTTGGGTTTGGGTTTGGGTATGGGTCTTGGGCTGGGTAGGGGAGGGGGGGGGCTTGTGGTGATGCTGAATCGAGGCAGGAGGTGGAGGCAGCCAGAAAAAAAAGGAGGAACCAGGATGAGAGTCGTTGGTCTGTGCCTGGGTGTGTGCCTGGGTGTGCCTGTGCTTATGCCTGTGCTTGTGCCTGAGCCAAGGAATGGGGACAGTGAAGGAATGACAGCCAACCTCTTTCTGGGAGGACGAGTATCGGAGAATTGAGCGTCGATCAGCGCACTTGTTCTTCTTTTGTTCTGTCCGAACTTGGATCGCCGAGATGGGAATGTCAGATGGACGATGGAGAAGCGTGGCCAAGAACAGGATTCGGGTGACGATGGACGATGATGGGTGATGGTGGTGAAGGACCCGAGGATTGAGTTCGCCCTACGTCTTTGGCCCCCTAGAGGTACGTGGCAATTCCGATGGCGCCTTGCTTTTCTGCTTTCTGCGGCAGCCAGGCGCTGTAGGCATCCGGGTCGCTGTATTCTGGTGTACATGTACATGTAGCCTACAGCCGGGGGCTTGGGCACCTGGCAAGTCTGGCAAGGTGCCTCCGCCAAGCAAGGGCAGGCAGGGTCGGGGCGATGTTGAAACATGAGGCAGAGCAGCGGCAGGGGCTGGGCTGGGCTGGGACGCTAGGCACCTGGAGCCTGCCTCCCTAGGTAGGTACCTTAGGTACACGTACCTACTCAGTAAGCCAGGCACCTACTGTCTCGACCGTGCAGAGGATACTGTACCTACCTAGGTAGATACCTGGCAACGGCAGCAAGAGACAGACAAACACCAGTCGAGCCAGATCTGCACAGCTGCCGCCCGGTGTACGCCGACCAGCTCCCCGTGGCCGCCGTGCATGCAAGTACCTCACAGCACACGGTACCATGCGCCCAAGGATGGATTTGAATTCAAGCAGACATCATCGCGATCGCCCCTTTCACCGCACAAATCCCTGACATGCTTCTCCACAGCACATGCCAGAGAGGCTGACGACCAGCTGCTGACCAGCATCCAGCATCCAGCGACACAGCAGAGCACAGCAGAGCACAGCAGAGCACAGAATTCGGTGACCAACCCATCTGCATGTCTCTGTCGACGGCTTCTGAAGGTGCGCCCTCACCGCTCCAACAACTTTTTTTTAAAAAAAAAAAAAAAAAAAATCAAGGATGCCTTTTGCTTCTTCTCCTCCATCGCCTCTCTCCACTGAAACCAAGATCCCTGAAGCAGAGACACCCGAACCGAAGCAGCGAGGAGAGGACCCAGGAGAAAGCCCTTGCGTCAACTGCGTCTTGACGTCTTGACACGATGTGAAGATCCCCCGTGCCGTGTTTTGTCTATCGTACCCCATTCTATGCTGCCGTCTCGTCTCGTCATGCCGACAACCCGGGACAGCGCCACCCACCCATGTATTCATTCTCCACGCCTGCCTCCAATCGTGGGGGCTCGTCTATTGTCATCGCGCTCTGTCTACCCTTTCTAAGCGTTAGTGGCTCGCCGCCCACGCCCTGAACCAGTCGAGAGCCTCGGGGTTGGCAACGCTGGCGTTGGTCTGGACAGCCATGCCCGAGAGGATCTGTTTGACTGCCACTTCGATTCTGTGATTGTCAGCATTTGTCTTCGCGAAATCAAAGAGAGAAGATAGGAAACAAAAAAGGGAGAGGAGAGGCAAGCAAGGGGGGCAACGCAGCAGGCACTCACTTCTTCCCGTTGCCCGTCTTGGGAACCCCGCCACCGCACTCCTCCACCACGCCCGGCACATGGCGAGGGCTCAGCTCCGTCCGCACTGTCCTCTGGATGCGGGCCCTGACGTCCTCGTCAAACACCTTGCCCTCCTCCATGACGACAAAGAGACACACCGTCTCGTCCGTGTCCGTCTCGCGCCGGCGGCCGACGCAGACGGCATCGGCGACCTCGCCGGCGAAGAAGCGCGTGAGGACGTTGTAAATCTCGGCGCTGCCGAATCGCACGCCCGCCGGCTTGAGCACGCCGTCCGACCGCCCCAGCATGACGAGGCTGCCGGTCGACGGGTCGGGCACGCGGACGAAATCGCCGTGGTGCCACACGGGGCCCGCAGCGCCGCAGACGTCGGCGAAGCGCTCGAAGTACGCGGCGCGGTACTTGGCGTCGCCGCCGGCGCCGAAAAAGGTCAGCGGCTGCGAGGGGAACGGTCGCACGCAGGCGAGGTCGCCCGGGTTGGCGGCCGGCAGGGGATCGCCGGTGACGGAGTCGAGGGCGCGGATGGCCATGCCGAGACCGGCGCACTGGATCTCGCCCGTGCGCACGGGCAGGAGCGGGGACGGGGCGCCGAAGAGGGAGATGATGTCTGTGCCGCCCGTGATGGAGGCGAGGTTGACGTGAGGCGGGAAGGCTTCGTAGACAAAGTTGAAGGTGCTCGGCGGCAGCGGGCTCGCCGTCGAGTAGATGGCCTCGAGGTGCGAGAGATCGAGAGATGGTTCGTCGCGGACAGGGCGCACCTGGTTGGCCTCGAGCGCTGTGAGGTAGGCGGCCGACGTGCCAAAGTGCGTGACCTTGAGTGCGGAGAGGAGCCGCGGCAGCGAGAGGTAACCGTGTGGCTTGAAGGGGGACCCCGAGTACAGGACGAGGCTGGCGCCGACGGCGAGGGCCGAGATGGACCAGTGCCACATCATCCACGACGTCGTCGTGTAGTAGAGCATGCGCGACGCCGATGTCATGGAGCAGTGCAGGTGGTGCTCCTTCTTGTGCTGGATCAGCGTGCCGAGGGCTGTGTGCACGATAGCCTTGGGCAGGCCGGTCGTGCCGCTGGAGTAGAGGATGTAGAGCGGGTGCGCCGGGGGCAGCTGCTCAAAGATGAGGGCCTTGTCGTCGGACGACGACTGAAGGAAGCGCTCGTACTCGACGACCGTCTTGACATCCTTGGCCTTGAGGTCATCCAAGGCCAAATCACAGCGCACATTGTCAATGACGACGACGAGCTCGAGGCCTTTGTCCTTGAGGGCACCGACGATTTCCGTCGTCTTGCTCGTGCTGCTCCACTCCTTGCCGTTGTAGACGGTGCCGTTGTCGGCAAAGAGGACCTTGGGCGTGATCTGCGCGAGACGGTCGAGCACGGCACTTACACCGTTGTCGGGGCTGATGCCCGTCCAGATGGCACCGACAGAAGCAGCGCTGAGCGAGGCCACGAGCGCTTGAACGTGATTCGAGACATAGCCGGCGACAACGTCGTCCTTGGTCACGCCGTGGGCACGCAGGGCGTTGCTGCAGCGGCGGACAGCATCACGAAGCTCGGCCCACGTCGTCGACACGGGGTTGCCGAGCTCAGTCGTCGTGATGATGGCGACGGCATCAGGGGAGACGTCAACGTTCGCCGGGAAGAGGAGGTTCTCCGCAAAGTTGAGACGCGCACCAGCAAAGAAATCCGGGCGCGGGTACATGGGAGCAGCTTTGGGAAGGACCTGCAGGCGTGTCAGTCAGGGGTACTGTGTGAGGCACACAAGCTATCCTGGGCATAGGGTAGTGGAAGGAGGCCAGCGAGACTACCAACCTCATCGAACGACTTGGAGGCCTTGACACCAGAAAAGTGCCAGACCTCCTCCCACAAGGCAGCCACATTGTCAATGGACCACTGGTAGACGGCAGGATAGTCATTGAGTTGCAGGCCGTACTTTTCGTTGACGCCGCGGGTGAAGGCCCAGAGTGGTGTTGAGGTGGGGTCTGGATGTCTCCAGAGTTCACGCGTGGGTGCCGAGGAGGCCTCGGCTGAAAAATGGCCGTTGACGGCCATGATGGTGACGAGGAAGCGTGCTGTGTTTGCAGGTGATGCACTCGAGCTTGGCGGCCAGTGGCTCTTTCGAAGACGTCGTCGTGATGGGAAATTCTCGGCCTCGAAGGATGGCCCTGCTTGGAGTTCACTGCATCCCCAAAAACCCGAAAAGGGGGGTGAGCAAGAGCGGGATAGGCAGGTCCCTTGGGTTTCCGTTCAGTTGGGCCGTCGCATTCCGCATTCCGAGCCGAGGGGCCAGGGCCATAGCCAAGGCCAGAACCAGAAGATGGGTGATTTGTGTTGGTGATTGTTGGGAGCGAGGTTTCCCCGCCCCCACCACCGACCCGAAGTCCGGGCGACGTGTGGCTTATTTTGTGGCTCATGCAGTGGCTTGCGCCGTATCATGGCAAACCGTGCCTGGGAGGTCATATCGGCCTGGCAGTTCATATCGGCCTGGCACTGGCAGATCATGTCAGCAAATATGCCGCAAGAAAGGCAACCCAACCAAGTTGGAGGCCACCCGGGTTGCGGGCACCACTACTAAGCGTAATGAAGGGGGTGTCTCAGCCCGCTTCCATTCCTGATCCTGCTGCCTCACTCAGCCTCCCCTCCATGCCTCGTACCTCATGCCCCCATGTCCTGCTTTGCCCTGCCATGCCTGCCATGCTTGCCATGCCTGCCATGCCCATGTTGTGCCAGACACGAATGCCTCAAGTGGCGCCCTGTATGGGTGTCTGGCCCAAAGAGGGACGAACAGATGAACAAGAACCTTGATTTGGGAGCAGCAGCAGCAGCAGCATAAGCAGCAGCAATGACCCCGTGATGCTCTCTCGCTACGGCTCGAACGCATATGCCGCACAGTAGTGCTGCAGGGCTTCACGCGCGCAAACGGCAGATTGATGATGCGTTGGCACACACGCCGGTTCTTTTCTTTCGCAGTAGCACCCAGGACGATGATGGCATGATGCCGAGAGTTCGCTCACCATCTGACTGCATGGGGAAGTATGTGGGCTAAATAATAAGCGGACAACGGGAGCTTCCATGGTACATGGTACAGCGCCCGGCCATCCCGGACGCTCTATTCGTACCTACCTGCCAGGTGCTTTAGGTAGCTAGACTGGTGCCGCCAGAAAATGCCCGTCACCTCTTTATTTGCGAACATCCGGCACCAGAGGTAGAGAGAGTATCGTCGGCGCCGAGATGTCCGTTTTGCCGGCCAACGTGTCGCTCCTTGTGGTCATCAGGTTGCGTTCGGCATTGCAGCTCCCTACAGTGCCTACTGCGCGCGGCCTGTCAGGACTGTCGACTCGGTTCGGAGGCGGAGTGCTCAGATCATGGCCCCATCCCGCGACTGCCGTTCACCCCCAACCTACTACCTCCAACATCGCTCATCGCCTCTGTGCATCGCGACCGCCAAGCCGTATCACGCGTGACGGGGTTTGGGACAGGCTGCAGAGACCGAGATTGGGGCGTCGGACGCGCGCGTTGAGTGGTCGGACCGCCGCTGACGGTTCGGATTGCTCGGGATGGGAATGCACTGGATATGCGGCCCCTGTGCATGGGGATGGCCCATGGGACTCTCTTTCAAGGCCCTGTCTTCTCTCCAAGGCCTGTTCTCCAGAGCCCCAAGAGACAATCAGAAACTCGCCGGGGTACTTCAGCAGCCTTTCCCCCCCCCCCGTCCGTCCCCGTCCCCGTCTCCCGTCTCCCGAGCATCCAAGGGGAAAGAAAAAGGCCTGTGCTCGTGAGAGGCCCTGTCGATTTGGCCCATCCCGTAATCACTCATCATCCATCGAGCTCGTCGCAATTCCTCGATCCGCCTTCTCGACCCTCTCTCTCTCTCTCTCTCTCTCACCCTCGCCCTCGCCCTCTTCTCTCCGTCGTCTCCTCCGGCCTCACTGCTCACCATTTCTTCCGACCCCAGTCTCTCCTTCTTCCAGAAATAAATTTCGAGCACGTCAATCCTCTCCTCGAGATCGGTGACGTCGGATCTCCCCCAACGACAACTCCCCCCCCTCATCCGCCGAAGTACCAACTACAACGTACTTGCAGGACTGCACTGCACCTACCTAGTAGCCCAGCTGTCTGCAGGTGGCGAATCTAATCAAACACGGTTCGCATCGAAAAGTCGAAATTTTTGGCAGCTACTTTCCGCCGGCTCTGCGCCCAGTGGCTCCCTCTCGAACCCGAACCCCACCTGCCAATCTGCCCCTGGCTTTTGGCTTTCGGCTGTGACGCCCCAACTGCGTGCCTTCCTGCCCACTCCCCCCCCTTGCCCCCCTCCCCCAAACAGCCCACGGCAAGCACCAGCCTTCTGCACCTGCAACCTGCACCTCCCACCCTCCCGCGGCACAGAGAGAGGCTCAGGCACAGGATCCGGCACAGCCTTCCCACACACACACACACAAGTCGATCACGACAACGACAACGACAACGAGGCGACGCGCAATCCTGCTTGCTACTCGCTTGCCTGGCTGCTCGACCTGACAGTACCGTGTCGTCTCTGCACCTCGACTTGACTTCGTGTGTTCGACGCGCCCTACAATCGATTCTAGCTTTCATTAGCCAAAGACGATAAACTGCATTGCTCAGAGGTCAGTCCTGCCCCCCTTTCTTCTCCCCTCTCACCGGGCGGTGAGATCTCTCGAGCTGTGGCAAACAACCTCTCCCCCCCCCCTGAGATTCAATTCAATCGACTACTGCCTGTCATTGGGACCCGAATCTCCTGGTGGCTCGTCAGTATCTCCCTCATCGAGGTGTCGGCCATTTTCCTTCTTGGTTCCTCAATGCCCCCTTGCATCTCCTTCCCTCGTGGCCACGCCGCCACGCGTCTATTGCTCGTCAAGCACCACAACACTGCAATGATCAGCCTGCTAACAAGCTGCAGTTCACCTTGATAGACGTTCGTTCCCGCGAGCTTATCTACCGCGCGTAATTCCTACCTTGCCGGCCGAAAAGAACAAACCACAGCATGCCCCGAGGAATCAAGCTCCCCTTCACGTCCTCCTCCTCCCCCGCCATGCCTCATACCCAATCCGACAAGGAGAGGCGCCCTTCAAGATCCGGCAACAGGATAGCCAACTTTTTCTCGTCCCCCAAGAACAAGGAACAGTCTGCCCAGCAGGCCCTCCTCGCCATGCAGCAGGGCAACATCACCCCCTCGGCCATGGCTCTGCCGACCATCTCCCTATCGACCGCCTCTGCCGGTGAACCCGACAGCAATCTTGACTCGACCACCCTTTTCTCGCCCCCCTCCGCCGCCGAGTCCGAGAACAAGCGCAGGGCCGACTCGCAGTTCGCGCCCCTGTCCGACCCCAGCCATCTCTACGTGAGCATGCACCACGGCGAGCCCCTCGAGGCGCCCATTGTCGACGACCCTGCCTACTACTTCCTCATCACCACCTACATCAGCTACCTCTTCCTCATCCTCCTCGGCCATATCCGCGACTTCTTCGGCAAGCGCTTCGGCAACAAGAAGCACTATCAGTCCCTGAAGCCCCACAACGGCTACGCCTCCCTGAACGACGACTTTGACAACTTTTACACCCGTCGTCTGAAGCTGCGTCTCGATGACTGCTTCGCCCGCATCACCACCGGCGTTCCCGGCCGCTTCATCTCTCTCCTCGACCGCACCTCGCCTGACTTCAACCGTACCTACCACTACACCGGCACCACCACTGAGACGCTCAACATGAGCTCGTACAACTACCTCGGTTTCGCCCAGTCCGACGGTCCCTGTGCCGACGCCGTCGAGGAGACGGTCAAGCGCTACGGTGTCAGCTTCTGCAGCACGCGTGCTGACGCCGGTACCTCTGACCTGTCCCTGGAGGTCGAACGCGAGATTGCTGCCTTTGTCGGCAAGCCTGATGCTATGGTCTTCTCCATGGGTTTCGTCACCAACGCCAGTTCTTTCCCCGCTCTCGTCTCCAAGGGTTGTCTCATTCTGTCCGATGAGCTCAACCACGCCTCTATCCGCGTCGGTGCGCGTCTGTCCGGCGCTGTCATTGCCGCCTTCAAGCACAACGACATGCACGATCTCGAGAAGAAGCTCCGTGAGGCCATCTCGCAGGGCCAGCCCCGTACCCACCGCCCGTGGAAGAAGATTCTCGTCGTCGTCGAGGGCCTCTACTCCATGGAGGGCACCATGTGCGATCTCCCCGGTATCCTCGAGCTCAAGGACAAGTACAAGTTCTACCTCTTTATCGACGAGGCCCACAGTGTTGGTGCCCTCGGTCCTCGCGGCCGTGGTGTGTGCGACTACTTTGGCGTCGACCCTGCCCGCGTTGACATCCTTATGGGAACCCTGACCAAGTCGTTCGGTGCCAACGGTGGCTACGTCGCCGCGAACAAGAACATCATTGACAAGCTGAGGAGTACCAATGCCGCGACGATGCTCGGTGAAGCCCCGACACCCTCTGTCCTCATGCAAATTCTTTCTTCTCTCAGGATGATCACTGGGGAGCTCTGCCTCGGCCAGGGCGACGAGCGTCTCCAGCGTATCGCTTTCAACTCCCGCTATCTCCGCCTCGGATTGAAGCGTCTCGGCTTCATCGTGTACGGCCACGACGACTCCCCCATCATCCCCATCGCCCTGTACCACCCCGGCAAGATGTCGGCCTTCAGCCACGAGATGCTCAAGCGCAAGATCGCCGTCGTCGTCGTCGGCTACCCCGCCACGCCCCTCATCAGCTCCCGCGCCCGTTTCTGCGTTTCATCCGCCCACAACAAGGACGACATGGACCGCCTGCTGCAAGCTTGCGACGAGGTCGGCGACATTCTGCAGCTCAAGTTCGCCACGGGCATCGCCGGCGGCGCTGAGCCCTTACCTGAGGGCGTAACCCCCGAGGGCGAGAAGGAGTGGCGCCGCGCCAACGGCATCGAGGCCGTCGTCAAACCGCCACGCTGGAATATGAAGGATATTCTCGCGCACGGCGTGCAAGATTCCAAGATGCGCTTGCGCTAGGCTCGCCAGCCCAGACGCAGGCGCGACCTGGTGCGCGGGCGTGTGCGTGTGCGTGTGCGTGTACAATCTGACGACGACGATGGCGGAAGGCGGTGGCGGATTTTGCACGAGATTGTCTGGGCGGTGCTACGGCGTTAAAAGACCATGTTGCTGAAGTTGTGTGAAAAACAAACCCCCGTTTGCAAAGCAAAGATGAGAAGGCACAACGAATGAGAGAAGGGGAGAAGAAACACGCATTTTGAAACTCGGAGTCATGGGAACCAAATGTAATCGGGGAAGGGGGGACTTGCTCCGGCTTACTGGGAGGTACTTGGGTTGGGACGAATCTTCCTCCCCTTCCGTCATGGAGTATCACTGTCGTTTTGATATTGGTCTTTTTTTCTGTCTTCTTTTTTTCCCCTCCTCATTGAAGGATCCCGAATCCTCCTCCTCCCTTGCTCACCCGCTTTGACGGCTGGGTATTCGGTTTCAACTGCCTGGTAGGCTTGTGGGGCCACATGAGCTGGCTTATATAGAATAGCATGAATGTACATACTGAGTGCGCCTCATGTACCCCTTTGTGATGTTCAGGTGATGTCTGAATCAACAAGCTTGGCTTTTCGCAATCCGGTCAGGCAGTGTGCATCCGTCGTTTCCTCGCAGCACAGAATTCATTGCATAGACATTCAAATTTGGTATGTACTCCGATCCAGCCAATCCAACAGATACACCTAGGCTCCGACCCAAATCATCAAGCATCAAAAACATTCATTCTCTTTTTCTCCCTTTTTCTACAGCTTGGTAAAGGGCGTGCCGACCTCGCCGCTCATGTCCACAAGCGTGCTCTTGTTGCGCACCCAGGCCTCGAGACCCTTCTTTCCGTTCTCGACGCCGAGACCGCTCTGCTTCCAGCCGCCTACGGACATTTCGGCGGGCGACTCGCCCCATGTGTTGATCCAGGTGATGCCGGCCTCGAGGCGCGCGACAACATCGTGGCAGAGGTTGATATCCTTGCCGACCACGCCAGCGGCCAAGCCGAGCTCGGTCGTGTTGGCGCGGGTGACAGCCTCGTCGACGGTCGAGTAGTACAGGATGGTCATGACAGGTCCGAAAATCTCCTCGCGCGTAATGAGCATGTCGTCGGTGCAGTCGGTGAAGACAGTGGGGCGGACCCAATAGCCGTTCTTGAGGCCCGCGGGAAGCTCGCTGCTGGGAATGGGGTCGGCGCCACCGGCGAGCAGTGTGGCCTTGTCGTCGTTGATGCCAGCGCGAATGTATGAAAGGACCTTCTCCCGGTGAGGGCCGCTGCTGAGGGGACCAAAGTTCGTGGCAGGGTCGAAGAGATCACCAGCGCGAACATGGGGCATCTTCTCCTTGAGCGAGGCCTCAAATGCGGGCTTCATGGCCTTGGGCACGAAGACACGCGTGCCGTTGGTGCAGACCTGGCCAGAGGAGAAAAAGTTGGCGAGCATGGCGACGTCGGCAGCCTTGGCCGGGTCGGCGTCGGGAAGCACGACAAGAGGTGACTTGCCGCCGAGCTCCATCGTGGCGTACTTCATGCTGCCGGCCGCGGCACCGGCGACCTTCTTGCCGGTGGATACCTGGCCGGTGAAGCTGACCTTTGCAATGGCGGGGTGGGCCGTCAGGGCAGCACCGACCTCGCCGGCACCGTAGACAACGTTGAAGACACCGGGCGGCACGCCCGCCTCAGCGAAGAGAGCGGCGAGAGGCTCGGCGTGCAGAGGCGTAAACTCGGACGGCTTGTAGACGAGACAGTTGCCAGCAGCGAGAGCAGGGGCCGACTTCCATAGAGCAATCTGGATGGGATAGTTCCAAGCTCCAATGGCAGCGCACACGCCGAGGGGCTCCTTGGCCGTGTACACGAGGGCCGAGGGCCTCAAACGGAAGGCCTCGCCTGCAAGACCACCAGCGGCAGCGAGATTGGCATAGAACTCGAGGACGTCGGCGCCTGTGACAACGTCGACAGCCTGCGTCTCGGAGAAGGGCTTGCCCGTGTCGAGCGTCTCGGTGCGGGCGAGTTCATCGTTTCTCGTGCGAAGCAGTGAGACGGCACGTTGCAAGATACGCGAGCGCTCAAGAGGTGGCGTCGCCGCCCATGAGGGGAAAGCGGCTTGTGCGGAACGAATAGCGGCGTCGATGGAGGTCTTGGAGGAGGTGTGCACGTTGCAGACGGGACGAGCGGTGGAGGGATCGATGGAGGGAATGGAGGCGGGGGAATCACTGGCGGGCTGGGGGCGGCCGTTGTAGATGGTATGGCGGTCGGCCTGCTTGGTGATTGTGACCATGGTGGGCGGGCGGTACAGGAAGTCGATGTCTGGCGTGTGGGCTGATGTGTGGAGAGGTGAAGAGGGAAGAATCGCAGGTGAGACGGACAGACAAGGCAATGTATGGCAAGGTAAAGCCGAGGGAGTCGGGTGAAGCTGTCAAGGCGGTGGAGCTGCCGGCCGATCTTGAGATGATGGTTGGGGCCAAGTCGTGGTGTGGTGTTGACGAGAGAGAGAGCTCTTCCTCCGATATCAGATGCCCGAGATGGCTTCGAGTAAGCAGGGGTGCATGTGTCAAACTGGGTCTTGGGGTTCCAGGGTCAGACAGGGTGGACGAAGACAAAGATTGCGTGTGACGCACGACGGTACGGAGGAGCCGAGTTTGTCTTTGGAGATGCAGAAGTGATTGTCAGATGGTGAGCCGAGTTGAGTACTCGATTGCAGCTAGTCGATATCGAAGACGACAAGCACCTGGCGGGCCCCGCTCGGCCATGAGTCGTGCCTGCCGACGCTGCCTTGCTCTGGTGTCTTATTGTTGGCTGCAGCTTCCTGCTCTGGGCTGTGTGGGCTGCACTTGCCCGCCCACGTAAAGGATACGTACCGTTGTTCTTGCTGCTCTTACCTCAAGCTAATGGCGCCACCCTACACGCTACAGACCGCACATACCTCGCTCGTGGAGCTCTCGAGCCTTGGGAGTCTCCCCAGTGGAAAGGCTGGAAACGGGTGCTTGGCAGCAAGCGTTGCAGCCCGTCAGACAAGCAACCAATGGCTGGCAATGGTCAGCACAGCGATGGTTCCAGGTGGAGAGAGAACGAAACTTGGTGTCAGTGCAAGTGCCCAGTCTCTTTGCAGATTTTTTTCCTTCTGCCTGTCATTCGGCAGCCCACATAGCGGAGCAACCACTACGTCACGACATGCAGGGACATTTTTGGTAGCCTCGTAAGATTGTGGGGACCTCCTGCTGTGTGGTGCTCCGCTCCTGCTGCATCGATCTGCTACCTCTGCTCCACTGTCACTTCCTCAATCCCAGTGGCTCCTTAGTACCAAGACCAAGGCACCACCAAGCTCGGGCTTGCCGGCACAGGCTTTCTACAGGCCAAACCCGAAGTCCCGTCCCCTTGATTGACCATGGAAGCCTTCTTGTCGACGGAAACGCCCAGAGAACTGTTCACCATGGTGGCCGTCGATCGCGACCCTTTTCCCGGTGAGGGATGAAATCAGGGTCGTCGACTGACAGCAACAAGAAGAAAAAGAGTCGCCGTCATATCCAGGGTTCCCCGAAATGCCCGGCCCTCTCCCACCCCCGCTCTTTACCCTCAACTCCATGGTCCAAACCACCAAGCATCGAGCAAAACATCATCATCCTTGATTTTCCACAGCGCCGGCCTCTAATCGAGTGCCCGCCCGCGAGTCAAGATCACGAGACTGCGCCGTTTTCGCCGCCCTGTTACGCCCCCGGCCATCTCTCTTTTCACCCGATTGCCCGCGTTGGCGCCATGGCTTTTGTGGGCCATGAGACGGCGAACATGGACCATCATGTCACCCCGCCTTGTTGCTGCTTCGGCATGCCGGTGCTGGTAGCTGGCGGTACTGGCTTCATGCATCGGACGGACAGACACCAGCACCCAGCTAGCTGGCCCCTGGTCTGATCGATCAGTCAATCGGTCTGTCAGCTCGCCTTTGGTGTCGACCACTCATGGACACCGTATTAGATAAAAAGCTGAACATTCCGCCATCATCTCTTTCTTCTCTCCCCCCCCCCCTTCTTCTTGCCCATTGCTCTCACTTCTCCAACTTCTTCTCCTAGCGTCGTCGTCTACCATCTGAGATACCCCCCCCCTCCCCTCTCCATTGACGACTTGACGATCGCCATTGACCACCCTCGCCCCGGCCACCAGCATCTGATCACTGGTCCACGCCAGACACCATCACCATGGCTACCACCGATAACCTTCCCGCAGCCGACGTCAACAAGTACGACTATGTCATTGTTGGCGGTGGTACGGCCGGCTGTGTCATTGCTGCTCGCCTCGCCGAGTATCTCCCTCGCAAGAACATCCTCCTGATCGAGGCCGGTCCCAGCGATTTCACTGACGATCGCGTTCTCGATCTGCGCAAGTGGTTGGGTCTGCTTGGCGGCGAGCTTGATTACGACTACCCCACTACCGAGCAGCCCATGGGTATGTGCTATCCCTTATCTTTCACCCTCACTGCCGCAAGCTAACAGCGGCCCCTCTCTCTCTCACACGCACAGGCAACTCACACATCCGTCACTCCCGCGCTAAGGTGCTCGGTGGCTGCTCTTCTCACAACACCCTAATCTCATTCCGCCCGTTTGAGCATGATCTCGACATCTGGCAGTCGCTCGGTGCCAAGGGTTGGACCTTCCCGGTCTTCATGCGCGTCCTCGACCGCCTCCGCAACACCGTCCAGCCCGTTCACGCCCGCCATCGCAACCAGCTGTGCAAGGATTGGGTCCTCGCCTGCTCCTCTGCTCTCAACGTCCCCGTCATTCCCGACTTCAACCGTCACATCAAGGACACCGGTTCGCTGACCGAGGGTGTTGGTTTCTTCTCCGTCTCCTACAACCCCGACAATGGCCAGCGCTCCTCGGCCTCGGTGGCGTACATTCACCCCATCCTCCGCGGCGAGGAGAAGCGTCCCAACCTGACTGTCCTGACGAACGCTTGGGTCTCGCGCATCAACGTCAAGGATGACGCCGTGACTGGTATCAACCTGACTCTCAAGGACGGTACCAGCCACACCGTCAACGCCAAGGCCGAGACCATCCTCTGCGCCGGTGCCGTTGACACACCGCGTCTTATGCTGCACTCTGGTCTCGGTCCTGCTCAGCAACTCCGCGATCTCGGTATTGAGGTGGTGCGTGACATCCCCGGCGTTGGCGAGAACCTTCAGGATCACCCTGAGAGCATCATTCTCTGGGAGCTCAACAAGAAGGTGCCTGAAAACCAGACTACCATGGACTCCGACGCCGGCATCTTCCTGCGCCGTGAGGCTCCCAACGCTGGTGCCACTCAGAGCGCCGCCAACCCCCAAGGTCTCGCCGAAGGCCAGATTGCCGACGTCATGATGCACTGCTACCAGATCCCCTTCACTCTGAACACCGGCCGTCTCGGTTACCCCGAGATGAAGGACGGTTACACGTTCTGCATGACCCCTAACATTCCTCGTCCCCGCTCGCGTGGTCGCATCTACCTGACCTCCGCCGACCCCAAGGTCAAGCCCGCGCTTGACTTCCGCTACTTCACCGACCCCGAGGGCTACGATGCCGCCACTCTCGTCTACGGCATGCGCGCTGCCCGCAAGGTTGCCGAGCAGGCTCCCTTCAAGGACTGGATCGCCAAGGAGGTTGCTCCCGGCCCTGATATTCAGACCGACGAGGCCCTGTCCGAGTACGCCCGCCGCGCCGCCCACACCGTCTACCACCCGTGCGGCACCACCAAGATGGGTGACGTTCACAAGGACGGCATGGCTGTCGTTGACGAGCATCTCAAGCTCCGTGGTCTGCGCGGCGTGCGTATCGCCGACGCTGGTGTCTTCCCCACCATTCCCTCCATCAACCCCATGTTGACGGTGCTTGGTGTCGGTGAGCGCTGCGCCGAGCTGATCCTCGAGGAGGCTGAGGCTCTGAACGCTGAGAAGGCTCAGGCCAGGCTGTAAGTGACGTTGGTCAATGTCTGCGTTATTTTTGTACAAACAGAACAAATTGGACAATCGGGTGTAAGGAGGAAAACAGACATGGCCGGGCTGTATTGCCGGGTTATCTGTCTCGCGGTGAGGGTCAGGCCTGCCGCGCCCTTGACTACTTAGGGGGTTGGCGGCCCGCTTTGTGGGGTTTGCCGCCGCACACGGGAGCCGCATGGGGCGGTCGGTGCGACGCGAGCGCGAATTGATCGAGGCTCGCTGCCTGTGAGGGCAAAGATTATACCATGTTGTAAATATCAGGGAAAGCAAAGCGTATATTTTTTTTTTTGATATGAATCACGTCACATCAGTCCTGGGGCTGCACAGCCGAGTGAGGACAAGCAGTGTGACAATCAGGCCAGCAGCCGGAGCGAAAGCAAGGCGGCACAACGGACATTATCGTTCCGGGTATGCAGAATACATCGGGAAGGCGCACACGAGTCTGTCCACGGTTATTTCTTCCTTTTATGCAAGGCATGGGCCCTCGTCCCTTGTCGTGCTGACGTTGCATATCATCGTCGACAGATCTTCAAACTCCCAAACCGCAGGTGCCGGAGTTTTATGGCGGAGCCGGGGTAGAGATGCATACTGGTGTATGATACGGCAGGGTCGATTTCACGTCGTCGGACCCCCGAAAGGAACATTCTTCTGTCGTCTCAACGAGGCGTTCTGGAAAAAATTTGGCTGGTCCCCGTGGCGGAAGGGAGTAGAGGGTCTAATCCAGGTCTGACGACGAAATCCCTGCCCATTGTGAGAGGGTGAGCTCACAGCTCAAGATGGCATGCAGTTGTGTCAGACTGCCAGTACGGCGATTCGCGTCGAAGGGGGAAAAAAACGCTCTCTGCCGAAAAAAGCCGCTGCTGCGGCATGAGTGGGGTGCGGGGCGCTGCGCTGCGGGTCCCCGGTGTTTGGCTTCCGGGCGAGTCGGGTTCGGAGGAATGTTTTTGTTCTTTGCTTCTTCATTTGCCTTGGTTCGAGACCCGGGTGTTTGGGATTGAGGCACACATGCGCTACAATATGTGCGGCACGCGGTACGGGATATCTTCACTGGAGGGGGAGGGGGGCCTGTTCGCACACTCTGCGTTGGGGAGGCGGCAAAGAGGCTATGCAATACAGAGTAGGATGCAGTGATTTCTAGCCTTTGCGCAAACGGAGGCGATGGGGGAAAGCACGAGGTCACATGGAGGGTGGGCGTGGCACAGCGTTTAGGAAGTGGAATTTTTGAGATGAACCTTTTTCGAGACAGGAGCAGGGCGGGTTTGGCGTGGCGTTTCGGCGTGCGAATGGGTTGGCTTAAAGGTGGACAGGAACAAGATGAAGAAAGAACAAGAAGCAGAGACACGCTCTCTTGCGACGGGAGGGGGAAGAGGGAGGGGGGAGGCCGCAAGCCTGTGGGTGTGGTTGTTTCGGATCATCTGAACGGCGCAGGAGGGATCATGGTGCGGCAGAGCAGACCTTGGAGGAATTTTGGGGTGGCTAGATGGAGGGAGGGGGATGGAGACCAAGTCGTCACTCTCCTGTCTGTTCCTCTCCCCTCGCCCTCGGCTCTCGTGAACTTGAGATCCCAGGGCAGAGTGGTCTGGTGGGCGGGTATCAGCTGCATTCCAGCGGGATACTGAAACCCCTTACAAAGCTGCGGGCTCTCTCGTTGTGCCTCTCTCGTGCCTGGTCTCTCGGTCTGTCCCGACGGCCACAGAGGCTACGATGATGCTGCCATGTTTCATGAGGTTGGGTCCGGCGGTAAACGACTCCGGAGAATGAAAGCCGCTCAATTCATGTGTGACGACGGCGGGATGTGTAGTCTGGGCAAGCTCGAAAGATTTGTTTTCTTCCTTCTTCCTTGTTTTCATATCATCGTGGATCAGTTGGTGAACGCTCTCGGCACTTGATGTCGATCGAGGCAAGTGCATGAATGCATGACGACTGGATGAGCGTGGACTAGGATAACATTCAAGGAGGGGAATGTTCCGTTTGGTGGAGGAGCTGCCAATGAGGTGGTCATCGTCAGGATCATAGCTTGGTTTTCGAGGTATGTTCCCTGAAGATGTGGTTGATGAGTGCTTGGAGAGACCTTGTCGGCTTGGGGTGGGGGATGAGAGGGGGAAAGGTCTGGCCCGTCGATCATGCCGTCGGGAGCTTGGAAGGAGGCTCTCTCTCTCTCTCGTTCTCTCTCCCTCTTGTTAGGGGTGTGGATTGGTGATGCGAAGTAGACCTGGGATGCCAAGCGTATCGAGGTGAACTCAGGGGTCAGCATGAGACTGGTGTGGTTGCCAACACCGAGGCAGGTACCTCCTGACGTAGGTAGGTGTACCTCCTAACGTACCCAGGTTCTACTTGGAAGATACCCGTGACAGTCCCTGTAAACGAACGCAGGCCTGTCAAGCCTGAAAGTACCCAGGTTGTGCACCTGCCAGACAGGTCTCTCGAGGGCCACGAGGGGAGACCAATCAATCTCTTCAAGATTAATTGAGGAACCGATAGCCAGGAGAAGGGAAAGAGGCGAGTCCATCGAGGCTTGGCATGTCAGGGGGGCAGGGGAGCCTGTCGCTGCAACGCTAGAAGGCTTCTGGCCGCTGTAGCGCGGGCTGTCTGCTGGAGAAGGGCAAAGTCCGCTGTGTGCTTAGGGGGGTCCAGTGGTGTCGATCTCGCCCCTGTGATCGAGCAGCCAGCAGTCTCCTAGGGGCCCCTAGGTCCCTTGAGTCCCTGGGCAGGTCAAAATGGCATGCAGAGCTGGCCCGTGCCCTCGCCTGTCGGACGCACGGGGCACGGCGCCTCATTCCGTCTGAGATCCACTCGCCTCCCACCGCGCCATACTCACCTGTCACTGGCTCTTTGGTGCATCCCATGCTCCTGCCACTGCGGTCGCCGGCCCTGCCTGCTTCGTTCTCAGGCTCAGGCTCCGGCTCAGGCTCAGGCAGGCACGCTCACCTCAGGCAGGCAGAGGCAGGTTCACCTCAGGCTGGGGCTTCGCCTCCACTCCACTCCACGGATGGACCAGTGGTCCACACGTCCAAGACTCCACGTCCCTCCATCGAGCCTGATCCCGAGAAACACCTCGCAAGGACCAGACTGCTGCACACCTCTTGACCACAACTCGACCGACATCTCACACCCCTCTCCACAGACAACTCGGTTCAATTGAGCTCGCTCCCCTGAGGCATCGCATTTCCATCGACAATTTTCCACCTGCCAACCACCTCGCACCATCCCCGGATCCGATGCCGTCTCTCCCCCGCCGTCCGTCGCTCTCCTGATCTTCTCCTCCACCACGGATCCCTCCACCACGCCCCCCCCCCCCCCCTTCCGCTCTCTCCCCCCAACCACCCAAACCGCCCAAACCACCAACCCAACAGCGCGTCTCGTCTCGCCGCACATTGACGATCGCTGTCTAACCGACCTGTCCCGATCACAACCGCTGGCCCGACCATCTCGCGCTGAAGAAGCGCTCCGCCGACGACGAGGACGACGACGTCGAGCAACTGTCTCGACCTCCGTCCCCGCCCCCTCCCCATCAACCTATACCAGAGCCACCCGCAAGTTCCCCCGTCACCAACCGCCACCGTGGCGACTCTCAGCGCGACCAGCTACCGGAGCAAAATGAATTTTGACTCCGGCACTGCCTATGCCGAGTCGGACGCCGACGACGAGTACGAGCGCAGCGTCGCCGCCAGCTCGCCCGTCCTGGCCACCGACAGCGAGACCTCGCCCATTGACTCAGAGCTGCCCTCCTCCAACGAACACACGCCCACCACCTACGGCCACCGCAGCAGCGCCGACCGTCTGCCCGAAACTATCATCTCGGAATGGACCGCTGACGAGTGCGCCGACTTTATCGGCACCATTGGCCTGCCGCAATATGCTGATCACTTTTTGGGTGCGTCTCATGAAGGCCAAGGCGAATGCCAGCAACCTCGCAGTGGATGTACTGACGCCGTGTGGGACAGATAACGAAATCGTCGGCGAGGCGCTCGTCGCCCTCCTCCACGACGACCTCAAGTCTATGGGCATCACCAGCGTCGGACACCGCCTGACTATCCTGAAGAACGTCTACGATGTGAAGAGAGCGCAGGATGTGCCCACAGAGAGCGATCACTACGTGCCCCTATGTAAGTTGTTGTCCTGGCTGCTCTTGCCCTTTCGCCCGACGAGGCGTGATGGCTTTTACTAACGAGTCTTCTGGCCAGCCGCCGACGCCGAGGCCCAGTACGCCACGGCCACCCTCAAAGACATCAAGCACCTTGTCGAGCAGCTGCGACTACGAGACGAACGCGTCAGCATGGTCGAGCAGGACCTGCGGCGCCTAAGCGAAGATTTTCGGCGGTTACGCGAGGACATGCTGCCGGCGCTACGCATGGCCAAGGACACCTCGCAACCCCTGCCCAATGTCAGCAATAACCCCACACCAACCTACGGCTACGAGACGACCATTTCACCACCAGCGCCGACGCCATCATCGGCACAGTCCAACGCTGGCCTCATGCGGCAATACTCGACCAAGAAGATCATGCTCGGCACCCTGCCGCCCAAGAACCCCTCGCCCTCCCCCCTACAGACGCAACACGAACGCTCCATAGCCGAGCAGACGCTAGACCCGTCCCCTGCCGTCGAGAGGGCGCTGCTCTCCTCCTCCCACCTCTCCGCCATGAACGGCTCCGGTCCCAACGCCACGTCGCCGATATACCACAACTCGCCCAACATGCCCTCGCCAACGTCACCACCCGTCATGGGCGGCACGACCCTGGGCTCCCGCTCCTACCGTTCGGAAGCCCCGACACCCTCATCCCGCACCACCTTTTCCGAAAGCGACTACGGCCACAAGGGCCGCGAGCAGCCCGTGTCCGTACCGCGGCGTGGGCCGACCCCGGCCCCGGACACGCCAAGCACGAGTAATGCCTCGGTCGAGATCTTCAAATCTTTCCGCGTCAGCATGGACGATCCCTGCTACAAGGTCCTGCCCGCCGCTCTGAAAAAGTACC